TTAATGTTTGGGTGAGATATAAGGATTTGTTGGAAAGTAAAACACCAAGGTGGCTGTCACCAATGGAGGCAAAGGCATTGAAAAAACTAATATGGAGACAAACTGGCCAAAATATTGTGAAATTTTAGAACAAGTTGGAGATAAACTAAAATTGCAGAGCTTTGACAAATTAAAAACTAAAGTTCGAGATTGGCTGCATTATTATCAAATAAGGGAGGTTTTTAATTTAGATAAAAAGATTGGTTTCCAGGAGGAAAAATCTAAACTGGAAACGGAATTGTTAGAACCTAAAACTAAAAATCTGTCAAGAATGTATAATCTGCTGTTGAAATGGAATACACAGGATGAAATGGTCAAATCTGCTATGATTAAATGGGCGCAAGATGTTGGGCATAATATTATGTTTGCTGACTGGGAACGGTTATGGACCACAGGTATGAAATTTACGGCCTGTAACGCCTTAAGAGAAAATATAATGAAAATGATTTACAGGTGGTACTTAACCCCAGTCAAGCTAGCAAAAATTTATCATTTGCCTGATAATAAATGTTGGAAATGTAAAGAAAATGAAGGTACGTTTTTTCACCTTTGGTGGACGTGCCCAAAGATCAAGGCCTTCTGGGAAATGATATATAATGAACTAAAAAGGTATTGAAATATACTTTCTTGAAGAAACCAGAGGCCTTCCTCTTGGGCATGGTCGGCCAATTGGTGCGAAGGGAAGACAGAAATTTTTTTATGTATGCGACAGCAGCAGCAAGAATACTCATTGGGAAATATTGGAAGACACAAGAATTGCCTACCCGAGAAGAATGGCAGAGAAAAGTGATAGACTATATGGAACTGGCTGAGATGACCGGCAGAATTCGAGATCAAGAAGAAGGGTCGATGGAAGAAGATTGGAAAAATTTAAAACATATCTTCAGAAATACTGTAATATAAAAGAATGTTAGAAAAGGTTGGAGAAGAATATTAGACCGTATTGGCAGACAGAGTATAATGGAATAAGTAAATATGAAGTGTAAAATAAAAGATAGAGGAGAATTAAATATTTTCGAATGTTAAAATAAGTAAATGAAAAGAAGGTTAGAAGGATTTGCTGGAGATACGATTTGAATTAGAATACAAAGCAGAGAAGTGAGAGGAAGTCATGGAAATAAGTGAATGGGAAAACGGTTCTAATGGTTTAAGTTGAATTTTTCTTTTGTTACTTTTTTATTGTGATTTTTTGTCTTGTGTATTTTTCTTTGTATTGTGTGTTTTTCTTGTAGGATGTATGTGATTTGTAGGATGTATGTGATTTGTTTTTCTTTTTTTTCTTTTTTCTTTTTCTGTAATCTTAAAATTGGAATAAATATTATTAAAAAAAAAAAAAGAGAGAGATCCAGCAGAAGCAGTAAACAGCTCTCACCTTTGTCCCTAGGCCGCCAGAGATCATCGACCAGTGCGACCAAGGCAGTTTCAGTCCCATGATGAGGTGTAAATCCCGACTGGAAGGGATCCAAATGGTCCACTTCTTCCAGGCGTGCCTGGAGTTGTTCAGCAACCACTTTAAGGGGGAGAAAAGGAGGAAATACCAAGAAAATCTGGTCTTCCTTAAAAAATCCAGGATTACTTAAACTAAAAGGCTAAAACTAGCTTATCTAAGCTTCCTTTTTAAGTTGCAAAAGGATAGCACTCTGCTGAACTCACAAATGTGAGGAAGGAAGGACAATATCTAATTTAAAATATCCTTTCCTAGCATGTATTCACATTCCAACAGGCTCTGGGTGCTGCTGGGAGTTGTAGTCCAAAAAATCTGGAGTGTACCAGATTGCAGTAGGCTGATCAAGATCAGGGCTAGGCAGAAAATAGCTTGTGATCTACCCGATGTGAATGACTTATCTGTTCATTTCAGGTATGGGAGAACATACCATGCTCATTAATCTGAATGCATTACCTTCTTGTTTATTTTGAGATCTTTCTGCCCTATATGTTTGCAGAGAATAATTCTTGGTGCTTCCGTTCCCTGTCTTTGATATGTCTCCTTGGAGATACACAGGAGATCTCTAGAGGATGTCTTATTGATAGGAATAGGTACGTGTAGGAGATGGTGTTAGAACAAGCCAGCTCCTGTCCCAAGGGAAGGAATAAGGGACTGTTTGTGTACACCATCTCTCTGTAATACAATAAAAATTAGAGAACATGGTGTAGTGGATAGTGTTTATGGGTAGATTTGGGGTTAGTTCCCTGCTTTGCTGTGAAGATTTCTGGGCGTCCTTAAGAAAGACATTTTACCTAGGCCTGCTCAACCTTGCAAGGCTGTGGAGGGGATATGTTAAATAAGAGCTGTCAAGTAGTAAGTGCAGTAAAAGGGCACTGCATTACAAATGGGCTGTGACTCAATTAAAAGCACATTCTGCAATGAGGAAACTAAAATCTGACATTTGCTCAATGCAAACTGGATAGATATTGCAAATATCTTTGCAAATTTGCAAATATTTGATCCTGTCATTCAGTCAGTCTTGGAGAGAGGTCCTTGCCCTGTGGCCAAGTGCAGGCTTTAGATGGGAACGTTTGCAAGTTCAGCCCAAAATGCTGCGTAAGACTGGCCTTCTGACTCAGCAGGGCTCTTTAAAAAGCAGAGCTGGGGATAAATGAAAAAGGGGAGAACCATGTATACCACTTTGACCTCCTTGGAAAAAAGGTGAGGTTTAAATACAATATATAAAATAATGATAATGATAATAACTTTTATTGTATCATACAACTGCCTTTGGTATGAGGATGGGTGTTAGCTCAGTGAAACAGCATCTGATTTACATGCAGAAGGTGCCAGGTTTAATTCTCAGTACAGTGGTGCCTCGCAAGACGAAATTAATCCGTTCCGCGAGAGTCTTCGTCTAGCGGTTTTTTCGTCTTGCGAAGCAAGCCCATTGACGGATTAGCGCTATTAGCGCTATTAGCGGTTTAGCGGCTATTAAAGGCTTAAAGGCTTAGGGATTAGCTGCTAAAAGGCTATTAAAGGCTATTAAAGGCTTAGCAGATTAGATAAAGGGGCGAAAAGCGAAAAAAATCTCAAGACTCGCAAGGTATTTTCGTCTTGCGAAGCAAGCCCATAGGGGAATTCGTCCTGCGAAGCAACTTCAAAACGGAAAACCCTTTCGTCTAGCGGTTTTTCCGTCTTGCGAGGCATTCGTCTTGCGGGGCACCACTGTATCGGTATCTCCCGGTAGGGCTGGGAATGCCCCCTGCCTAAAGTCCTGGACAGCGGCTGCTTGTCTGTGTAGATCAGTGGTTTTCAATCAGTGTGCCATGGCACCCTGGGGTGACTTGAGGAACATTCAGGGGGCCTCCAGTGGGTCGTCCTTTCATTAACTTGCAGCCCGTATCTTCATGCATATATACATATCTCCCCATGTTTATCTCCCCAGGGGCAGAATGGGGGAATTCCCACTTACACATGTCCTGTAACGGAAACCCAGTGTAAGCGCCTCCCATAGGGGTGCCATAGAAAGAATGTGTTTGGTCAAGGGAGAAGTGGACTCAAAAAGGTTGAAAACCACAGGTGTAGATAATACTGAGCTACTTGGACCAATAGTCTGAGTATATAGCACTTTCTTATGTTCCTATGGTTGGGACGGTTCTGTTGCCTTACAGCTCTCTACTAATCATGTGTATTTGGAAGAAAGTCCTGTTGAATGCAGTGGGTCTTGCTTCCAGGTAGGTAGGCTAAGGATTCAGCAGCCTTAGTTTTTAATGTAAATTAAGGGCTGCATCTAATGCTAGCTTTGCTCAGGAACAGCCCCAATGCAAAAAATTAAAATTAAAATTAAAAAAAGGACATGTCTTACTTTCATCCATTAATTTCAGTGGGTTTATTCTGAGTAGAGTTTAGCTGGACACAATCTACTTTTTGTGACTGCATTTTTGTGAGTTTTTTTAGAACTGTTTTTAATTGATGAATTTTGCTTATACGTTATCTTTCTCCTAGTCAAATACCAGAAGAGGCTCACAGCATAAATTAAAACAGATACAACTAAAACTAAAACACATTATAAACATAAACAGTAAAAACAATTTTAATGTTGTATTTTAAATTATCGTAACCCACCCTGGGACTTTAGGGTGAAGGGCAAATAACAAAAGAACTGTTGTAAACAAAATCTGCCCTTCCCTTATGGGGTATCCAAGAGCCCGTATAGAGTCCTTAAGTGGGTTCCCTATTGGTAGGAGAAAATAACAGAGACCAACCAGAGAATATTGAGAAGCAAAGCAGCTAGTAAGCCTGATCTTTATTAAAGCTGTTGCAACAGGGTGCTCCCCTCACACGCTGGAGGACCCAGAACAAAGGTCTGGCCACCCTTATATAGATATTTTAAATTGCCCGCCCTGCAGTCCAAGACCACCTCCAGAAACATCATACATACATCACAGAAGGAGTGTAGCCCAAGACCACCCCGCAGATGCATCATACCTACATTATAGAAAAGGTGGTCTACAGCAGAAATCTGAGTGCGTTGTTTATCTCCTGTCTGGCAGGTTACCTATTAATGGTCACTTGATTGGATTACCTGGGGAGCCTGGCCAGTCTTTTGTTATGATAACTACTTAGTTCCTATTCATACACAGACATACCCTTAAGACAGGATTTGTGAAGGCTTTTGCATTTTCCTTCGACCTTGCAGAGAAATATTTGAGGTCAATTTGGGAGGGACAAAATGGTTTCAGGACTTTTTCTGTGGGGTTTCAGACATGTGGTTTATATATGCAGTTATGAACATTATATATATATGACCTTAAAATTCTTATAACACAACCATATATATGACCTTAAAATTCTTATAACACAACCAACCACTCTAAGTGCTTAATTTTGTTGGGATCAGGTCCATTCTTCTGTCTTTCTCTTTTCCCCTCTCTGATCTGCTCTCCCACCCATTTTTTTTCCTTTTTATTTCTTTCCGTTCTTTTCCCTTCATCCCTCCTCAGCCAAAGCGCCCTGCTTTCCCCGGCGGGCCCGGCAGGCGCCGCTGTCCCGTTTCGCAGGCCTGGCCGCTGCGGGTTCAGCTGTTCACTCCAGCCCGGGGATTGACAGGCCTTTTCGCAGGAGGCGGAGGAGGCGGAGGCAACCATAGCAGACACTGAGAGGCAGTCGCGAGAAGCCTGGGAGGTCGCCGCCGCCTCTGCCTTGCAATCCGCAGCCATCCTGACCCCCGAGCCCCCGAGCTCCCCCGCCAGCCGGCTCCCCAGGCACATTTGGCTCCCTACAACCACAACAGGTGGGTATTTGGGGGCTCAGGATGCAGTTCGGGGGCTTTTCTGTGGGGCGAGGTGGGAGGCCGGGCAGTTATAAAATGGAGACTGAGGAAGGAAAGCGAAGGAGTGAAGTAGGCCAGGTTTTCCCCCACCTCAGGGGCGGAGGGGAATGTTTTTTACCATCCCCCCAACAATCCCATTAGCTCTCCCCACCTACCCCCCCTTTTTTGCCCTTAAAGGGGTCGCAGGCCCCCCCTTCCATATTTGACTTATTTCAGACTCTGCTGACCCCATTTTGTTTGTTTTTGTTTTGCAAATGCAAAGCAGACCTCCATCCAGTTTTGATGCCTCCATGCAAAAGAAAAAAAAAATCCAGAGCAACACCCAAATATGCATTTGGTTTAAGTCATTTTAGGGGTTATGAAATTATTGTTAGGTGCTCCTTGCTATTGCTGTTGCTATTAATTTGTGGTGGAGAGAGGGAATTGGAAGGTTTTGCAAGGGAGAATTGATGAAAGGGCGTTGGTTCCCCACCCCCCTCTGAAGTTTCAATAACAAACCGTGCAATTGTAATGATCGTTATTACTGCAAAATTGTGCGATGCTGATTTCAGGGATGGAGAATGGAGGTTTGTCCTTGGTTTTGGAGAAGATGTGGGCCAGTTAACACCCACCTCTTTCTATTCTCTGCCCCCCCCCCTCCGCCGCTTCAAAACCAAAACATAAATGAGAGTGACTGAATATATTTCGGGTGCGCTGGATTGTGAGAGTCTTGACTTTTAATTAGTGTGTTGCCTTTCAGCGTTGCCATTTTGCCCAGGCTTCTGTTTTGCTTTTAAATCCATCTCTGCCTTCCATTGTTTTGGCCGTGCGTTGTGGTTGTGGAAGGCCTGGATATGTATATCTACGTGTGTGTGTCTGTGTGTGTCCCCTGTGACTGAAACTGCAAAACTGTTTCTTACCTTAGATATCGGTCTCTGACATGCCATACATGTAAAACGTGTGTGTGTGTGTGTGTGTGTGTGTGTGTATGGGCATCTTTTAAAATAGCAACCGACATCACTCTTCCATTACGACACACCTGATTGTATACAGAAATTGGCATTTTTGGCGGGTAGGGCACACTTTAAATAGGGTAATAACGTGGAATTTTATTCTTATTATTTCAAATGCAGAAAGATGAGGATTCTTTATTTTTTTTAAAAAAAAGAAAGAATTTTGAATCTCAACTGAATTTCAGAAGTTTGGGTCTGATCTTTTTAATTGGTTGTGTTGTGATCCTGTTGCAGCTTCTTATGGGGGGCGGGCAGGATCCTAGCCCAGAGACTAAAAGTGGAAGAGAGGAAATTAAGGAAAGTCTTGCTTTGAGAAATGAGTGACATTAAGTGTGTGTGTGGTGTGGTGTAATGAATGTTGGAAGTATATTGTTGGGTGATGTTATCCTCTACTGTGAGACTGGTGCGTGTGAATGGCTGTTAGTTTTTCTGATGTGGTCAGTCTCTCCCCCCCCCCCGCCCTTTTGTAGATCAAATTAGAATTTTAAATCTGTTCTTTAAGAACTGTGCATTTAATGGGTTTGTAGGGAGAACACGCCCCTCTTTCCCGTGTCTTTTTGGGGCTACAAATCATGGTTTTCATTCCCAAAGTTGTGCAGCTTCCCAGCTGTGAAATGGTGATGATGAAACAAGAGAACATTTGGGAAGTTGGATCTGTCTATGCCTTCAAGATGGTCACTGTGTGTCGCATCCAAAATTCTACTGTCAATGGCTGTCGCTGTAATACAAAATGAGGATTGTGACAATCGAATTTTTTTTATTGTCGTCTTTGATCAATACCTCTTTAAGCTTTGGGGGGGGCATGATGAAAGGCACAAAAGGTGGTGCTACTTTTTTCTCAGGATGATGGCCTGTGTTTAAGAGTGCTTCTTATTTTCTTGAGCTGGCTTCTAGCAGGTAGAATTGCTGGGGTGTTTTTTTGGTGGAATGTTACATTAGATCTCTTCTCCAGTGCTGAGCAGTCACAGGCAGTCATTGATTTCTGTTAGCACCTAGCTTTGACACATTTTCCCAAAGTCAAGCATTTAAAGATCCAGAGCCACAGGTAAAATTGAGACGGGTGGGCTATGAAACTGTATATAAATATCAATAAACTCTGCTTGCCTTTTGCAGATACATATACATGTTCTTTTACTGGTTAAATCTTGAAAGTTCCTCTCCGCCCTGCCCCCACCCTAGCCTAGTATTTGGGGTATATTCCCCATGTAGAGAGAGAGCGATGAAAGCCTCTCTTTTGGACTTTTTCTTGTAATCACGATGCCTTGGACCACAAGCGTGCTAAATGTTTGATTTTTGGGATACAGTGGAAGGAGCTTAGCCAATGTGGGGTACACTTCATTCCTCCCCCCTCTGCTTTTTGCGATAGAAGGGTTATCGGTATCCCAGTTCTGAAATTGGTTGGTAATTGGGAAGGTGTCCTTGAACAGTCCACATCTGTCTTGTGACCATTCCTGGTCCATGTTATGGTCTGTCTGGAAATGGCTCCTCCTATGTGTGTTGGGGTTAAAGATAATGGACTTGTTTGGGCATCACCCTAAATCTGTGCCTCTCTCTATGTCATTATGCTCCAACTCCCATTAATCCACATGGCCAGTGGTCAAAGATGATGGAATGAGAGCTGTAGTCCAATGATAGCTGGAGGGCCTCAGGTGTTCTTCACACTGGTGCTAAGCCATACTTGTCCCTGGGTAAGGTGGGTGAGGCTGCTCACCTGTCAATCACATTGACTTCAGGTGACTTCAGGGCTTGCCAATAGCGTTTAGTGCTTTGAAGTGCTGCTGATCAAAAGATTGTTGATGCTTCAAAGCGCTAAGGAGGGCTCTTTATAAGCCCCTTCAAGGATTGACCAGTTATGGAATTTTCCATGGGAAGCATAACAGCACAGCCAGACCTAGGAAGCTTTAAGTCAGTTCCTATCCGTTGCTAGCACTAACTTCAAGCCCTGCTTTCTATTGGGTCCAGCTGTGCTGAGGAGCTCCCCATGGGATACTCAGGAATATATCTGATCCCAGGTGACCTGCTCTTGCCACTGATCAGCTGATTGACAGGGAGTGCAAGCCTCCCTTGTCATTGCACTTTAAGGCTCGTGATCATACAATAGCAGCTGCGTCTTCACCTACCCCATACCTTATGTCACGGATGATGTGAGAGGTGGGGTGGGTGGGTGTGATTTGGGAAACAGCCTCATGGGCCAAATTGGGAGCCATGCTGAGCCTTATTAGCTTATATATCTGAGTTTCTAACACTGGATCTGTTGCTCCAAAACAGAGGGAAATATTAAAGTAGACCAGTTAAGACCAGAAATGTGAAGTCCTGGGGTGGTGATGGAATGGTATGGGGGAAAATTTCTTTGTTTCCCCCCCTCCCTAAACCTAGGGTTATATCCAGTGTAGTGCTACATGAGGAATTTGTTTGCACAGCAGAGTATTCTCCTCACTCCCCAAAACCAGCCTTAGGGGTTCCCCCAACCTTCTGGAGCAGAATTGGTGCGAGTGCAAAAGGAAAAGAGGACGGAAAGTCCCATTGCACAAGCAGAAATCATAAGAATGTAAGATGAGCCCTGCAGGGTTGGGCCAATGGCCTATCTAGTCCAGCATCCTGTTATCACAGTGGCCAACCAGAGGCCTGTGGGAAACCTTCAAGCGGGACCCGAGCACAAGCCTTCTCCCCTCCTGCGTTTTCCAGCAACTGGTAGTACAGCATCCAGCTGTGGAGGCAGAGCACACCTATAATGGCTATTAGGCAAATCCTTGCACTGATGGGACGTTTGAGTTGAATACTGCCCTTAAAATTTATAGATGAGCAATATTTTTTTGGGGGGGGGAGAGGATGAGTCTGTTGAGGGCTATTATTCATGGTAGCCAAATGGAACTTCCATGCTCAGCACAGTATACCTCTCCCATGCCAGGTACAGTTGACAGACTGTTCGTGAGGGTGCAGGCTCTCCATGTTTCTTGTATCGTCTGCTTTTGGTTTGAAATAGTATAAGATTTTGGCCTGCTTTTTCTTGGGGGCGTTTCTGCAGCTTGTGTAAGAGAAATTCCTAGTTCTTTATAACTCTGAGTACCATCCCCGGACTAGATTTGTCCCCTCCGTATATTTGAGGGCTTTGTTTGAAGGAAACTCTGAGTGTTGTAATTAGCCTCAAATAGCTTTAGATAACTTCGAGGAGTTTTGGATGGTTTCAGCGGGATTTCAAAGGGGCTTTCGAAGAGCCTCAAAGGAAGGGAGGATGTTTAGAATGCCATCCGGTGACTCCCGGAGTCCTTATCTGTGGCTGAGGTATAAGCTTATTTTCTGGGAGTGTGTCTTGTATTATTTTTTTAAAAGCTCCTACTCCCTCTGCTGAGGCTCACAGGAGACTTGTTTCAGGCACCATCTTCTTTCTCCTCTGTATACCTTTCAATATCAGGTGTTGTTGACAAACTGCATAAAGGCTGTTGTCTTTAGGCTCAGGTTTGGGCTTCTCAGGTGTATCTGGATGGCTGCTGTTGAATTCTGACTGGGGAATTTGCTGCACTGATGCAGCAGGAAAACATTTTATAAGCAGGGCCAGGGGACCTGTGACCCTCTGGCCTTTCCAGGTACCTAGGAAACTGCCTTATACAGAGTCAGACCATTGACCCATCTAGCTAAGCAGACTTGGCGGGAACTCTCCAGGATTTCAGGAAAAGGAACTTTCCCAGCCCTTCCTGGAATAGTTGCCATTGGTGATTGAACATGGGACTTTCTGCATGCAAAGCAGATGCTCCCCTACTAAGCTACAACCCTTTCATAGGGTTTTCTGATAACTCTTGGGAGGTTTCCCTGCTGCTCCTGCCTCCTGCCTAGGCCCTAGCTAGGATCAAGAATGGGGAAACTATGGAATTTTCTGCCACAAGATTTGGTGGCCACCAGCTTCAGGAACATAAGGAGAGCCCTGCTGAATCAGACCAAAGGCCTATCTAGTCCAGCATCCTCTTTTCCACAGCAGCTGAATGAAAGCCCCAGTGGGAAGCCTACAAGCTGGACATAAGAACAATGCACTTTTCTTGCAGGTGTTGCCCAGTGACTGCTATTCAGGGACACACTGACTCTCATTCTGAAGGCCCTGTAACAGCAAATGTGACTAGCAGCCATTGGAAAGCAGAATAGGCACATTCACAGAAAATCAGGCTATTGGTGTTTGCTAGCCATGGTGGCTATATGCCACCTCCAGAATCAGAAACACTATGAAGTGCTGAGGAGGAGAGGGCTGTTGGCCACTGTTGGAGAGAAAATGCTGGAGTTGATGGGCCTTTGACATGATTTGCTCCTAAATGTAGTGGCCACCGACTTGGATGGCTTTAGAAGAGGACTGATGATGAATCAAGGATAAGGCTATCTATCAGTGGCTACTAGCTGTGGTGGCGATGCTGTGCTTCTACAGTCAGAGATGCTTCCAAATACCGTATTTTTTGCACCATAACACTCACTTTTTTCCTCCTAGAAAGTAGAGGGAAATGTCTGTGCGTGTTATGGAGCGAATGCCTGCGGGTGGCGGGGGGGGGATCTGCTGCAGTCGTGAGTAGAGGATCCATGGTTCCCCTTCCTTCCCTCCTCCGTGGTTACAAAAAATGGATCCACATGGATCCTCAGGATTTTTGCATTGGGCTACTCCAAACTCACTGTCAGATCACATGTCTGTGGCCACAGCATGAACCACAAAAATCATATATCCACTATTTTGTTTAGAATATTTTTTTTCTTGTTTTCCTCCTCTAAAAACTACGTGCGTGTTATGGTCTGGTGCGTGTTATAGAGCGAAAAATACGGTACCAGTTGCTGGAATCGTTTGTCCCTTTCTGACAACATCAGGCTAACAATCAAGATGGACATGACTGTTGATACCAAGGAGATTAATTAGACAGATCAGTCTTATTTAGACAAGCTCATGGAGGTAAAGGGCTATCAGTAGCTTCCTAGAGTCCTCCAGCTATGGGGCAGCTAGGAAGGTAAATAAGTATGGGGAAAGCAAAATGTCACTTAGAGAAAGATCTGCAATATTTTCCTTGAAGCTTGCATTTGTTTTCTTCTGGATTGTTTCACTTGATGTTTTAATGTGTTGTAAACTGCTTTGAGATTTTTTCTTTTAAAATGCGGGTAATACCCAGAGCTCTCTCTCCTTTAAATCAGAACCAGTGAAGGCAGTGAATATCCTGTGTGAGTGTCTGAAGGGGTTGGAGGAAATGATGGTGGTTAATGAATTGAGGTTGAATCCCGACAAGACAGAAGTACTGTTTTTGGAAGACAGGGTGTGGGCGGGTGTGTGGGACTCCTTGCTCCTGAATGGGGTAACTGTGCCCCTGAATGACCAGCTGCGCAGCCTGGGAGTCACTTTGGACTCACAGGTATCCATGGGGGCACAGGTCAGTTCTGTGTCCAGGGCAGCTGTCTTCCAGCTCCATCTGGTACCAAGGGCGTAGCCAGGACTTTTGCTGTTGGGGGGGGGGGAGGCCTTTGTTAGGGGGGCAGAACATCAGTTGGTTATGTATTTTTATTTATTTTTATTGATTTAGGGGGGCAGCTGCCCCTCCCTGCCCCCCTGGCTATGCTAGGGAGACTTGGAAACTACAACTAATCCAGAATGTAGCAGATAGACTGGTGACTAGGAGTGGCCTCCGGACCATATAATGCTGGTCCTAAAGGATTTTCATGGGCTCCTAGTACGTTTCTGAACACAACTCAAAGTGCTGGTGCTCATCTTTAAATGGCCTTGGCCCAGTATACCTGAAGGAGCGTCTCTACCCCCATTGTTCAGCCCAAACACTGAGGTCTACCTCCTGGGGTCTTCTGACAGTTCCCTCACTGCAAGAAGTGAAGTTACAGGGAACGAGGCAGAGGGCCTTCTTGGCAGTGGTGCCCTCCCTGTGGAATGCTCTCTATGTCAAGGAGATGAAGAACTTTTAGAAGACATCTGAAGGCAGCCCTGTATCAGGAAGTTTTTAGTATTTGACGTTTTATTATGTTTTTATATGTGCTGGAAGCCACCCAGAATGGCTGGGGAAACCTAGTCGGATGGATGGGTGGCTTATTATTATTATTAGGTATAGAAAGTAAATAATTCTTAATAATAATAATCCCTGCTATAAAAAAGGCACTTAGATATATTGTGACTGTCACCCAGGTTTAAGGTGCCATTTGGCAATTAGCTGAAATATCTGTCTCTAACCCTGCTCCCTGCTTGTGGAATGCTCTCCCAAGGGAGGCCCTACTGGCGTCATCGCTGTCTGTTTATAAGCACCAGGCACAAATACTGTTCTTTACCAAGGCCTTTACCCCTAGTTTGCAAAGTAATTGGTTATATCCATGGCCTTTCCCCCCATTCATCCTTTTAGTTTAGTTTAGTTGAGGTGGATTTATCTTTTAAAATATTTTGGTTTTTATATTCATGGATTAGTATTTTAGGTCTAGTATTTATATTTTGTTTTAATATTTCTTCTGATTCCTTATATCTACCTTCCATAGGATCATAGAATTGTAGAGTTGGAAGGGACCCCAAGGATGATCTCTTCCAACCCCCTGCAATGCAGGAATCTCAGCTAAAGCATACATGACAGATGGCCATCCAGCCTCTACTTAAAAGCCTCCAGTGAAGGAAAGTCCATTGCTTTTCTCATCTTATGCCCACTTAAGAAACTGTTGTTTGCATTGGAATACCAGGCGTGAAATCCTCCTCCTGGGTATAAAGGATTACCTAAAGCCTTGGCAATAGGAATTTTGGGTTGTATCCAGAGTAGACCCATTAAAATTTACGGATCTAACTTAGTCAAGATAGGCTCTGAGGTTCTCGGTTCTGAGAAGGACTAGCACTGGATATAACCCTTTCTCTCTCCCTGCCCCTATCTTAAACCTTGTGTTTGTTTTCCTTTGCGGCTAATCTTAACTGTTGTGAAGATAAGCTTCCACTTCTGACCTGGATACATGCCAGGGCAGTGTAGATGTGTTTCTGTGCTCCAGTTCATTTGCAACAGAAGGGGTAGAGAACGGGATTTGGCCAGGAGCCCAGATTGTTATCTCCTCCACACATAACTGATGGGCCAAATCTGGAAGATGGGCAGTGTCCCCCACCTGGCAATCACATGACATTACAATGAGACATTGGTGGTGGGAGCATGGAAGCAGTGGGATCGTTTCACAGGCAGTGGCAATGTCACAGGACTGAGTGTCAGGCTCTTTGTTTGCTCCGCTTCAATGAAATACTTTACAGTTTCTTGTTGCATCTGAACTAGCAAACTATGGTTTGACCTTGCCTTCCAAACCAGGATTCCAAACCACCATGGTTTGGCATTCCATCTGAACTGAAGCTCTGTGAGCGTTGGCAATTTTATCATTTCCATTCCCTGGTTGGAAGCTGAATTTTGTGTATGGGTGTGAGAAAGATGCCTTATTCATATGTGGCTGAGCAGTGATTTGAACCCGGACATTCCATTCTATTCTCTCTGGTGAGAGTGGCAGAGCACATGCTTTGCATGTAGAAGGTCCCAGGTTCCACTCCTGGCTTCTCCAGGTAATAAGATCAGGGTAGCAGGTGAGAGCCTTCTCTGCCCAAGCACCTAGAGCAGGAGTGTGGAATAGCTGAAGTAAGTATTCCAGTTAGCAAACTTTTTTTGGAAGCCGAATGTCCAATATGGCTTCCGATTGAGGAAGCTCCTGCAGCCAATCAGAAGCCACATCTTGGTTTTCGAACCTTTTCAGAAGTAGAATGGACTTCTGGAACAGATTCTGTTCGAGAACCAAGGTACGACTGTACTGTTTTAGCACTGGGCATGGGGCAGGTCTGTGGGTCTTGGGAAAACAGCCTTGCAGGCCTAGTTTGTCCCATGGGCTGGAGGTTTCCCACCACTGAATGGGCAGTAGCAGGCTAGATGGGCAAACAGTGTGTCCTAATATAAGGCAGTTTCTAGTGTTTCCTCTGCATCTGCTTGCTATTGCTTTTGGCAAGCGTTTTGGGTGAGATTGGCAAGTGGCCCTTAGTTCTGAACTGCTGGGTTAGGATTTTTCTAAAGACTGTCGATAATGTGTGGGTGGGTGGGTGTTTTCTAATTGCCACCTTGCAAAATCAGCCCATAGGTGTTTTCTTACCCACCTGTCCACATGCACCTGTGCCAAATCATTTGTTGCCCATCAACAGCCTTCAGGGGGAGAGAAGTAATAACGGTCTCTCCTCTGATTTCCAAATGTTGTCCTACCTGGTAGACTCTCCCTCATCACCTTGAAGCTGGATACCTCAGGGACATTGTGTGCTCCTTTCTTGAATTTCCAGCTTACATTTTTAAAAGTCAAGTGGCTAGCCCTCGTGGATATGAATTTTGAAAAGTGTGCAGACAGTTTTTGTGCTCAGTTGCTTGTGTAGACTTTAACCTTTTGCTTTTTCTGGGCTACTAATGTTTTGGCCACCAGTGGCAAAGAACTAAGCCCTTATTTTTAAATTTTAAGCAATGTTTAGTACAATTAAATAACCTTGTTAAGTTACCTCTATTTGTTTTCTGGTTGCTCCCCATTGATTCCACATCCCTTGCACCCTGTACCAAGATCAGTGCTAGAGGATACGGTTTGCTTCCATGGTGAAAGGGAAAAGGTAGGAGGGCACTTTTTGTTTTGGCCCTTGACAGATTTATCCCAAAGGCGATGTGGACCTTAACAACTCCAACCCTTGATCTGCACAATTTTTTTGTGAGCTGCAAGGAGGAAATTGGAAGCCCTTGCTTCCATTTTTACTAATGGAAATGTCTCATTGTGTCCAAACTGTTGTGTTTAAAACTGTATGGTTTCTTGAAGCCAGGGTCAGTAACCATGGTTTGAAAGTGGGGGGGAAATCCAATGTAAATTGGGCTAAATTTGTATTGTAAGATAACCTGATGCCCCCAGGGAGCAATCCGGTTCAGCACATTTATTTTACTTGTACGTTGGTACTTCAGTTGACGAACTTAATCCATTCTGGAAGTCCGTTCTTAAACCAAAACTGTTCTTAAACCGAGGTACCACTGTACTTAGTAAACCAACCAACCAACCAGCCAACCAAATAAATAAATTGAAATGGCCAGACTTGTCTAAATATTGTTGTTGCACTTTGCATCTGTTCATGATACTCATTAGCTTACAAAATGGAAAATCTGCAGAAAAACTGGGGGAATATTTTTTTCACTTTCCACTCAAATCCAGCCTAGAGTTACCCTCATAGCACCTCAAAGCTAGGTTAGCCATTCTCTGTTCTAGACAGTTACTAGTATCAGACCTCATTGGCTTCTGCAAGGTGACAGCAACTATGTCTTTCATGGTGGCTGTCGTGTCCTCTCTCGTGTGGGTATCTCATATGGTGTCCTTTGGGCATTAGACTACAGTGTCCATTATACCTGACCATCGGCTGTGCTGGCTTCAAAAAGTAGTGAAGGCTGCCACCTTGAAAGGAGTTAAAAGAGGGTTAGATGAATTCATGCAGGAAAAGACTATTGTTGGCTACTAGTCATGAAGACTGTGTTCATCACCATCCACTGTCGGAAGCCTCTGGGTGCCAATTGCTAGGAATTGCAAGTGGGGAGATTGCTGTTGCCCTCATGTCCTGCCTCCCAAAGGCACTTGCAAGAAGAGGACTAGGTGGGCCATTGGCCTTTTCGAACATGGCTTTTCTTACTATCTTTTGGCTGGGATTGACGGGTTCTAGTGGCACTATATTGCAATTAAACCTTGCCTAGGCGCCTCCCCCCCAGTGAAATTTATTATTATTATTTATTTCATTTCTATGTCACTTTACAGTTTAAATAAAAAAATCTTAAAACAATTCACAACACATTAAAACATCAAATAAAACAATCCAGAATAAAACAAATGCAAGCTTCAAGGAAAATATTGCAGATCCTTCTCTAAGTGACATTTTGCTTTCTCCCATACTTATTTAACTTAATAGCTGCCCCATAGCAGAAGGACTCTAGGAAGTCAGTGTGGTGTAGTGTGGTGTAGTGCTTAGAGTAACGGACTAGGACCTGGGAGATCAGGGTTCAAATCCCCACTCTGTCATGAACCTCACTGAGTGACCTTGGGTCAGTCACAGCCTCCATACCTACCTCACAGGGTCGTTGTAGGGATTAATTGGGGGAATGAACCATGTGCTCTTTGGAGAAAAAGGTGGGATATAAATGCAGTAAATAAGCTCTTCTGCTTACCTGTTTTAAGAAAGCTGGAGGGATCAGCCAGATGGAGATGTCAGTTGCCATCCTGGCATCCAGAGACCTCCATGTGGTCACAGTCGGACCTGTGCCAGTTGCAAAATATGCCTGGTGCCTAGAGAATTTTGGACACTGCAGAGTGGTGACCCAATATGAACATTTTCTGCCATTTTCCCTGCACTGTCAGGTGCCCATTTTGCTCTGTGATCATCAACTGCTTTACACATCTTTCAAAGGCACATTTTTTGCTCAGGGTTTCCTGGTGGTCCATAAGACTGGACCGTGTTGTCTCTGAATTCTTGTTTTTATAATGCTGCTGTTCTTTGTGAAAGATGCTATTTTATTGCTGTTTATTCTGTATATTGCGTAGGGCTTTTAAATTATGAAGTGCTTTATAAATACTGATAAATAAACCTTTGGTGGGCTCTGTTGGCTGCACCTTATGAGGTAGAGCAGGGGTCAGCAAACTTTTTCAGCAGGGGGCTGGTCCACTGTCCCTCAGACCTTGTGGGGGGCCCGGACTATTATTTTGGAGGGGGGAGAACGAATTCCTATGCCCCACAAATAACCCAGAGGTGCAGTTTAAATAAAAGGACACATTCAACTCATGTAAAAACACACTGATTCCTGGACTGTGGGCCAGATTTAGAAGGCAATTGGGCCGGATCTGGCCCCCGAGCCTTAGTTTGCCTACCCATGATGTAGAGCTCTCAAGGTAATCACCAGCACTTTGACTGTTTCTGGAAGCATCTTGGTAACCAGAGCTGATGTGAAAGTTGTGGCTATAGAGAATAAGAATAAGAACTGTACGTGCTTCAGTCAATCTGGCTGGTTCTAGCAGGTGCCTTTCATTCATGCCCAGCAAGGTGGGGCTGAGGAACAAGCAGCCCCTTCCTCTGCAGCTTGCCTAAGAATTCCACTGGCAAAATAACTATTTCTAGGTTTGCACTGTTTAGAGCAGGGGTTTGCAGAACTCCCAACTCCCATCCCTAAACGTTGGCCACGCTGGCGTGGGCTGATGGCAGGTGGAGCCAAAGCAATGTCTTGAGGGCGACATATCCCCCTTCCCTTGTCACAGTGTAGTGGCCAACCCAAGTATTTAAACACTGGTTTATCCCCCAGCCATGTGTAAAAGGGTGGGAGTGTGAGACTGGGGTGGGAGGCAAGCACCCACTTGGTAGTTTTCCTTCTTCTGCCCTTCTCTACACACCCTCTCCTAACCAGTGCCCTGCCAACAGCTTTCTAGTACTGTTTATTTATTTACTTATTTTATTGTATTTTTCTCACTTTCCTCCAAGGAGCTTAATGTGGTACACAAGGTTCTCCCCCCCCCCCCCCCCAATTTAATCCCCACAAAAACCCTGTGAGGTACGTTATAGGCTTAGAGGTAGTGATTGGCCCAGAGTCACACCCAGTGAGCTTCATGGCCTTGAGGGGGGCAGGCAGTCATGGGTCAGCCCCCTTTCTTGCCTGTGCACCTTTTGTGCTTTAAATTTCACCACCTTCCTTCTTTACATGTGACTGGGGCTGGGCCACTTTTGGAAAAGGCATGAGGGGATCCAGCCCAAGCAGCTTTTTGATGGTAACACAAACAATCCTTCCTTGAGATGTGGCAGTTGTTTATTCCTTCCTCTGTCATTGTTCCGATGCGAACTGGGATTGCGAGAAAGGGTGGTTGCTAGGGCTTCTTGTTGGCATCTCCAGACTGTGATCTGTTTCGCTGGCTTTTCTTGAAGGATTACCACCTGCCCTCTCCTTTTTTCTTCTTCTTCTCCACCCTCTGTTAACCACCTGACATCTGCTACTGCAAATGTTCCCCTTCCTGCAAGGATCTGGGGAATTGTGTTGTCAATGGGAGTGCGCAGAGTGTGCAGGTTGATGAGTCACTGTTTTCCTGTTGTATATACATACATGCAATCGCTTTGATTCAGTTAAATTGCCAAGCGCAGGCCAGTCGCTATTGAGCCTTCCTCATATCTCTGTTGCTGCCAAGGCCACAGCAATCCAGACCTAACGAGTAGCACTAACTTATTATGCAGAAAAGACTGATCTGATATTGCCACAACAGGAAAAGCAACTGCAAATATGTAGATTATTCGGGTCTTTATTTGCATTAATGCTGTTTTGCTGATTAAAATCTGGGGAGCATGCCAGGTATTCGTGTGCTTGGGGACTTGTGATGGGTTCATCATCACCCTTCGCCTCGCTCTGGTCAGAGTGGAGGAACTCCAGGCCCAGGGGCTGGAAGTGGCCCTCCAGACCTCTCTGTCCTGCCCTCATAATTTCCCCCAGCCACACCTCTCACCAGCCCTGCTTTGCACCTCCCTTGAGTGTTTTTGCTTGGCTGCAAAGAGTCTCCTTAAACTCTGAAATTGCTACTTGCTTGCCTGGATGGGGGATAGAGAGGGGTTTGTGAGTGTATGCAGAAACTAGCCTACTGTAGAAACGTGAATTTTAAATTTGTTGCTCTACCTACTTTTGCATCTGGCCCACCTGCTGGTGCCATTTGGCCACCACTTCTCTCTCTCTCTTTCCCTCTTTCCCTCCCTTCCCCCACAACACACACACACACACACACACACACACACACCCACACACACACAGAGCAGTCCTTATGAAGTCCCAGTGGCCTACAGCCATAGCAAAGCAACTTAATAAACCTGGGAAACAAACACAAACAACCTCAGTGGACTCATTTTCTAACACGGAAGGGTTGTTTAAAGAGAACCCACAGGACAAGTTATCCTCATGAAATCTTGGCTGTTTTAAATAAAGCAGTAGGCTTTATTTATGGAGGAATTAACATAAAGTGCCCAGTTCTTGTGGGTGTGGAATGTTGGTCCAAAATGTTCTACATCCTGGGACCAAAGGAAAGTATGGACGACCCCCCCCCCTGGGGACTCTGGAGAGCAGCAGTTGTTGTTAACAGCTGACTACATACAATTCTGCTGCTACTCCCTTCCTGTTTGGTCTATTTGTTTTGAACAGGTTATACCTCTCAATTCCTATATTCCAGTCATGAGTCTCATCCCACCAGGTTTTGTAATGTCTGTCATTCAGTAATGCCTGCCATCCTGTATTAAGAACTCCAGTTCATCTTGTTTGTTTCCCATACTCTGTGCATTTTGTAGAGACAACTGAAACCATGAGTTGTTCCCTGCAGCTGCTTTTTTCCTGTAGTTTTTTGCCCTTTAGCAGGAGCACCACCTCAGTTTCCTGTGCATCAATGAAACTACCATATATACTCAAGTATAAGCCCATTTGCATATATGTGATGTTTTAATGTAGGTGTTGTTGTTCTTAATATCGGAGTTTTGGAGTATGTTGTCAGCAGTTTGCTGAAGACACACAGCTGTATTTCTCTTTTACATCTGTAGCTGCGTCAGTGGATGTACTGGACTGTTATCTTGCCTTGGTAATGGACTGGATGAGAGCCAAAAAACTGAAGCTCAATCCAGATAAGACTGAGGCTCCATTAGTGGGGGTTGCTTAGAATGGATGGATGGGAGGTTGCCTGCTCCTGATGGGGTTGCACCCCCTCTGAAGGAGCGGGGGTGGGGGGTATGTACCTAGGGGGTACTTCTGGATCTTTTGCTTTTGATTGAGGCTTAGGTGGCCTCAGTGGTGTGGAGTGCCTACCATCAGGTTCAGCTAGTGGTCCAGCTGAGCCCCTATCTTGACAGGGATAGCCTAGCTTCTGTTTTCTGCTCTGGTAGCCTCTAGGTTAGATTACTTCAAGGGTCAGCAAACATTTTCAGCAGGGGACCAGTCCACTGTCCCTCAGACCTTATGGGGGGCCAGACTGTATGGGGGGGGGAATGAACGACTTCCTATGCCCCACAAATAACCCAGAGATGCATTTTAAATAAAAGGACACATTCTACTCATGTAAAAACACGCTGATTCCTGGACCATCCGTGGGTCGGATTTAGAAGGTGATTGAGCCAGATCCGGCCCCTGGACCTTAGTTTGCTTACCCATGGATTACTGCAATGTGTAATGAGTAGGGCTGCCTCTGAAGTTTTGGAATCTTGAGCGGTCAGGTTGCTCACTGGGGTTAGGCAGTTTGAGCACAGGATTACACCAATCCTGGCACAGCTGCACTGGCTGCCAATTAGTTTCCAGGCTCAATTCAAAGTGCTGGTTTTGACCTATAAAGCCTTAAATGGCTCAGGACCACAATACCTCAAGGACCACCTTTCCCCACATGAACCGACCCAGACCCTGCACCCATCGTCTGATGCCCTTCTTTATGTGTCCCCTCCACGAGAAGCCTGGAAGGTGACAGAATGAGAACAGGCATGCTTGTGGAATGCTCTCCCCAGGGAGGCTCACTTTGTGCCTTCATTGCACATCTTTAGGGGCAAGGCAAAAACATTTCTTTATCACTGAGCCTCTGGGTGATTAACATTGTATGGCCTTTTAAATCTGTTTGTGGGAGGGGAATATTGGTTCGTTTTTTGTTTTATTATGTATTTTCATTCTTTATGTTGTGAACTTCCCTGCGATCTTTGAACGAAGGGTGCTGTACAAATTAAACATAAAGAATAATAGCAACACATGACTATGAGTATTTTTCTTAAAATATTGTAAATAGCTTTGAGGTGCTATGACAAAAAAACTATTAACACATTTAATAAATAATAACAATAATAACAAAAGCAGGTCAATAAGATGCTTAGAATGCAGATTGATATTGTCCTTTATGTAAAAATGTGGTGTGTGTTTTTTTACTGTACTGCTTTTCTCCTCCCCCGCACCTCAGGCAGATCGGGAGCGGCGCAGAGAAATTTCTTTACTAGATGACATTTCATCGCAATGTCCGATCGTTTGGGGCAACTTACCAAGGGAAAGGATGGGAAAAGCAAGTACTCCACTCTCAGCCTGTTTGATAAGTATAAAGGAAAGTCAGTAGAAGCTATCAGGACCACAGGTAAGCAAGGAGGGGGGAGTGAACTTGGAGGGAAGCGGAGAGGGAACTATGGGCTAGAGGCTTTGGATTCATGGACAGTCTTCTGTGCAATAACAGTTGCCTTGCAAATAAGCTCACATAAGTTACTAGCCTGGTAGGAGGAAGGTTCAAGGCTCAGTGGCAAAGCATCAGCTTTGCATGCCAAAGGTCTTAGATTCATCCTCTGGCATCTGAACACAGGGACTGCAGAAGAACTCACTGTCTCAAATCCTGGAGGACGTCAACCGATCAGTGCAGATAACAGTGACCAGGGTGATAGGGCTTTGTGGAAGGGCATTTGTGCTTCTGTTTGTGCATCCAAGGCCAGTGCTCGTAGCTATGGAAGCAAGTGAGGGATGACTTGAAACAGTTTAATCCCTCCAGGGTTTGGGAGACTGCTCTTTTAGAAAGATCAGTGTATAAACTGAGCATCTCTAGAGGTCAAAGCAAGAATAATTTCCTTTCTGTTTGATATGATTTTATTGAGTACGCTTATAATATGAAACATAGCCATTCACCCAAGCTGCATTTAAATGGATCTGGCTGATTCAGTCGAATAATTGCACTAGTGGGCGAGTTTGCAGGAGTCATCATTCCTCCCACCCTTTCAAAAATAAGGGATAACTTAAGTTGATTCTCGAGTATTATATTTTATGTGTCTTTTTTTATACCTCCTTAACCTGTCTTTAAAAATAAAAAAAATATACTTTTCAAGTTTATACATTTCACTAATTTTATACATTTCACTAATTTTACAATCATTTTGACATTTCAAAACTTGACTTCCTTCCCCCTCTTTCTGCAGTTCCTTAAATTTATTTTTTAATATCTTCTGCATATCCAAATTAACTTAATTTGCTCATTTATTCATTTTCTTTAAATATATACTCTTATGAAACTGCAGGTTATTACAATAATCCTGCCAATGTTTTTATCTGTTTACAATTTATCTGTAAAAAGTCAATAAACCATTTCCATTCTTTTATAAAAAGTTTGTTATCTTGATTTCTTATTTTCCAGTAAGTTTTGCCATTTCTGCATATTCCATAAATTTTTGTATCCATTCTTCCTTTGCTGGGACGACTTTTTTCCATTTTGGGGCAAGTAACATTCTTGCTGCTGTAGTAGCATCACTGACGGAGGAAGAGGCGTGCGGGGGAGCACATTGCCACCAGCAGTGTGATCCTGGGGGGGTGCCATTGAGGCTGCCCCCCCCCGTGCGCCACACCCCTATGGGCAGCGCACCATGCCCCCAAGACATGCGCCACGCCCCTACGGGCAGAGCGCCACGGCCCCAAGACACACGCCATGTCCCTACGGGCGGTGCACCACGCCCCCAGGACGTGCGCCATGTCCCTACGGATGGCATCCCCCACAAGATGCGCGTCATGTCACGCCCCAAAGACGCGCCATGCTCCCTGTGGGCGGTGCGCCACACCCCCAGGATGTGCGCCAGCCCCGCCCCGCCTGCTGTCCGCCCCCCCGGTGCTGGAGCATGAAGCTCCGCCACTGAGTAGCATACATGAATAAGTTTCTATACAGTTTAGATAGTTCTTTCCCTATAATTCTCAAAAGAAAAGCTTCTGGGTGCGTTTTTTTACAAAGCTTATTTTAAACATCCTTTTCATTTCATTATATATCATTCCCCTGTAAGCTTTAACCTTACTACAAGACCACCACATATGATAAAAAGAACCTTCTTTCTCTTTACATTTTCAACACGTATTTAATTTAGATTTATACATTTTTGCCAGTTTACTCAGTGTTATATACCATCGATCCCCAACCTCTGTCCTGGTAGTGTCTTCATTTTTGTTCTTTTTAATTAATCTGCCCAGTGTGTTATTGGAAATATAAGCTTTATATTTATATGTGCAGTTTCTTTTTGTTTTGTTAAAATCGTTATGGATGCTGTACATATGTTTAGCATTTGGTTGGAAAGTGTGCTAATATCTCTCCCCCCCTTTTTTTCTTTTGAACAACTCCCTGCTCATTTATCTGAGTCCCAAACAGCTTAGGACTCCCAATACCTAAAAGACTGTGTCCTTCCCTACCCACCTTATTAGGTGCTGAGATTGGCAGAGAGAGCCCTCTTGGTACTTCTGCCTCCCTCAGAAGTTCAGGGCTGGGGGTGGCCTGGGAGAGGACCTTCTCTGAGGCTGCCCCTAGGCTGTGGAACTCCCGCCCCACAGAGGCACCTTCGCCATATAGTTTCCTTTTAATGCTGAAGTCTCATCTTTTGATGGGTGTATATTTTTAGGTTGCACCTTGTTTCTGTGATTGCAAGTTGTCTTTAAACTGTTTTTAATGTTTTAAAGGGACGCGGGTGATGCTGTGGTCTAAACCACAGAGCCTAGCGCTTGCTGATCAGAAGGTCGGCAGTTTGAATCCCTGTGATGGGGTGAGCTCCCGTTGCTCGGTCCCTGCTCCTGCCAACCTAGCAGTTCGAAAGCACATCAAAGTGCAAGTAGATAAATAGGTACCACTCCGGCGGGAAGGTAAACGGCATTTCCGTGCGCTGCTCTGGTTTTGCCAGAAGCGGCTTAGTCATGCTGGACACATGTCCCGGAAAAACTGTCTGCGGACAAACGCCGGCTCCCTCAGCCAGTAAAGCGAGATGAGCGTTGCAACCCCAAAGTCGTTTGTGACTGGTCAGGGGTCCCTTTACCTTTTTAATGTTGCGTTTTAATTGTTGCAACCTAGGCTGGGACCTTAGTGTGAAGGGCTGATGGTTATATTTGGTAATGATAGTGATAATAATGAAAATTAAAATAGCTCTCCCTCTCCAGTTATTCCTAGACATGGCTTACAGAGTCTTGGGAAAGTTGCTGCTGCCCGGCGCATGCCACCTCCTGCCAATTTGCCAAGTTTGAAGTCTGAGAACAAAGGAAACGACCCTAATATCATCATCGTACCCAAGGACGGCACAGGATGGGCAAACAAGCAGGACCCGCCAGACCAAAAGAGGTAGGAGGAGGAGGAGGAGGAGGAGCAGCACCCTCAACCCCTGGTCCTTTGCTCGCAGGAGGCAGTGCCTTGTGCATTCAGCTTGAGTTCTCCGAGTATTTTTATTATTTTATTTATTTTATTTCTAGACCACCCTTCATTTGAGAATTACAAGGTGGTTTACAGTATAAAAACACAAACAAAAAGTAATAACAAAGCAACAACCCCCCCCCCCCCCAGTGAACAGCCTGGCTGCTCAAGTTTCTAAACCGTCTTTAGAGGCAACCCTACATATAACTTGTTGCAGTAATCTAACCTTAGAGGTCACCAGAGCATAGGTAACGGACGTTAAAGTACACCTGCTGAAATAAATAGAGCTAAGTTGCATCCATTAATGGGTCTGCCCTGAGTATAACCAGCATTGAGTTGTATCCAATGTTACGCCCGATTCACACCATACATTTAAAGCACAACAATACCACTTTAAAAAGCCATGACTTCCCTACCAGAGGATTTTTGGAATGGAGCAGATAAACCATCTATCCCTAATCGCAAGGAACCCGTGGAATATTGGCTCCATTGGCTTTGTTTCAAGCAAACCACAGCTAATGCTGAGTCCATTGCTTGGCAACAGTGTGGTCAGCTGCTGTTAATTAAAAACAGGAGCAATATTTTTCCAAACCACTTTTTTTGCGGCTGCACTAGAAGATGATGGGGGTGAGGTATGCATGCCCAAGACTGGCCTAGACTTTTTCCTTTCACACTGGACAGTGGCTCCAGCTTCTGGGGATAGGGAAGGGTAGTAGGAGCTTGCTGAGATGCTCAGGCTGCTGCGTGGTGCAGGTGTCCAAGCAGCTCCCAGACTTTGAGCTGTGAATGGAGGACCACCACAGAACTGCCAGGTCAGTTCCAACTCTCTGCTGAAACTTCCAAGCTGTGTAAAAGGCTGGAGTCTCATCATGCTTGCTAAACTGCTGCAGCGCAGATCAGATCAGAAGAATGTTTATTTGCATCAGCCACTAGCCATAGCAATAAAATAAAATAAGATGTACTGAAGATAGAGGTAAAAACTTAGCTATACAAAATACATTTTGGAGGTTTACATCAATAATCAAATAATAGACTGCAGTGCACAAATTTATTTTATTTGTAGAAAATATTTATATACTGCCGCATCATAAAAATACATCACAGCGATTTACAGCAATATAAAACAGTACAGTAAAACCAATTAAAAAAGTAAAAACCAAAAATCTTTTTAAGAAAAACATACTTCAATAGACTATTGTGACGGATATACTCTTAATTGCCTGTATAGGCCTGACGGAATACAAATGTTTTCAGCAGGCACTTAAAAGTTGGCACAGCCGGTGCCAGCTGAATCTCAGTTGGCAGCCTGTTCCACAGGACTGGGGCAATGACACTAAAAGCTCAATTTCTCATGGTCATCAAATGAGCCTCACCAACTCAGGGAATTGCCAGAGATGCTCTTGCAGGCTATCTTGGTGATTGATCTGGGATATAAGGGCTCAGGCGGTCTCTGTGGATATCCTGGACCAAGTTGTTCAGGGCTTGGTTGCAGTGTAGAGGGCTTAGGCTGCAGTTGTGGCTTGGTGGCAGATGTCTGTTGAGCTGGTCTTGATTTTGGGGCTTGGCCCACATAGCACGCGCAGTGTTTTAACTCTCCCCTGTTCTTGCCTTCCCCCAGTTCCAGTGCCACGGCCGCACAGCCGCAGGAGTTGCTGCCGCAGCAGGATTTGCAGAAATCTGTCTCCAGTTTACAGAAGCTGACGCAGTCAATCAGTCAGGAGGTGAGAGAATCATATTGGTTTTTCATGCCCCATGCGCATTCCATCTTTGATTGAAAAGTGCTGCTTTCCTTGTCTGCTCAGCTCTCTTGGACATGGGTTGCCAGTCTGCCCATTCATATTAAGTCCCGATGCTGTCAGGTCCTGATCCAGCTGGACTCTGCTTCATTCTCTTTTTGTCTTCTTCCACAGAGTACAAATTCAGTGCCAGGTGGACCAAAGTCATGGGCACAGCTGAATGGAAAGCCAGCCGGACCAGAAGGTGGTAAGTATAGGCAACCCCTGGTTTGCGCAGAGGTTGTGTTCTGGGTCATTGCACGTGTTGGTGGGGCGCACATGAGTACACCCCCTTCTGGGGCCGAAAAAGGTATGCTTGTCAGTGGTCACATGTGCCTTGAAAGCACGTGAAACGGAAGTTGCCGTAACATATAGGCCGTTGTGCATATTTTGTTCTTCTGGTTTTGTCTTTCCAGCTAAGAAGGAGGGATAGTTTTTGGAGCATGGAGCCCCAGCCTCTCTGCCTGATCACCTTGTCCCTCTTTTCTCCCCTCTCATCAGGTTCAAGGGCCTCAAGCCGACAGTTATCCTTCTCTCCCGAGGAGTTTCCAACGCTGAAAGCAGCTGGCAAGCAGGACAAGGCTGGCAAAGAAAAGGGCGTCTTAGATCCGTCGTATGGGCCCGGACCAAGCCTCCGCCCCCAGAGTACGTAAACAGTAGGAGCCAGAGTCCTCCTCTCACTGTAGCAGACTCATTTCCTGGCCTCAGATGTACACACAGATGTTCAAACACCTCAGTGGCACAATATAATGCCCCATCTGCACTGTTTATTAAGCAGTATCCTACCACTTTAAACAACCATGGCTTTCCCTCCAAGGATTCTGGGAGCTGTAGTTTGTTAAATTTTAAGAGCTGTTAGGAGGCCCTTTCATAATAAAACTGCAATTCTTAGAGTTCCCTGGGAAGAGGGATTGATTACTAAGCCTCTCTGGTATTTTTAGCTTTGTGTGGGAATAGGGGTCTCCTAACAACGCACAGCAATCTTAACAATCCACACTTCCCAAGATGCTTTGGGGGAAGCCATGAGTGTTTGAAGTGCTATGATGCTCCTTTAAATGTATAGCACGGATAGGGCCTAAATTGCTCCTGAAGGTGGTACTTAGCACTTGCAAGATTGAATGGAATATTCACAGTAAATTGATTTAAATGCTGGAAATGCACATTTTTCTCCATAGATGGTGGGAATGCCCATTCATAACTAATCATTGGAGGCAGATAGTATAGGCTGTAACTCTAATGTAATAGGAACCACTCTTGAGACTCAGCCCAGTATTGATTCTGTTTTAATATAATCGGGGATGAAATGGTTACAAACCTGTAATCACAAGAATACAGTGGTGCCTCGCAAGACGAAATTAATTTGTTCCGCGAGTTTTGTCGTCTTGCGATTTTTTTCGTCTTGCAAAGCACGGTGTCGGGAAAGTTTTGGAAAAGGTTCAAAAATCACCAAAGTCTTTAAAAACCTCAAAAAAGGCTACCACACCGCGTTCTATGAGTTGCTCCTCGAAGTCAAGTCGCAACTGTATTAACGGTGTTAAGAAAAAGGAAACAAACTTGCAAGACGTTTCCGTCTTGCGAAGCAAGCCCATAGGGAAATTCGTCTTGCGAAGCAGCTCAAAAAACCCTTTGGTCTAGCGAGTTTTTTGTCTTGCGAGGCATTCGTCTTGCGAGGTACCACTGTACATCTTGTTGGTAGCTGCCAACCCAGCGTGAACCCAGAAACAGAAGTGTCAGCAAGCTCCAAAAAGGAAAGGAATTTGTTCATAAGATATATGGAATCAGACAGAAATGGATAAGTTAATCAAACTAGTTCAAACGAGAGAAGGAAGGTTTCAGATTGTTGATTTTGCAGAGAGGTGGAAATGTTTTGTTGAGTCCAGGGACACAAGATAGGGAAATGTAAGATGGAAAAGACAACACTAGGAACATGGGCCTGGTGGGTGGCCTAGAGGACAGCCGGTTTGTTTTGGTGTTTTCTCCCTGCCCTTGTCTCTTACAAGGGTACTGTGAACACTTGGCAGCTCCCCCTTCTCCACTTGGAGACAAGGGTGAAAGGTGGAACCTGTTGGCCATAGTGATGTTTGTGATTTACTGTATTGTGCACAGCTGTGATTGGCCAGCAGAGTAAATGGACAGCAAATACTCCAGGGAGTCTCTGAATTATATAGGAAGTTTATGAATAGGGTTGGGGCTGGGGTGGGGAGGGGGGGAGACCTAGGACTGTTGGACTAATGCCATGGATTATGGTACAGAAAAAATGCTTCTGGTAGGGCTCTGTCCCACCTTGCCTTGCTGACCAGCTTCCCTTGATAGGAACTTTTGAAAAACTCAGCTGTGTGTTCAGACAGTGGTGTATTTCTGAAGCAGAGTTATAGTTTATTTGCCATTTTCACAATGTGGAACTCCCAAGAGTTGACATTTCCCATTAATAAAGTAGCCAACATTCTGAATTCAATATGTCATATCTCCACCGTACTCGCTGCAAGATTCAAGGCTTTCATATACATTCATATAAGGCAGAGGTGGGGACCCTGCAGCCCTCCTGATACTGTTGGACTCCAGTTCCCATCAGCCCTCAGTGGCCAGGGATGATGAGAATTATAGTCAATAATATCTGGAGTTCCATTGGCTCCCCATCTCTGATATAAGGGCCCATAGCCGCTGTTTTCCAGTATTAAGCAGCCTTTCCCAAACTGATTCCCTCCAGATGTTTTAGACTATATGTCCACATCAACCCTGACTCTTGGCCATGTTGACTGGGTCTTGGCAGTTGCAGTCTAAAATGTCTAGAGGGCCTCAGGCTGGCAAACACTGCCTTAATGTTTCAAATGGTACCTGTGGATTGAGTTAAGAGCATGGGAGCTGATAAGTAGTAACAATACAGCCATTTCATTTTCAAAACAAACAAACTGTTCTTTATATTTCCTAGTAGCAGCAGCAGCAGCTGTAGCCAGACAAAAACATTCCTCTTTAAAATTCACATCCAATGCCCTTTTAAAATGTGTTAGGGAGGGCGGTTATCAGGTTCTCTTTGTTTTTATTTTGATTATGTATTTTGTGTTTTTATATTGTGATTTTATCCTGTGAACTGCCCTGAGACCTGCGGGTATAGGGCAGTATACAAAATTTAATAATAATAATAATAATAATAATAATAATAATAATAGTAATGTTCATCTTAGAACTGTGGTTTCCCCTCCACACAGATGTCACGAGTTGGAGGGAGGGCGGTGGCAGAAACATAACCCCTGCTGCATCTTTGACCGCCTCCCTGGCTGAGCTGGGCTGCAAGACCTCCAGCGCAGGAGACGGAGCCCCCTCCTCAGCAAACGCCAGTGACCTTAAGGAGCCCTCTCTCCGCTCTACTCAGCAGATCCGCAAGGGGGCTTCGCAGTTCATGGCCAATGCCTACCAACCCCCAACTTACCATGACATGCTACCAGCTTTCGTGAGTCTTCTCCTTCTTGTTTTGTCTTTTGACACTTGTGTTTTGAACTTTTGAGTTTTGAACTCTTATTCATTTCTTTCCAGATGTGCTCAAACCAACCATCTGAGACTCCTGGGCCGGTGGACCGCGGTTCCTTCCCCCTCCCACAGTTTCGCCTGGAGCCCCGTGTCCCTTTCAGACAATATCAGACCAACGACCAAGATGGGTAAGGCTGTTCCTAGTTAGACAGCTACGATGGCTGTGTTCTGTTTCCAAGACCAGTAGTGCTGGAGACCACAGGAAGGGAGAGTGCTCTTTTGCTTGAGTCCTGCTTGCCTGTTTCCCGCAGGAATATGGCTGGCCACTGTGAGAAGAGGATGCTGGACTGGATGGGCCATGGCCCTGATCCAGCAAGGCTTTTCTTAAGTTCTTTAAAGGCAAGGAGCATTATCAGAACAACTGGCTCATCTGTCACAGCAGCTGAGCCTTTGTAGTGCTGGTTGCGACTGGTGAGAGTTATAGTCCAAGATAGCTGTGTTGGTCAAGACTGATGGGAGTATTAGTCCACAAATGACTGGGCTAGTCAGGGCTGAGGGGTGTTGTAGTCCAAGATAGTCATGCTGGCCAGGACTGATAGGAGTTGGAGTATTCCAGGTTGGCCAAGAAAAGAGACACTACGTACTTCTCTCTGGTTAAAAACAGTCCTCGGGAGGTGGGGGGGGGGGAGGTATTGAATGACAACCATGGCAGCGGGAAGGGGGTTTAACCCTGCTGCTCACATCCCATTTGTGTATTTTGTTTCGTTTGTACATCACTCTGCGATCCCATGTGATGAAGGGGGGTTATAATGATGATGGGTGATGATGGCAATGATATCTTCCAAGGCTAATAGCATGGGGTGGGTGCTATTTACGTCTCGGAAATGCCGTAGGCTGAAGCGTTCCTACGGCTGGAAGATACCACTGGTGAATTGCTTGTGTCTCGGCTTGTTTGGCCTTGAGACCTGTCCAGGAAGTAGCAGGTGCAGCTGACTGCTGAGTGCGCAAGCACAGCGTGGCCACCTTGTTTGCTGCACCAGCCCTCGCTGCTTGCTTTAGGCGGCTCACCCTGTCCCTTTGTTGGCTGTGCACGCTTCCTTAGCAGGCACACAATTTCTTTCTGCCTTGCTCTCCACAGAAAAGAAAACCGGCTTGGGGTCTTGCGCCCTGCCCGGCCGCAAGGGGAGCGTGTTCCCCGGCCCACTATCATCAACGCAGAGAACCTGAAGGGGCTGGATGAACTTGATAATGATGCAGACGATGGATGGGCAGGTAAAAGGCCCAGTTGCGTGAGTTTGGGCTCTGTGGCCAGGCTGTAGTGTTCAATTTCTGGGTCCCATCCCCCCCCTTCCTTTGGTGGCTCACATGGGTCCCTTCTCCCTCTGCCCATTCATGATTATAGTAAAACAAAAATAAAGAAACCCAAAGCATTGCATTGATGGAAGGTGCTGACGTCTTTCTCTAGTGCCAAACCGGTAGGGTAGTTCACTATTTTTGTTTGTTTATTTAAAAGCATTTCTAAACAGCTTAATATTTTAACAGTCCCTAGGCAGTACACACTATGTGCAGCGGGAGAGAATCCAGGGGCCATGCTGATATTTTTTGTTATTACCATTAACCGCCTTATAAATTGCCAGCTCAAGGCAATTTACGCATAAGGTAATTAAAGAAGTTAAAAATATAGAAATGAAAAATACATTTAAAACAAGACCTAAACCCCTAATCAGCGAACATTTGTAGTAAAGACCCTTTTATCCAGCTGGGAAAAAATGTCGATACAAAAATGCCTTCAGCTCTTTCTGTGAAGTAGAGATGGTGGGCGCCTGTTGTATATTGAGAGGAATGCTATTCCACAGAACATGGGCACCACACTAAAAGCTCTGCTCCTCTTGAGTTACTGCAGAGCTGGTTTCTGAGATCTTTGGCCTTTTGTGTCCTGTTGGTTTTGAGTGACAGGCCCAGCCAGGCATAGGATGTGCAGATAACTTCAGGGAAGTGAGCTAACCACCCTCCATCTCTTTTGTTGCTGTTGCAGGGATCCATGACGAAGTGGATTACTCTGAGAAACTGAAGTTCAGCGAAGATGAAGAGGAGGAGGAGACTCATAAGGACGGGAGGCCAAAATGGTAAGAGCAGTGGTGGGACAGGGAATCCGCAGCTTAGCGGGCCTCCTTCAAGCAACACACAGAGAGGTTGCTGTGCCCATGAATGTGGGTGAGAGAGGCAGAAGGTAGTGAGGCCTGCTTTGCACACAGAGCAGGAGGAGGGAATATTTTTCAGCCGCAGGGCCATGCTCTCATTTGTCTTATCTAGTCTGACACCCTTTTCTCACGGTTGCGAACCAGATGCCTGTGAGGAAAACTGCAAGTAGGACCTGAGCACAAGAGCCCTCTCCTCTTCTGTAGTTTCCCAACTGATTTTCAAAAGCATTAGTGCCTCTGACCATGGAGACAGAGCAGAGCCATCGCAGCTGTTGATAGCCTTCTCTTCCATGAATTTGTCCAGTCTTGTTTTAAAGCCATCCTAATTGGTGGCCAACACTGCCTCCTGCAGGAGCAAGTTCTATAGTTCAACTGTGTGCTCTGCGAAGGTCTTTCTTTTATCTGTCCTGATTCTTCCAACATTCAGCTTCATTGGGTGCCTCCGAGTTCCATTGTTACGAGAGAGGAAGAAAAGTTTTTCTCCACCCACTTTCTTCAGGCCGTGCAAAATTTAATGAACTTCAATCATGTCATCTCTTCTTTGACTTTTCTCTAAACTCTACAAAGTCCCAAGCGCTGCAGCCTTTCCTTATGTGCAGTTCTCTGGGGGCTGCATGCCAGGGGTGCATGTGACCATATGAAAAAGTGGACAGAGCAATGGACGTGACTCTCACCTTTCTAGGCTAGGTTGCTTTGCAGAGGTGTCTGTACACATATACACTGCTCCCCATCTTTCCAACCAGGCAAGCAAGCCACATTATCACAGTTGCAGGACGTTCTATCCAGGCAGAAGCAGTGAAAGGCAGAGCAGTTGAGGGATATGAATGGATGGGGAACAGGAGTGTGTGGCATTGGGAGAGTCCCAAGGGCTTGAGGTACCCCCACCCCGATGCAGAAGCCCTCCGCTCCTGTCCTCAACAACTGCAGTTGATAGGAACATAGGAAGCTGCCTTATACCTGTTCAGAGAAATGCTCAGTCCAGTTCCATATTATCTGCACTGACTGGCAGCAACTCTAGGGTTTGAGGCTGGAGCCTCTCTCAGCCTTATTTGGAGAAGCCAGGGAACCTGGGGCCTCCTGCAGACAAAGCACATGCCCTGCTACTGAGCTACAGCCTTTCTTGGCTAAAAACAGGAAGGTCAGAAAAAGGGTCCATCTAGCTTCATATTGTCTATGCTCACTGGCAGCAGCTCTCTAGGGTTTTTAGACAAGGGACCCCCCTAGCCCTGCCTAAAGAAGCTGGGGGCTGAACCTAGCACCTTCTGCAATCAAAGCAGATGCTCTGCCCCATTGTACTTTGCCTTTCTCTTCAGTGGCAGGTTTGGAGAAGATTTTCCACTTCTCTTTAGGTCCTGATGAGCCTCTGTATGGCTTGATGGGGTGTGTATGTGTGTGGCATAGATAGATAGATAGATATAATGTGTGTGTGTGAGAGAGAGTGAGAGAGAGTGAGAGAGAGAGAGAGAGAGAGAGCTTGAAGTCCAGTTGGTGCTGTTTTAACATCCAATGTGTCTTAATTGACAGGAACACCTGGGACCCCAGAAGGCAGCGGCAGCTCTCCATGAGCTCAGCAGACAGCACAGAGGCCAGGCACCCCCCGGAAGAAGCAAAGAACTGGGGCGACTTGGCTGGCCTGTCTCGGCCAATCCGTAAAGGACCAGATAACTTGCCTCCCTCAGGGAAAGTGAATGGCTGGGCTCCCCTTTCAGACTATCAGGTATGGTGGGCTTGCTCAGCATGGTGGCTTGCTATTAACTGCTATGTTAGTGTGCCATGTTAGTGGCTGCTATGAAGGAGATGGGAAAGGGCTTTTGCATATAGCGTTAAAAACCTTTTCCTGTACTGTGCTACTGTGAGGTGTGCATTTCCAGGCTGCTTGAGTGTTTCCCCATATTAAAAGCAATCGGAATACATTCCTGCATTCATTCATTCATTCATTCATTTTTGACTGAACATTTTTATTGACACTATTGCAATGTTCTGTTTTTGTTCTTTTAATTTTTCCCCCTTGTTCTTTTCCCCCCATTTTTGCTACACAAATTCAATATAGAAAGTAGAAATGCAAAAATGATTAAATATGAACAGAAAAAAAGAATATTCAGTATATATAAATAAGTTACACAACCTACTTATTTATCTATTGCTCATTTCACTGCACATTCAGATGTGCACATGTATGAACATACTATCACATACGTGGGTTGCTATTACTTCTTTATGCTCTATGCCACAGTATTATGCTTGTATATTACACTAGGGGCTGGGCCCCTGCTTGCTCTGCTCGCCAACCCCCTTGCCACTCCCTCCACATTAACCCCCTAGAGTTTCCCATTCCTGCTCCATGTAACTACTGAACCCACTTTTCACTCTTCTGCTTTGCAATCCTACTTCGCACCCCTGTTTTCACCCCACATCCATGCCTCCTCCCACTCCCTTTTTTGCAACTCTCCCCACACACAAACCACCTTCATGGTGACCTATGTCTTCCTCCTCCCACACTTTGCAGCTACTGAGCACCCTTTTTGTCTTCCGCCTTGTTAGGAAGCCACCTGCCTTCTGTTCCACAGCCCCTTTTGCATTTCCGCATTCCCTCCCTCACTGCCATGCTGTGCAACTTGCCTTCTCATTTGCTCCCCTACCTCACCCTGACTTCATGCAAATTCAGGCACTACAGATTCTCCAGTGGGGGTTGTGGGACGCAGCCTTTCATTTTTCTGTATATAGGAAGGTACAGAAACGTGGTGTATAGATACCTGAACAAATAAACATAAGAGAAGGGAGCACATTTCCCAGCTTTGCAGATTTCTCCTGCTTGGCGCGGAGATGTTTTCCCTCTCCTTGGTGCGAGTGCCTTTGAACTGTGGTTCACCACTGTAAGGACCTTCTTACTCTTCACCCCCCCCCACCTCCTGTGCTAGAAACCTTCACTGGGGGGCCTCCGGCAGCAGTCTTCTGAGGACAAGGAGGAGAAGCTCCCCCTGCGGCAGAAGTTTGTCCACTCTGAGATGTCCGAGGCTGTCGAGCGGGCCCGGAGGCGGCGGGAGGAGGAGGAGCGACGAGCGCGGGAGGAGCGCCTGGCCGCTTGTGCTGCCAAGTTGAAGGAGCTGGATCAGAAGTGCAAGCTGGCACAGAAAGCTGGAGACGGCCACAAGCACGTGGAGAACGAAGAGCCCAGGCCTGCCACCTTGGAGATGGCCAGCCCGCCGGAGAACAGCCATGCCACCCGGAGAGGTAGGGCTGCACTGGCTGCTTTCATGGGAGGCCAAAGGAGCTATCATACACTGAAGCAGACCATGGGTCCCTCTGGCTTAGTATTACCTACACTGGTTGGCAGCAGCTCTCCAGGGTTTGAGAAAGAAAATGTTCCCCAGCCTTACCTAGAGATGCCGGGAATTGAACCAAGGGCCCTCTGTGTGCAAAACAGATGCCCTGCTTTTGGGGGCGAGGGGAGGGCATTGGGGCCAACCAAGAGGTGCCTTGCCTGGAGCATCTTTGTTAAGAAGACTTTTTTTTCTCTCTCCTTAGCAAACCCTGAGTTTCATACCCAGGAAACTTCTTCCCCTCCTGCTTACCTGGAGGAGGAAACTCTGGCCACGTCAGCAGCACACCGGAGCAGCAGTGAGGAGGAGCTCCGAGAAGCCGTGTCCCCCGCACAGGAATTCAGCAAGTACCCGAAACTGCTTCCCCCACGGTTCCAACGGCAGCAGCAACAGCATGTAAGAACCTCCACTGTGCCAAACACGCCGTTCATCTTGGAGGGGTGTGTCTATGCGCCACGGGGGAGAACTCCCTTTCATGTTATGTTGGCCACAGCCGCACTGTATATTTTAAGCATTGTAGTACCTCTTCACCAGTCATGGCCTCCCCCAAATAATCCTGTGGCTGGCTAAGGGGTGCTGACAGTTGTTAGGAGACCACCTCCCTGTTCCTCTCCCAGAAGCGCCTGGGATAGAGAGCTTGACCACTCTGGAAATCGTATCCCTCTGAGGGGAGCAGGGTTATCCTAACTACTCTCACAACCCTTAAGAGTCATGGCTTCACCCAGAGAATCCCGGGAACTGTAATTTAATGGTGCTGAGAATTGTTAGGAGCACCCCTGTTCCCCCTCACAGAACTACCACTCCCAGAGTTCCCTGGGAAGAGGGGCTGATTGTTAAACCACTCTGGGAACTGTAGCTCTGGAATAAGTTCTAACAACAAACTACAGTTTCTTGAGGGAGGCCGTGAATGTTTAAAGTGCTTGGGAGTATGGGTGGATTATTAAACTACTCTGGCACCTTCTGCATGCAAAACCCTGGCCATCGCCTAAAAATAGAATAAGAGTTCAGTCCTCATAGAGCCAGACCATTGGTCCATCTAGGTCAGTATTGTCAATACTGACTGGCAGTGCCTCTCCAGGATTTCAGGCAAGGAGAATTTCCACCAACTGGAGATGCCATTGGGGGCTGAACCTGATTTAACCCAGAGTCGTAGAATTATGGGAATAGGGAGTCCAGCAATGTGGTTTCTATTCAGGGGCTATGCAGGCACCTGCACTCCATGCCCATTTAGTTTTTTTTCTCCCTCTTAAGGACCAGCTGTACAAAATGCAGAGCTGGCCGCAGTCCCAGGTCTATCCTCCCTCCTCCCACCCTCAGCGGACCTTCTATCCACCACATCCACAGATGCTGGGCTTCGACCCCCGTTGGATGATGATGCCTTCCTACATGGACCCTCGCATGGTCCAGGGGCACCCCCCGGTGGATTTCTACCCCTCAGCCCTCCATCCTTCAGGTAATGTTTCCTTAAAAGGAAGAAAACACCAGTGCTTAAATTGCATCAAATCATAGTTTGTGCTAACCAGGAGTTAGAATGCAACCATGGTTTAGCTTTCATACAGGCAAACCATGGTTTAGAGCTGATTGCCTGCTTTCATTTTCCTCTTGCTCTCTGTACACCCCATTTTTTATATCTCTTTGTAAGCCATGGTGATGAGCTGATAATCCATGTGAGCAAAGGCTGGTGCACTGATGTCATTGTAAGGGTCAGGTGATTGACAGGTAGGCAGCCCCACTCACTTGTCAAACCGGACCCTGCAGGATATGGGGGTGGGTGTGGGAGATAAGGTTTAAGCCTTCCAGCTAAATCCAGTTCCCCACTAAAGACTTAGAGGTAAGGGTCGTTGAGAAATCTTTAATGTTTTGTAAAACACAGGGTCCAATAGAACAGAACCCAGGAAGTTTCTAGATCTCTAATGTATGTTCCACAACATATATGGAAACAAATGAAAACATTTCCAGAGATCATCCCAAAGACACATCTAGTCCGGCATCCTGTTCTCACAGGGGCCAACCAGAGGCCCCCAAGGGAAGCTCACAAGCGGGAATGGGAGCACAACCTGTAATTCCCAGCAGTTCCCAGTATTCAGGGGCACACTGCTTCTGACACTGGATGTAGCAGGTAGCCATCATGGCTAGCAGCCATCAATAGCCTTATCTTTCAGATATTTGTCTAATCTTCTTTTAAAGCCATCCAAACTAGTGGCTGTCACGGCTCTAATAGTTTTTGGTTTGGTTTGTTCATTTGTTTTCCAAATTGCAGTTAATTATTCAAAGGTTGCTAGCCTTCATGCCTTCCCCAGGGAAAGAGTTAGAGGGCACCTCGGGACTGGGGATTACATCAGGGGTGAGATGAGCACAGGATGCTATCTTAGACTGAGTCAGATCATTCATGCACGTAGCACACTGGCCAACAGTCACTCTCAGACATTTTTTTGGGGGGGGGGGTCGTGTATGTGCATCTACCTCTCCAAGCCCTACACACAGAAGCTGGGGGTTGATCCTGGGGCCTCCTGGGTGCCTCTATCTCAGAACCCAGTTTGGGCTCCCAAGCTTTCCATTGCCTCCTCTCCTTATCTCTCCTTCTGTCCCAAAACAGGGGCCATGAAGCCGGCGGTCCAGCAGGATTCCCTGACCAATAGCAGCTGCCTGTCGAAGGAGCAGAACAGCCAGCCCTCCATGCAGCAGGAGAGGAAGCCTGTGTCCGGGGAGACCCCTCCACCAGTGTGGGGTCAGGAGAGCTACACTCCCTCTCAGAGCAAAGGCTGCCCCATTTCCCGCCCGAAACAGACCGAAGGCATGGCCAGCGAAGGACTGCACGCCAGGTGAGGGGGAAACCTGCCCAGGTGCTCTCATCATGAGGACACTCAGGCCCCTGGCTCGGTATTGTTTGAATTGACAATGCAGCTGTTCTTCTGGGTTGCAGACGATGATCTCTCCTAGCTCTGCTTGGAGATGCCATTGAACCTGGGACCTTTTGCATGTAAAGTTCCGCCACTGAGTTACAGCCCTTCTCCTAAAACCTACGATACTCCCTTATCCTGAGTCAGTTCCATTGGCCCACCTAACTCAGTACTGTCTGCACTGATTAGCATGCTGGGGACTGAACTTGGGATTGTTTGTAAGTCATTGGCACGGTGGAAGTGCTCCTGTTGTAAACCACCTTGCTTGGATCAGGCCGCAACCTTCCCAAAGCAATGATATTCCAGACTTTTCAAACTGCCTGAGGAAAGGGAAATGTTTTTATCCAGCACTGAGAAATTATGAGAAGGAGTCTGTAGGGACGTTTATATTTTTGAATTCTGAATGATCCGGATTTTTTAATTAAAAAAATAAGCTGTTTCGCTAAATTGCCTCTGGATTTGAGTCCTCGACCACCTGCCTATGCCACAGCCCTCCCTTGCGCTATGTGCTCTGCCAGTAATTGGGCACTCCACTTTTGCGAAGTGTCCAGTGCCTAGAGGGCAAGAAGAAAAGCAAAAATTACAGCGTATTAATGATAGAATTGTAGAGTTGGGACTCCAAGGGTCATCTGGCCCAACCCCCTGAAATCATAAGCATTCATTGCAGTGAGTGAGAGTGGCAGGTGATGGTCTTGGGAGCTTTCCAATATTAAATCTGGACCAACTGCGGATGCAAGTCCACAGCACTTTGCTTTTGCTGAAACAGAACTCTAGCAAAAGCCAGCATCCTGTTCTTACAGCGGCTAACCAGATGCTCCAACTGATACTCAGAGGCAGAACATAGCCCTCATGGCTAGTAGCCATTGATTGCCTTCTCTTTTATGACCTTGTCTGAGCCTCTTTTAAAACCATCCAAGTTGGTGGCCACCCCTGCATCTTGGATGCAGAGAGAGAGAGAGATGGAGGAGGAATATGAATATTGGAAGGCTAAGAACCTAAGGAGAGCCCTGCTGCCTCAGATGAAAGTCCAACATCCTTCTCACAGCTGGCCAACCAGGTGCTCTCATGGGAAGCCCACAAGCAGGACCTGAGCCCACTAGTGATTCCAGGGGAAATGGTGTATCCTCTCCAGCAGGAGAGGTGGTACATAGCCGTTGTGGCTAGTAGCCACTGATAGCCACATCCTCCATGAACCTTTCTGATTGTCTTTTAAAGCCATCGCAAGTTGTTGACTGATTTTTTATTTTTTTGTGGGGGACATTTTCCTTTTTCAGGAACAACAGCTCCTACTCATCGCAGAGCACCAGCATCAACCCTGCACGTGACCTGTTTGAGGAGTCCAGAGAAGATTACTTAAACATCTTTGACAAGAAGCCCCAGGCCAATTTTGACAGCTGCATCGGCTCCTCCCAAAGGCTGAGCCAAGACCGTCTCTTCCCACATCAAGAATGTGCCCCTTCTGTTAGCACTGCCGACCCTCACCACACCAACCTGAGGAGCACCTCCTTGGAAGCCGGCTTGGCCCACAGTGATAAGAAGCCAGAGTACAACGGCTGGGATACCAGCCACTATCAGAAATCCTCGGACGGGACGGCTTCTGCAAATGAAGAGGCCTGCCGAGATGAGCAGTCCTTTGGTGCTGAGGCATGGAAGAAAGACGGGCCTGCCAGCAAGCAGGCAACTGCCAAGCCAGGGTGGGCTTCTGAGAGCCGAAATGCCAGCAGCCAGCAGCAACAGCAGCAACAACAGCAGCACCAGGAGCAGACGGGGAGGGCTCGAAGATCTGGCCCGATTAAGAAGCCAGTCCTGAAGGCTCTCAAAGTCGAAGAGAAGGAGAAAGAGCTGGAAAAAGTGAAAGCAGATGGGGAAGAGGCCGCCCCTCCCCCACCAAAGGAGAAGGCCCCGGTTCACAAGGCGCAGGAGGAGGAGGAGGAGGATGACCATGATTCTGCTGCCTTGCTCCATTCTGCCCGCTTCCACTTGCTGGACGAGAAGTACCCCTCTCGGACAGTGGTCCAAGAAGCCGAGAAACCATGCGAGGAGGAGAAGGAGGAGGAGGGTGAAGAGCAGGAAGAGGAGGAAGAGGAGGAGGAGGAGAAAAACGGGAAAGTCTGGGAGGCCAAGGCTCAGTCAAGGGAGTCCAGTGACTTGCCCCCCACCAAAAGAAACAACTGGATATTTATTGATGAGGAACAAGCCTTTGGCGGAAGGGGACAGGGACGTGGTCGTGGCTTCCGGGAGTTCACCTTCCGAGGCCGTGGCAATGCTGTGGGCTGTGGCAGTGGCAACATCAGTAGCCGGGGTGCCTACAGCAGCAACAGCACTAGCGTCTGCAGTGCTCAGCGAAGTAGCAGAGGGCGGCCCCTGAGGGAATTCAACCAGCCAGAAGAGTTCCCACGAGGGAAGCTCAGGCGCAGGATTGCCAGCGAGACCCACAGCGAAGGTTCAGAGTACGAGGAGCTGCCCAAGCGCCGCCGCCAGCGGGGCTCTGAAAACAGCAATGAGGGCTCCCTTGTGGAAAGGGAGGAGAGCGACCTCAAGAAGGGAGACTTCCGCGACTCCTGGCGGTCCAACAAGATCTATTCGGATGACCAAGGTACCCTGGATGCCAGAGCGAGGGCCCCACGAGCTTTCGGGCGCTCGCTACCTCCGAGACTTAGCAATTCTGGGTATGGGCGAAGAGGCTTTGCTTCCAAGGAGCCTTCCCAGTGGCAGGGCCGGAATGGGGGGAACACGTGGCAGGAGTACGGCCACGGCACACCTCTGGACACCTTTGGGGCCAGGCGCCTGTCTGAGAGGGACTATGGCCAAGACTCATATAAGCACCCAGACTCCTTCACCAGGCGGGCCAATGAGGAGGATTCATTAGACAAGAGGCACTACTTCCAGGAGGATTACGGGGGTGATCCCGAGAATGCTGAGAATCGTCCTTTCCGCCGCCGGCGCCCACCTCGTCAGGACAAGCCTCCCCGGTTCAGGCGCTTGAGGCAGGAGCGCGAGTCCATGGGGCAGTGGAGCCCGGAAGACGGCGGAACCAACCTCCTAGCTTGCCAGTGGCCAGGGAGAGCCAAGCTGACCATGATGGATCGGGGTGGTGCCGCTACCAGGAGGTCTCCTGAGCTGCCCTACCAGAACTCCTCTGACCATGCCAATGAGGAGTGGGAGACGGCCTCTGAGAGCAGCGACTTCAGCGAGAGGCGGGAGAGGCGCGGTGGCAGTGCCATCTCGGAGGGCGAGGCCCAGCAGGACGGCAATCTCTCCAGCAGCGGCATGGGGGAGAAGAGGGAGCTGGCCAAGAGAAGCTTCTCCAGCCAGAGACCCTTAGTGGATCGGCAGAGCCGGAAAGCTGATTCGACTGGGTTTGGGGAGAAAGCTGTGAGAGCTGGTGGGAATGGAGCAGCCTCCTGCTACGAAAGCCAGCAGATGAATGGGGCACAGATAAAAACAAAAAGGTAAGCCTTACAGCTTTAATGTCCTCCCACCTTCCAAAGTAATGGCTGTAGTTGTGCAATCAGAATCTTCTGCTTAATAAACAAAGATTTTGCTTTATTCGTTTTGTAAAATTGATGCGGTGGGCCTTCCACTTAGGTGACGGTTCAGTTCTGGGAGTCCCATGTGCAAAGCCAAAATTGTGCCCCCCAGAACTGCCCCTTCCCCACCCCCACAAGGCAGGACTGCTTACCAGGGACTGGGAAAGTCGCATGAGGGCTTTGGGAGCTCCTGTGACCTTAGACACCCTGGGAAGCGACATGCCGGGCTTTGGGAAGGAGGCACAAGGGATGCCGCCAGAACTCTTGCACTGCCTTTCCAAAGTTTGAGAAGTGAGGAAAACACACTGGGTGGGGAAATAAATAAATGGAGAGCGGGAACGGTGGGTTTCCCCCTACCCGTGCAATTATTATTCCCCCACCTGCACAAAGCTGCTATTGTATAAGTTTACTGTACACCACCCAGTTGTAGAAAAAACACAGTCAAAGTGGTGTGCAAAAAAGACAAAACTATAAAATTATCAATAAGAGAATTAATAATAGTTTGAGACTTTCAGAATGTTAAAATAAAGTAACAATAGGCTCAAAACAGATTAAAGCTCACTCCAGCTTTCTAAACATCTGGATAGGATTGTCTAAATAAAAATGTTTTTAGCAGGTGCCCAAAAGAGTACAGTGAAGGCGCCTGCCTGCTATCTATAAGCAGGGAGCTCCAGTGTGTAGGTGCTGCCACAGTAGAATATTGATTGCTTACGAATGGAGAATGGGTATTACATGGTACCTATAATGGTGGCAGTAGTGGGCTTATGTAGCATAAGGCGACTTTGCATGTAAGGATGTGCCCGGATTGCTGCACTGCACTTAAATTCAACTTCTTGTCACACTGTGGGCAAAAGCCATGGCTCAGTGGTAGAGCATCTGCTTTGTATGTAGAAGATCCCAGGTTCAGTCTCCGGCATAATCTCCAAGTAGGACTGGGAATCCCCCCTGTCTCAAACCAAAGAGTCACTGCCAGTCATCTTTTGCAGCCCAAAAGTAATCTTCTGAGGACCACATGCCAGTGATGGGTGGAGCCTGAGGCACAAACAGATCAACCAAGAAAAAAGCTTTTACCTTTCTGTTTTCTGCACGTACTTGTGCACACACTTCTCTTACCTATCCTCCATCCAGACAAGGACACAGTCCAGCCAGGCTAAAAAAAAATCCTTAGGCTGTGAAGCAGTACCAGTGAGGTCTGGCATGAGGGGGTGTGGCTTGGCAAGTTCCAAGAGCCAGAAAGAGGCCTGGAGGGTCACATTCAGGCCCCCAGGCAAGAGGTTTTCCCATCCTTGCATGAAACAATCTTCCCTGAAGCTGGTGCTCTTTCGCTTTCTCCTCTAGATCTCCCGACGACAGTGGGGGGCTTGACCCTAGCAGTCCTGAGAGCAGCCATTCTGTTTACGGCTCCCATGCTAACCTGAACAGCACCGAAGGGCTGGGAAAGAATCCAGAGAGGGAGCCCAAGTCTGGAACCCAGCAGATGGGAGAGAAGGGAGAGGCCATTTCTCAGTTTGAGCTGAGCTACGGAAGTAAGTCCTGTTCACTTAATCCAATACAGCAGCGGTTCTCAACCTGTGGGTCCCCAGATGTTGTTGGACTACAACTCCCATCATCCCTAGCTAGCAAGGCCAGAGCTCAGGGATGATGGGAGTTGTAGTCCAACAACATCTGGGGACCCACAGGTTGAGAACCGCTGCAATAGAGGATGAGCTTCTGATACACAGTTTGGGGAATCATCTGTCTGCTTTCTGTGCATTTGGACACATCTTCAGGTGATTGTTCCAAACCACCTGAAGGTGTCTATGGAGAGAAGATGCAGTGGTTTCTGATTTGTCAAAGATTAAGAGAAGTGCATAATCTGATAGACAGCTCTGTTCCAGTCTGTCGTTGTTCCAATCTGGATATACAGTGGTACCCCGCAAGACGAACGCCTCGCAAGACGGAAAACCCGCTAGACGAAAGGGTTTTCCGTTTTGGAGGCGCTTCGCAAACGAATTTCCCTATGGGCTTGCTTCGCAAGACGACAGCCCATAGGGAAATCTCAGGGACAGCGGGGAAGCGCAGCGCGTCTTCCCCACTGTCCTCGGACCTCCTCCGAAGCCTGGCGGCGGGGCGGGGACACCTCCTCCCGCCGCCGCCGGGCTTCGGAAGGCTCCTCCGAAGCCGGGCGGGGAGGGAACACCTCCTGCCGCCGCCCGGCTTCGGAACGGTGCTCCGGGCCGGGCGGGGGGAGGGAAGACCTTCTGAAGGCGGGCGGGGGCGAAAGTCTTTGCTCCCCTGTCTGCCTGTCCCGGAGGGCTTTTGAAGGCGGGGAGCAAGACTTCGCCCTCGCCCGCCTTCAGAAGAGGTCCAGGACCTCTTCTGAAGGCTGGCGGGGGCAAAGTCTTTGTCCCCCTGCCTGCCTTCCCAGGGGCTTTAAATTGCCCCGGACAGCGGAGAAGTCCTCCGCTGTCCCGGGGTGATTTTAAAATGCCGCCCGCCAGCCTTTTCCGCTCGCCCGGCCAGCGGAGACGACCTCCGCTGGCCCGGGGTTTTAAAATGCTGGGGTGGGAAGAAAAGCCCTTGCTCCCCAGCCTTCAGAAGGGGTCCGGGGACAGACTGGCCGCGGACCTGGTCTGAAGGCGGTTTCCCTAGGAACGCATTAATTGATTTTCAATGCATTCCTATGGGAAACCGTGCATCGCAAGACGAAAAACTCGCAAGACGAAGAGACTTGCGGAACGAATTAATTTCGTCTTGCGAGGCACCACTGTAAATCCAGGACCAGTGCATTAGATCAGTTCACTTCAAGATGTGGACCAAATGAATTCCCTCTCCATGCCTAGAAATGGTTGGGTGAGTCATGGCACAGGGCCTTTTCTGTAGTGGTGCCCTTCCTCAGGAAATTCGTTTGGCTTGCTGTCGTGTAGCCCTTAAGTGAATGGTCGATACAGTCATACCTCTTGTTATGTTTGCTTCAGGTTAAATCTTTTCAGATTGTGTCCCGCGGCGACCTGGAAGTACCGGAAAGGGTTACTTCCAGGTTTTGCCGCTGGCGCAGGCGCAGACGCTCAAAATAACGTCACACGCATGCGCAGAAGCGGCGAACCACGACGCGCAGACACGGGTTGCGTTCTGCTCATGTTGCAAACGGGGCTCCAGAATGGATCCCGTTCGCAACTAGAGGTATCACTGTATGTAGTTTTGCAAGGGTTTGACATTGTTTTAACATTAACCCTGCTGCTGCAATTGGTTTGCTGCGGCTGCTTTTGTCCCCCCCCGAAACGTGTGGTATTGTTGTGGTTTTTATGGCAAATGTGTTTTCATCTTATATTGTAAGCCATCTTGGCTCCTACAGCTTAAAGGCAGATTGTGAAGCTTCTTCTAAAGAGAGACATCCTGGAATGGCTGTCCAGACCAGGATGAGTGGTAGGAGGAGTTCAAAGAATTGGTGTCCAATGATCCTGGGATGGGACCAAGTGAGCTGGGCTGGGCCACATCTGGGCCTGGAGAGGATATCAGAATGAGGACCCACCCAGATGCTTCCTGGTGCTTCTATCTTGTCCCCTTTGTCACCGCGGTCTTCCAGTCGCTCTTGCCAGCAAGTCTGGCTGCAGGGGAAGTGCCTGAAGATGCTTAGGGCTTCAAGCCAGCACTGCCTCCTGTCCAGACACAAAGACATGAGCACCAGCAAAAACATCTCAGACCCAGCCCTCTTGGAGGAGTGTCCATTTACTTGCCCAGTCTAAAGATACTTCTTGCTTGCTACGTTAAAGCAGGAGCCCTTTGGGGGGTAGATGTTGATGGTTAGAACAACAGCAGAGCTTGGTCTGCCATGCTTTACACCTGCTGCGCTTTGAACCTTAAAGGTTTTGAGCATTGAAGGTTTCGGATGAAACCGCAGCCCCAATGTCAAGTTCTTAGTCTAGTGAGAACCAGGGCAAAGTTGGAAATAAGCTGAAGTTGTCTTTAAACTGACTCTCAGATGGTATCATGGACGGACGGCTTTCAGGCCCTGCTGAAGAGACGGAAGTTGGACCGATTGGGAGCGAAGGCTTCATCGAGGTCCTGACAAAGAAGCAGCGGAGGTTGCTGGAGGAGGAGCGACGGAAAAAAGAGCAAGCAGCCCAGGTGAGCACCTGGGGGCAGGAGTGTCCCCTGAACCTAGGTATCCATTTTTAGCACACACACACAAACACGCGCCACATGTAAAGGCAGCTGTCTTAACAAACCAGGGTTTGGGTTTCATATCCTGGTGTTATACATTCTAAACCAGGGGTGTGTGGGAACAACTTTTGCCTTCCAGGTGTTTTGCAGAACTACAGCACCCATCAGCTCCAGCAAGTGTGGCCAAGGGTGATGGGAAGTGCAGCTCAGCAACATCTGGAGGGCCAAAGGTTCCCTTCATCTGTTGTAAACCAAACTCTTTTGGGGGGCCAGTAGGCACATTTGGAATTGTGAGGGAGTGTCACGGGCACTAGGAACAAAGTGGCTGGAACAGTGTGTCTAATCCTGCCATACAATGCAATGAGGGCATATTAAAGAGAGGAGGGGGTTTCCCAGTGCATGAGAGGCTGCACTGGTGCAGACAGGAACTGAGGAGGAAGAGCAAACAGCCTCTGGTTGTACACTGTGGACATTTGAGGGAGTAGTTACTGAGACCTTTCTCAGGTGCCATAGCAGGTACTTACTGGTAGGCACTCTGGGTCCTTTGGGCACTTCATTGGCAACTCATTTTCTAAATCATCAGAAATGACAGGCAAGGACAACTTTGCCACCACCACCAATCTTGGAGCAAAAGCTGGACAAAGCTGATCCTGTTCTTTCCCAGGCAAATCCCCATCCCGACCTGGAGACTTTATAGGAGAAAAGGGGCAACCGTGTGTGGCCCTCCGGGGTGTTCCATGCAGCCCTTCCAAGGTCCTGCTGCCACTTTTACAGTGGGTGTTGTTGCCAAATCTGTGTCAGGCTCCTGTCTTGCCTGAAGATTGTGCTGTAGATTTGACTTCTCTGATGCCACTGCTTGCCGGTGTTCTAACAGATCTAGCCCACCACTGTTTCCTGCTTCTTGCCCCATAATGATGTTGTTGCAGATTAGGGTCTCTGCACAACTGCCTCTCGTCACCACCCCCTTGAGTTGGAAGAAAGAGGTTCACACTTTGGCCAGACAAAAACCAATGTTTCCTTGAGATTCTGTCTCTGGGTCAAAGCCTTCTAGTGTTTCCCAGGAGTCCTGACGCCCTTGGGCTTCCCTCGGTTCTCCCACAGGCTCCAGCCAAGGGCCGCGTCCTTCAGTCTCGTATCCCACCTCGCTTTGCCAAGAAACAAAGCAGCATGTGCCTTGAGCAAGGAGATGTTTCGGTTTCTGGAAACAGCCTGGGCACAGAGATCTGGGAGACCAACAGTCCAGGTGAGTCAGGTGTGTCTTGGTCAGGGTGGGGTGGGGGCCACATTCTCTTCCTGGATGTGCCAGTAGTTGGCATGGTCAGATGCAAAGGTGTGGGTGGAGCAGTGAATGCAAATTTTGCTTTTGTACAGTAAGCCAGTTTGTACACATGCGTGCTCTCTCTCTCTCTCTCTCTCTCTCTCTCACACACACACACACACACTCACACACACACACATACACACCCTCCCTCTGTCCTCCATCCTGGCAAGTAAGAGGCATTGCCAGAGTTCAAGGACATGGTCCAGGCAGGAAGAAACACACAAGGAGGATATGAAGTAGAACTGCTCAGGCACGTGGCCTGGGAAGAGTCCCAAGGGCCAGATAGAGAAGGCTGCATTTGGCCCCAGACCTGAGATTCACCATCCCTGTCGAGGCACTTCCAGCAAACCCTGTAAACAACACTACCCTCTCCAGATTTTTCTGGAAATGCATCAGATCCCAGGCAATCTCTGAAATGGAGCAGGGTAGGGAGAGGGAAATGGGGATGGTAGAAAGAGATGGAAAGGGGTGGTCCTGCTCACTTTCAGCTGTGAGCCTGCCAAACACTAGTATACCCAGCGCCTGGAAGATTACTGCTAAGGGAATGCAGCCACCCCTTCATCTATGAACGAAACTCAAAAGAAAACTCCTCAAAACATAAGATGGAGGTAGGGCCATAGCTCAGTGGTAGAACATCTGCTTTCCACGCAGAAAGTCCCAGGTTCTGTCTCCCATGGCATCTCCAGGTAGGGATGAAAGAAAGCCCTGCTTGAAATTCTGGAGAGACGCTCCTAGTCAGTGTAGGCAGCACTGAACCAGATGGACCAACAGTCTGAATCGATATAAGTCAGCTTCTTACGTTCCCATGCACAAAAGGTATCAGGTAAAACCAAATCCAAACTGCTGAAGCCCATCCGTTCCATACGATTAAAAGCCAGAGGATAGGATTTCCCCTTACTGTTTGAGTTTTATTCTTCTTCCCCAACATGCATGTTTGAGAAAAGGCGACATATGTAACATGAGAAGCAGCCCCGGAGGCCTCTCTGAAGCATCTTAACTCCCATTTATCTGCTCTTGCCACAGCACTCTCCGTTCAGTCATCTGGCACGGATTCCTGGAGCAAACCTGTCAATGCCTTTACCAGTAACGAATCCAGCTCCACCGAGGTAAGTGCACCCAAGCCTCTCCTCTGTAAAGAGTGGAAGGGAGGGCGGGTGTCCAGTCCTGCCATCCAATGAAATGTAGGTGTGTAAAGAGGTGGGGATGCCTAGTGTAATAGAGGCTGAGCTGGTGTGGTCAGGAATTGAGCACGAAGAGCAACCGCTGTTGTACACTGTGGATATGGTGATGACTTTGACAAAGAGGCGTTAATTTTGGTGGTGGCCTCACGTTTCTTAGGACTTGTAGCGGTATTGCTGGGAGGGGTTTTAACACTTTCCACGCTTTGCGCAGCAGGGATTTAAAGGCAGCCAGGGGGATAGTGGCATTGACCTGAGCGCTGAGTCGCGGGAATCCTCCGCCACTTCTTCCCAGCGCAGCTCTCCATATGGCACTCTCAAGCCTGAAGAGATGAGTGGAGGTGGCCTGGTGGATCCCAAAACTGACTGCCAGAAAGAGCAAGCGCCAAAGCAGTCAGATAAAAAGGTAACCTAGCTTAACTGCCACTGGCACCAGATGTGCTGTCTAGCATCTGGATCCAGCTGCTGGAAGTCAAGGGTGGTCTGGTTTTGTCAGGCACATTCTGGAAACCAGGCTCAATAGGGCTGGAAGTCTTCTAGCTCATTGTTGTCAACATTGGTTGGCAGCGGCTCTCCTGGGTTTAAGGCAGGGGACATTCTGAGCCTGACCTGGAGATGCTGGGAGCTGAACTTCCTTTCTCCCTTTAAATCAGGGCCTCTCTTGTTTCCCTGCTAAGGATTCAGAGCAAAGCCTGGGTCAGAGCAAGGACCACAAGCCGGGCCCAATTGGCAATGAGCGCTCCCTGAAAAACCGGAAAGGCTCTGAAGGAGCGGAACGCCTTGAAGGCAGCGTCCCCCCGGTCAATGGGGTGGAGATCCACGTGGATTCGGTCCTTCCTGTGCCTCCCATTGAATTTGGAGTAAACCCTAAAGTAAGGATTGCTTTTGCTTCATCTTTTTCCGCCTGTTACGGTTTTGTGGGCTTAGGCCCCAAATAACTGAAGGACTGCCTACCTTCATCCCTACCAACCTTCTTGGGTGTTAGCATCTGTTTGGGCAGGTGTGTGTGTGCTCTCTTAGGCCACAGTCATGACATGCATTTAAAGCAGTATGATGCCACTTTAAACAGTCATGGCTTCCCCCAGAGGTGTAGCTTGTTCAGGTGACCAGAATTGTTAGGATGCCCCTATTCCCACCACAGAGCTGCCATTCCCAGGGTGGTTTAATAGTCAAATCCTTTTCCCAGGGAACTCTGTGAGTAGGGGTAGTCTGTGCATGAGATGAGGTGAAACCATTTGCCTCAAGCAGTGGATCCGGCCCCCATTGTTGCGCCGCTGCCAGCTCCTCTGGGGCTTCCTGTGCCACTAACACAACAACAATGCCCTAACCACTGTCCCCTCTATATCCTCACCGCTGCTGCTGCATTGTGGCAGCAGTGGGGGGTTGCCAAAGATACAACTCGGGTGATGGGGCTAGTGACGGTAGTAGCGGGAGGGTGGGGGCAGAGTGGGGACCCAGACCTGCGGGGGGAGGCATTAGGGCATTTTGCCTACAGTGGTAACAGGTCTCAGGCAGACCATATCTGTAAGGTGAATAAGGCATCTCCTAACAACACTCAACAGACTACACTTCGCAGGATTCTCTGGGGGAAGCCATGACAGCTAAAGTGGTATCCCAGTGCTTTAAATGTATATTGCAGGTGGGGCCTAAGTTTCAATACGGGCCCAAATCTCATTCTCACTGCCCCACCCCTTTCCCAGTGATAGGAGCTAATTTCCCTACTTCTTTCAACCCTTCATTTCTATGGGGAAAAGTTAAAGGAGGCACTGGAGGCTCTGCTAGGTTAGGGGGCTAACCTTGTCCCCTGTTAATCCTGACCATTAAAGTATCAAGCCAGCTGCCCCCTGTGTCATTCCTTCCGTGTCCTTCACATAGCTTCACCTTGGGGGGTTTGCATCTAGATTGGGCTGGGGAACCACAGCATTCCAGATGTCGTTGGACTACATTTCCAATTATCCCCTGATCCTTGCAGATGTTGGCTGGGAATCTGATGGGAGTTCAGCAACCATAAAAGGACTGTAAGTTCTGCACTAAAAAGTTGAGTACAGGGTTATGTAGAAATTGCCTCTTTGCAGGATTCGGACTTCAGCCTGCCCCCTGGACCGGCCTCCAGTACCACAGCTAACTCAGTCACAAAGCTTCAGGACGCCCTGGCCAGCAATGTAAGTAGACCTGCCTTTTGCATTCCTTCCTATTGGCTTCCAGTCTGCCTATCGACCTGCCCAGCTGGGAAGATCATCTGCTGATGCCCTTCTTCAGATCCTCCTCCTGCTGCCATTGGAGGTGGATGATGACGAAGGAGGGGTCTTTTGGAACTACAGTATCCTCCTTTTGGAACGTCATCCCCAAAGAGGCCCTCCCAGCATCTATTTTGCAATCTTTTGGCACTAACTAAGCCTCTTAATTATTCTCTCCAGTCCTTTAGTGATTGTAGAGCTCAAGTCTTATTTTTTTAATTAGTGTCTCATGGGATTTTTTTGTTTTGTTTCTTTATGCTGATTGTATTTTATATCTCTAATGAAGCTTTTGTCAGCCCTGACTTCTTTCTTAAATAAGAAGATTGGTATGCAGTTTCTCCAGAATAAAAACAAAACCTGTTGTCTCTGTGTTTGTTTCTCTGCAGGCTGGGCTCACACAAACCCTCCCTGTGCTCCGAAGAGACCACCACCTTCCACGGTGCATCGGCCTGAATCCCATGTCTTTCCCCACGACTGACCTCACTCTTAAAGTAAACATTGGGTTTAATGGGAGTGGGGCAGATAAGGGTACTTGCCACAGGGGCAGCTTAGAAAGAAACAACAACCTTTCACATCCAGCAAGGGCGGAGGATTTATTTCTAAGCCTACGAACCTCGGGAGCACGTAGTTAAACTATGGAATTCACATCCCATGAGAGATCTAGTGATGGTTACCCACTTTCGATGGGTTTAAAACGGGGGTGGGGGAGAGAAGTTTATGAAGGAGAATTAGGCTGTCAGTAGTCAAGGTGGCAGTGTAGTTCGTCCAGTATTGGAGGTGAGGTCAGCTTCTGAATACCAGTTGCAGGGGAAAGACCAGTGGGGCAAGTACTGTTGTGCTTGTGAGCTCCTCCGAGGCATCTGATTGGTCGTTGTGGGATCTGGATGCTAGACATAATGGGTCTTGGCTCTGATCCATCAGGGCTCTTACCTACTTTTCCTTTGATCTATAAGGAAAGGTGTGTGTATTTTAATGAAAGTTGGAATTCAAGAAAGGGACTTCCAGTATCACTCTGGGGGAGGTGGTGTGGGCTTCAGCACGGGAAGCTGCCTTATGTTGAGTTAGACCGTTGGTCCGTCTACACCAGCATTGTGTACACCAGTGATGACCAAACGTGTCCCTGCAGCTGTTTTGGGACTACAAAGGGACATCATCCCTGACCACTGGTCCTGTTAGCTAGGGATGATGGAAGTTGTAGTCCAAAAACAGCTGGAGGGCCAAGTTTGACCATCACTGGTCTACACTGACTGGCGGCAGCTATTGGGTCTTTCTAAGCCATACCCTGGATCAATCGTAGTAATAGCCAGTGTTAATGTTGCTCCTGAGTAGACCTGTTGGAACTGAGAGAAGTTACTATCTTAGGCCCATTCATTTCAGTGGATCTGAGTAGAACTTAGTCAGAAACAACTCAGGATCTTCTGAATGCAGAGCACCTGCTGTTTCACGATGCTTTCACATCTCATGAACAAGACCCCCCATTCTTTTCCTAGTTGCAAACTCCCTGGGGAACATTTTCTTTCTTGTTTTTAGAAGGGCTGTGGGGTTCAGTGGCTATGCACCCGCTTTGCACCTGAAATGTCTTGGGTTGTTTTCAGTTTTGTCCTCTCTGCCCTTGCAGATGGAATCAGCCCGCAAAGCTTGGGAAAACTCCCCCAGTCTCCCGGAACAGAGCTCTCCTGGGGGTGCTGGCTCCGGCATCCAACCTCCTGCCAGTGTTGGGGCTTCCAACGGCGTGAGCTACAGCTCCTTTGGTGGCGTTTCTGTACCGCCAATGCCTGTGGCATCCGTGGCACCGTCTGCTTCGATTCCAGGTACACCGTTTGCTCTCCTTCCTCTCTGTTTGCCTGCTGGTCCCCTGCTTTTCCTTCCCTTCTAGAAGTGAAATAAAACTGGTCGTTGTTAACAGTTATACCAGGTGTACTTACTAGTGACCTTAGCTTCTCACACAATGGTGCCCACATATCCACAGAGGGACCCCTTCTCTTGGTCATGAAATGGTGAGGGTGGTTAACTTTTCAAAGAAGAAAAGTACATGGAGCTGTGGAAAGAGTGATGTTGTTTCCCACTTCATCTTTCATCTCCATGTGCTTCTCAAGGCTCAGATTAATTCTGTTGGATATGACTTGTACCCAGTTATATAGCAAAGTGTGGTGGAGAGCTGGCATTGTGTGTGCTTTCCCAGAAATAGCAAGGCATTCTGGGAGATCCCTTCTTGCGTGCCCTCAGTCTCTGTGATGTTTTGCAATGGATCCTACTGAACCCTATGCTGTATGAGCAAAGGGCATTTGAAGAGATCCTGTGGCTGAGAGACTCGAATCTTGCCTGTCACTGGACCAGCTTGTTTCTGCTACTGTGCTGGGGACTATTTTAGGCAGAATTCATCTTCTCCTGAAAGATTTTAATTCTAATAAGATTTTCCCACAATACAGTAAAATTACAGCTATGAAAAATTAAAAAGAAGAAAACCAGGAGAAAAGAAAGGAACAGTAGAAATAAAGAGAGGAAAGAGAAAAAGAGAGATAAAATAAGAAAGGAAAATAAAAGAAACATTAGCAAAAAAAAAAAAATTTTTTTACAGAATAACTTCCAATTTTCCACCTGCCATTTACATAATAGAATAAAATATGACTATTTAAAACTTTCAATCCATGCAAACATCCATCTTCTCCACTTTGCGCTAAATAGTATTTCTTTTAAGTTAAGGTGTCCCAGAATCATTTGTTTCCTTTTCCCATGAAAAGTCCCAAGATATTTCCTAATTGTTATTATTAATAAATGCTAACCATATTTTTTCTTTTAATTTTACCTCTATTAATTCCCACCACAATTACTTCATATTGAATAACATTATTTTTTTTCATCCATTTCCATATTAAAGACTCCACTGTGATCACACATTGGGCCAATATTCCACTTTTGTTCCTCATCATATATCCTCTCATTCATGTCCAGATCCATATGTTCAGTTGCATTTTCTGTTGTATTCCATTTCTTGTTGTATTTATGGTGGTATCCCGATCTTCTTCTTAAGGGCCTTCCACTTCATTTGTTTCAAATCTTTTTCCAGAGGTACTAGCATAGCTGTTATCACAACATTCTCTGAATTTGCTCCAAATTGTATGCAGAGTACTTTCTCTCTGCTAAAACTAAAAAAAATACCAGGACTGAAGTCCCAAAGCTTTCCCCCCTCTCCACTCCATCAACACCATATCCAAATAATTCTCCAAATCATTTGTGACTTTTATCTTCTACTTTCCCCCAAAATCCTTGTATGGATGTCATTTCCTTTTCCACACAATTATACATTTGATTATTTATTGATCCAGTTCTGCCAACTTTTCATCAATTTGTTCTGTGGCATCTGCATATTTCTCATATCCATTTTCTACCTCATATTCCTCATATGCTTCTTTTTTCCTTCATCATCTGGCTCATTTCCTTCATCAAATATTGAGCTGATCATTGTTAATTGTTCAGCCATCAATTGGCTAAACAAAACCAACAATCACTGGTTGAGTCCTATTGAATGCTTTTAATGTTTCTGGTTATTAATGGCCATTCAATCCACATAAATATATCCTCCTGCAAAACTACAATCTTGGGCTTCTCTGTTATCTCAAAACAAAATCTTTTTCTCACAGCTAATGATAATTACTCTACTTTCATTTTCTTGAGTTCTTTAGTGCGGGGGGGGGGGGGGAAGATACTGGAATTTCTATAGTCTCGTTTTAATCTTTCTTCTCCACCGCAGATCAAGCTTTCCACTTTGCATTAGACACTTAAACAGTTAATTTCCTTTCAGTTTTTCCAGAAACAGAAGGTGGTATTCAAAGATTTTCAGATTGTAGATTTTCCCCAGCAGATGGAGGGATCTCTCATTACAGTTCCCTTGTTCTAAACGTGTTTTAAAGGGTTTTAAAAAGAGGGTGTAATTCTGTTACCTGTTTTCAATTGAACGTGTGGAGTTTGGGGATGGTGGTGTTCTCTGCCTGCCAGCTCCCATCTGAGCTGCGAGGCATAGAAAAACTGCTTTGATCCAGATGTCCTGAGGTTAACTTTCTTTGATCACCGTATCTCCAGAGTGATTAATAGAGCCAGACTATCTGTCTGGCTATTAGCTATCACCAAGTAATTCTCTTCTGTCAGCCAGAGCTAGCAGAACGATCTCTGAATCACCATGCCTCTCTCCCAGAAACCGGGATTTTAATTTTATTAATAATTCAGAGCACACCTATCTATAGACATACCATACCTGAGCCATATCCGCTTAAGAAAGAGTGTGTCACCTAACTCAGTGTCTTTATCAGCCACACCCACTCGCCCCCAGAATTATTCTTTAAGAATTTGCTTTGATTCAGTTGCCCTGAATCAGTAGCCGTTTACTAGGGATGCTTATTCAGAGCTTGAAATGACTGTTTACTTGCATTCACATGATGCATGAGCTTCATTTGCATTTTAAAAAACAAAACAAAAAGACCTGAGTTAATGAAATGGGAAGTTGGGTTCTTAGTGTCAGTATATATAGTATGCAGTGTTGAGTTGATGGATTAGTCTAAACTCTACTTTTTCCAAATATTTTTATTGAGTTGTTTTTTTTAAAAGAGATCAGTTGTCACAATTGTCAATAAAGAAATAAAGAATGCAGCTATGTGATTTATCAGGTTGAAACTAAAACATATGTGTCTATAATGTGGTCATGTTCAGATAGTTAGATAGACAGACAGAGATACAGTGGTACCTCGGGTTACAGACGCTTCAGGTTACAGACTCCGCTAACCCAAAAATAGTACCTCGGGTTAAGAACTTTGCTTCAGGATGAGAACAGAAATGGCGCGGCGGCAGCGGGAGGCCCCATTAGCTAAAGTGGTGTCTCAGGTTAAGAACAGTTTCAGGTTAAGAATGGACCTCCGGAACAAATTAAGCATGTAACCAGAGGTACCACTGTATAAAAAGTAACCTTGAACTCAATCCAGACACTCACAGAGACTTGCAAAACCTGTTCCAGTGTTGTCATTTGAGGCCCCAGTGCCCTTGGTAGCATGAGGCACTGGTTTATTAGCTTGAGCTGGTTTGCTTCCTGCAGCCTTTCCTGTGACCTGGTCACAGTGATCTATGCTCCAGTAACCTTCTGGCCGGATTACTGTAATGTAATCTATGTGCGTCTGCTATTGAAGACAAGATGGAAGGTGCAGGGAGTGCAGGATTTGATTCAACCACATTAATTCATATCACATCACTTTTTAAAAAACAGCACTGGCTGCCTCTTCGCGTTTGATCCCAGTGCATGATGCTGTCGTTTACCTATTAACATTGCATGTGTCTTGGAACCCAAATACCTGAAATAGCATCTCTTCCAAATACGCCTGCCCAGTCTTAAGATGGTCAGTTGAGTAGCCTTAAGGTGTCTTAATGTTGTCTGTTTTCTGAGTACCTTCCCTCGGGGAAGTGTGTTATGTCACTGCAAAGGAAACAGCCGTTTCTGTGGTGGCGCCCTCAAATTTAGCGTGTCCTCTCCAATGAGATACGACTGGTACCACATTGCCATCAGTTCAGTCCCAGGTTACAATATTTATTTTAAATTATTATTTCCCTAGGCATTTTAAGTTAATGTTACTTGCTCTGCTTTATAGTTTTAAAAGTTTTTAGCCGCCTCTTATTTTGTTACCGTATTTTGTTTTATTTTGTTTATTACATTTATATCCCACATTTCCTCCAGCGGGCTCCTCTTCATTTTATCCCTGCAACTACCCTGTGAGGTAGGTTAAGCTGAGAGGCAATGGCTGGTCGAAGGTCACCCTGTGAGCTTCATGGCTGAGTAGGGGATTTGAACTCTGGTCTCCCATGTCCAAGACACTAACCACTACACCACACTATATGTTTGGGTATTAACAGATGTCCATGTTTTGCCTCATGTTATCCCCTTCCCCTACTATTTCCAACCCATCTGGTTGTGGGTTGTGTCTATTTCAGTAAGATGTAAACAGATTTTGTATTGGTCATATCTATATCTTCATCCTTTTATCATATATATATGTTCAAATAGAATACTTCAGGTTGTATTCAATACTAGTCCTCCTCAGACCAGACCCATTGAAATTAACAGACCTAGCCTCCTTCTGCACTGTACATTTACATCACTATTTATACCACTTTGAACTGTCAATGGCTTTCCCTAAGGAATGCTGGGAATTGTAGTTTGTTATTAGGAGACCCCTGTTCCTTTCTCAGAGTTGCAATTCCCAGAGTGGTTTAACAGTCAGTCCCTCTTCTCAGGGAACTCTGGGAATTGTAGCTTTATGAGGGGAATAGGGATGTTCTAACAACTCTCAGCACCCTTAACAAACCACAGTTTGAGGGTTCTTTGGGGAAACCATAACTTATCAAAGTGGTATCTTAATGCTTTAAATGTACTGAGCAGATGGGGCCTCCGTTAGTCATTTCCATTAATTTCAGTGAGCCTGCTTTGAACAAGACCACAAGGAGGATACAACCCATTCCAATTACGTCATGATTTCTAGTAATACTTTGCTAAGGGTTGTGTGCTACTTGGAACAGATCCATTGAAATCAATAAGACTAAATGGGTTATGTCCATTCATTTCAGCGGGTCTGCCCTGAGTAGGACCGGCATCAGATTTGCAACCCTTTGAGATCTGTAATGTGGGAGTGTGTCTGGTGAAAGGAAATGCTATTTGCTTGTATTCCCTGAAAGCTTTTTATCCAGTCATATGAAGGGCAGTCTAGGAATACTCAAAACAGGTGGGAAAGAGGACAGACGTGTGTGCCCTTTTCGTAGGTCACTTTCCCCCTTCTTTTCCTGCCCCATTAACCTGCCTCCCTTTGCATTTAGGACCGTTATGGCAAAGGAGTGCAGAAGTAGGATTCTGGAGTTCAGTATGGGGTGGGACCCCTGTATCTTTGATGGCCGGGTGGAAGGGAGATGGTGAGCAGAAACGCCTTCTTCTACCCACTTCCCCGCCTCTCCGGAGTGAATGGGATTAACTGTTTGCCATTTCCCCCCCTCTCTCTGAAAAAAATATGATTCTAGGTAACCACATCCCACCCCTGTATCTAGATGGACACGTCTTTGCCAGCCAGCCACGTCTCGTCCCCCAGACAATACCCCAACAGCAGAGCTACCAGCAGGCAAGTCAACTGGGTCTGTGCAGATACGTTATCCAGGAACGTTGTTAATATTTTATTTATTATGACTGGGCCTGTGCATATGTATTATTAAGGGAAGTTGTTCTTATTGCTGCGTTTGTGCAAATGTGTTATCAAGGAGTGTTATTATCTTCATAATCATCACCATCTAAGGCATTGGTCTTTGACTGGTGGGTTGAGATCCACCACTGGGTTGTTGTCCTTTCTGTGGTAGGTCATGGCAGCAGCACCACGGCTGAACAAATATATAGGGGCAGGAGATTAAGAAACAGGTCCTCAGATACATTTTTGGGTTAAAGGTGGATCCTGGACCTGGAAAAGTTGATGGCTGATTCTAAGGTGTTTTAACCAATGTAGCACTGAGTTAAATCCTCTTAGCGGTATATGTGTTTCCACTGGCAAAAATGTTTTGCACCAGTGGTGGAACATTGCTGTGCAAGAGAATGCATCCAAGCAGGCTGCTGGTGACTTAGTTGCACAAAACATTGCACAACCTGTTCCCTGGCAAGTTTCTGCTGTTGCGGCTCTTGTGTTGGATTCCTCCTCTGCTTAACATTAAAGCTCGCCCGTCCACTGGCAGACAGAGAGTGTTGCATACGGCCCTGGATTTTTACCCTGCCCTTCCTCCAAAATGAGTCCAGAACAGCAAACAGCAAGACAAGGTGCAAAAACAAAAAGGAATAAAAACCTTTGACAATCTTGCATGCTGACAGAGCTGCCAGGCAGATTTGGGGGCTCGTCTCAAAACACTGAGATGGTGATGGTGAACGTTGATAGCTACAGCAGCAGCCTCCCCTACCATCTGCCTAAAAGTGAAGAAATAGATATACCTCTTTTTAGACTTTTGCAGAATTCTATGTGGGATTGGCAGTGCTTGCATGTGAAAGTTGGCATTTATCAGACTTAGAGTGTTAGCTCTGCTGCATGCACCTAGCTGTAGCTCATTCTTTGCCTGTTGTTGCCAAAATCAGAGAGTTTTGAGTGCTTTTGAATAATTCCAACTGCCTGCCAAGAGGCTTGAAGCCATGAATGCCATCACTTGATGGGTATTTGCCAGTGAATAATAGAGAGGAGGGAACCCAAAGAGGGAGAGGGATATGAAGTCAAGAGCAGCAGGTTTTCATGGAGGTAGAAATGGTAGTCTGCGCCACAAGATGCTTCCCTTCCCTTTTGGTCCAGGAAGCTTGCTGCCTTGATCTCACCTTCTTGTTGTTTTTTCATACTCTTTGTAGGCTGCAGCTGCTCAGCAGATCCCCCTCTCTCTTCACACGTCCTTGCAAGCCCAGGCTCAACTCAGTCTGAGAGGTGGCCTTCCTGTTTCACAGTCCCAGGAGATCTATAGCTCAATCCAGCCCTTCAGGTAATGGGATCCCAAGCAAGTCCCTCCTTCCTCCCCTCTCCCCCCCCCCCCCCAGTCGGCTAGGGCTCAATCGACTTCTTCAGAGAATGAAATGCTGCTTCTGGGGGGGGGGGAACCCCCATACCCCTGTTTCACATAAGCAAGGGAAATTAGCAGTAGGTTTTCTTAGTAGTGGAAGCAGAATGGAAATTATATAAATGTTTGATGATTGATTGTTTGGACACACTGAAATGAGTGGGTCACGGCTTAATTTCAGTAGGTCTACTCTGGGTGGGACTAGCAGTGACTACAACCCTACATCTGGGGTCCCCAGACTGGTACCCTTAAACTACTACCCACTTGGCCCTCTGCTCTGATCAACCCGTTTTTAAAAAACATTTGTTTGGGTTTTTTTATGGGGGGGACAGGCATTCCCTGCTTTTTTGGTCTCTATTATTTATTTTGAGTGTGTAGATAGGATGCTTGTTTATGTTGGTGGTGGTTGTGTGTGTGTGTGTGTGTGAGAGAGAGAGAGAGAGAGAGAGAGAGAGAGAGAGAGAGAAGGTTCTTAGAATTACCTGTTTTCCCTTCTGTGAAATGTTGTGGTCCCCACAACAGTTTCTCAGATACACAAAAGGGCCCTGAGGCCCAAGAAGGCTGGGCAAAACACAATTAAATGAATTTGCACAGGATACGGAATTCTCCTCTTGGCACAGGACTTTATAGAGTTGTAAAATATACTGTGTACATAACCTGGAGCATAGAAGTTGGATATGAATAGCAGAGACCCAGAGCTGGCAGCCAACATTCCTAAATCCTACCTCAATGTCTCACTCAGACGTGGCCAAAACAGTACCACCTATGCACGAAAGGAAGGTATCAGCAAACTCAAGGCAAACACTGAGGTTTGTGCACATCTGCCTTGCATCCTTTTAGGTCTCAGGTCTACATGCATCCCAGCCTCTCCCAACCCAACACCGTGGTCCTGACTGGGGGCACTGCCCTGAAGCCTCCATATTCCGCCTTCCCAGGCATGCAGCCTTTGGAAATGGTGAAAACTCAATCCGGATCCCCTTATCAGCCAGTTAACGGGAGCCAGACCCTGGTGTATGAAGGCCAGATCAACCAGGCTCCCGGTATGGGAGCCTCACAGATGATGGAATCGCAGCTTACACAGGTCAGGGCTCTGCTGCTGTCATGAGGCTGGTGCTCAGTGTGCGTATCATTCTGTCTCTTCCCAACCCCCCCACTCCTGTGCTTGCATTGATAAGGAGTTGCTAGCTTCCTGCCTGGAAAAAACATTTGCCAAAATGTGGCTTGAGACATGAAGCTTGCCTTTGCGCATGTCTAAAAAGATAGTAGAGTAGACAGGTGCTGATATTCTTCTGTTTGCACCAGAGGGGTTTCATGGACACAGATGGTTTTCAAAAGTTGCTTAGTTTGCTGTTTTAGAACTGGCACAGAAGTATAGAGGTGGGGTTGGGGAGCATCTCCAGTTTTGTGTGTGTGTGGTTCTTTGTTCATGCAGGTCCCGCTACCAGAACGCTTGCTCTCTGAAATCTTAGTTATCCAGACACAAAGAATTAACACCCAAAGCTCACAACACAAATGGCTGATTTAGTTAGCCAAATGGCTGGTCGGCAGCAGCAGTTTCGAGCAGAAAGGGAGGGAGATCAGACAAATCCCATTTTTGTTTGGCTTTTGCAGCAGCTTAAGGCAAAAAGTATGGAGGGAGAAAGCATGTACTAGAAAGGTTCCCATAGGAAATAATGGAAATCATCAGCTCACCTAGTGAACAATTTCCTGGGAACACATTATGTTTGGAAAGCAGGACCTGTGTGTATAATAGTAGTCTACATTCCAGTCATGTGGAAGTGTGTGTGTGTGTGGAGGGTCTTTCTGCCACCCCCACTGCCATCCAACATAACCCCCACTGCCATCCAGCATAATCGAGGACACATTCCAGTCAAACAAAAGAACTGCAGCAACAGGACTGGTGACCTGGCAAGGGAGCCAAGAGCCAGATGGGGAGGCTGCAGTTAGCCCCTGAGCCTGAGGCTTCGCCACCCCTGTATAGACCTGGTTGCTTTTATCTGAACACCCCAGTTTTACCTGTGTGAGTTGTTCAGACGTCAGATTACTTCCAGCGTCTCTGAGCTATGCTTCTCTTACCTTTTAAAATTGGAATATATGAGGAGTAAATTGATCCAGATGCAACAGCAAGCATGTTTTTAATGTGGCTCTTCAAGACGCTCGTTGCTTTCAGGAAACAAACCGTAACAGGTTTGGGAAGGCCCCTTTGAAAGGCCATCTGGCATTGAAGCACTTAAGATAATTTGGCGGAAAGTTGGTGCGCGGCTTAATCCTTTTATAGCAAACAGAAGACTTCAGGATGAGATACTCTTGTAGACACGGTTGGAGGAAACTGAGAGGCAGATGGGGAGGGGAGGTTTTATCCCTGCAGAATCCTTTCACCACTACAAAGCATCTTTTTTGTGAAAAGTATTAAATATCAGCAAACATTACCGTTGGCTGGAGGAAGGAATTAGTGGTTGGGCATTCTGTATATGCTCTCCCCTCATTTCTTCCTCATGTGCGGCTGGGAAGGCGGATAAACCATGGTTTAATTTCACTTTCCTGGCTCGTCATTGTGTATGATCCAGGAAACATGGTTTAAACCAGGGGTCACCAGTGGTACTCCCACGCGCCCAGTGGCGCCCTTGAGACCTTCCTTTGGTCCCTACAAAGCCTCTTAGCCCCCTCCCCTCTTGCTGCTCCTTTGGTCATGATGTGGTAAGAATTTACTTGTAAGCCACATCTTAATGGTTCATGCCCAGGTGAGGGAATAACACCTTAAAGAAAAACGCAACCAAGAGAGATATACAAACTCATCATCTGGTAGGGACCCACTTTGTTAGAGGAGCTGTTGCAGTAGGGCAGCCTCCAAAACCAGTAGTTCAGTGAACCACCAGTTTAGGGAACTGCCCCAGAGACACATTTTAACAATGCTTTTACAGGGTTTTCCAAACACAATACGTCATTAGCTCATAGCACGCATACAGAAAGAGAGGCCACCGGTCAAGGGGTTAAAACTGTCTTGCTCCGTTACATTACCTTTCCTTCATGCAGACAGATAAGCTAGAAATTTAGTAGTTTGTAGGTTCACTCAGTACATAGCTCATATAAGACAGAAATACAAGAATCAAACAATTCATTGATAGTAATCTTCTATACAGAGAATAAATGCAATTGCTGTAGGAGATAGAAGGCTACTAAGTGACTACAGCAAAAAAGTTGTATCAGTGATGTGGTCTGGTGGTTGTCTTTTGCCCCGTGAAAAGTGCATAGAACAGAAGGCGGAAGTTGGAAGAACAATGTTCTTTCTCGTTTCCTCTTTCATCTCTATGTGCGTTTCAAGGCTCAGGTGAATTATTTTGCCAGATTCCTTGGAAAAGTGTGTGTGTGTGTGCATTCTTTGTCTGGGTGGGATGATCCAGGGGAGGGGTTGGTGAGAAGAGACCGGGGGTGGTGGTGGTCCCCTGGGCACTTCTCAAAAGACAAAAAGTTTTTATCTTGGGAATTAGCTATTCCCAACGCCAAAACTGTTATGGTCCCTGGGAAGCAGCATTGTGGCTACTTCTCATTATTGCCTCTCAAGTAACTGTCTGCTCATTAACACGCAGCTAACAATGTCAATGCCGGGCTCCCAGCTCCCAATGGCCCGTTACGGTTCTGGCCAACAGCCCCTGATATTGCCACAGTCCATCCAGCTCCCCCAAGGCCAGAACCTGTCTGTTGGAGCTCCTCGCAGAATTCTCTCGCCTGGTTCTCAGCCGCCTGTCCTTGCTTCGAGCAGGGAGGTAAGGACCCACAGGGTGTGTATATGTGTTAATTGATTTTTTTTAAAATAACCTATTTCTATTATTAACATACTTTTTCAAATTCACAACCTTGAGGCTACACTACTGTAATGCACCCTGCATGGAGTTGCCCTTGAACTCATTCTAAGAAGCTTCAAGCAATTCATATGGCATCTCATCTCCTGACAGATTTAGGAGTGTGGCGAGCATGTTAACAAGATCTGCATTGGCTTCCAGTTACCTCGCAGTGGTCATTTGCCAAGCAACTTGGGTTTTCTTACTTATCTCAAAGGTTGGGGGGGGGGGGGAAGAAAGATGACTAAGAGAGAGAGAGATGTGAAACAGGTTTTTATAAAGTCATGAATGATCTGGAGAGACTCAAATCCCATCTCTGCCACTGCAGTAGAACTCGAGGTCATCCAGAGTGAATTTGTTTGGCAGTAGATTCTGGACAGACAGTAGGAAGTACTGTGCCACACAATGTATCCCTAACATGTAGCGCTCATTCCTCCACAATGTGGTAAGGAGATTAGACACAGTCATGGAAGAGAATTGGTCTGTAATTGTGACTGTCGTGTCCCCTCTGCACTGTACATTTAAGGCATGTCTTGTCTTTTCTTCACTCAAAGAATCTTGGGAATTGTAGTTTGTTAAGTGAGCTGAGAGTTCTTAGAAGATCCCCAATTCCCCTCCACAAAGCTACAGTTCCTGGAGTTCCCTGCAAAGAGGAATTGACTGTTAAACCTCTCCGGGAATTGTAGCTCTGAGAAGAGAACAGGAGTCTCCTAACAGCTCTCAGCACCCTTAACAAAGTACAGCTCCCAGGATTCTTTGGTCTGTGGGGAGCCATGACTGTTGGACATGGCATGATAACTGCTTTAAATGTATAGTGCAGCTGGGGCCTATGGTTTGGGATAATGTCTGAAACTGAGCCAGAATCTCTTTCCCATCCTCAAGATGGTGAAGTATTTTTGTGAAAAGGAAATAACCCTGCAACCTGTTCCTTTCTCCTTCCAGTCCTCGCATGTAGAAATGAAAGGATTCCACTTTGCAGATGCAAAACAGAATGCTCCCACAGCAGGGTCCATTCCATCGCCTCACACATACAGGTGAAATACAGTTTTGATTGCTGCAGGTTTATTTTTGTTGAGTGGGATGGAGAGAGAGCAGGGAAAGGGAAAGGTCCCCCCTCCCAAATTTGCATGTATAAATGCCTATGAAATTTGTTAATTTAATTCTAATCTTAAGAAACTTATATGTTAAACAAGGTTTATTTAGGGGTTCTATCCAGTGTTAGTTCTACTCAGTCAATCCACTGAAATTGATGGGTATGCCTAACCTTAATTTCATTGGTTTCCTCTGAGTTGCATTTAGTGAGATCCAGTTAGCTTAATCAGGTTTTATTTTAATGATCTCCTGAAAAGGTGCCCCTGATTTTCTCATTTGCAGATTTTTAACATTTTATTATTTCTAATACAGTCGTAAAATCTGCAGAGGGGAAGTGTAACCTTAAAAAGACATCCCCGCTGTTTTTGCTTACAGAAGGGAAAGACTGTGGGTAAATAATATTCCACCTGCTTTGCCTGCAGAAGGTCCCAGATTCAATCCCCAGCATCTCCAGTGTGAAAGATTCCCCTTCTGAAACCATTTTCCCTGTCCCGCTGTCAACAATTATGATTGCTTGGCGTTTTAATTGGCTGTATAAATAGCTGTGGATATTGATAGCATTATTTGACTAAGGATCCTAGCTCAGGGGCAGAGCATCTGCTTTGTATGCAGAAGGTTCCTGGTTCAATTCCTAAAGGCATCTCCAGGTAAGGATGGCAGGTAGACTCGCTCTCTGAAAACCACTGCCTTTCAGTGTAGATAGTATTGGGCTAGGTAGACTAGTGTTCTGTCTCTGTACGAGGCAGCTTGCCTTTCCTCTAACCTGGATGGGGATGCTTCTTGCACATTTACTTTGGTAGCACAGGGATGGAGAAGCTGTGTGGTTGGACTGCAACTCCCATCAGCCCCAGCCAAGCAACACGAGAGTGGTCTCAGATGATGGAAGTTGTAGTCCAGCAACATCTGGATGGTCACAGGTTCCCCACACCTGATCTAAAAAGCTTGCTTCAAATCCATTGGGTTGGATCCATAATCCTTTGCCTGCTTGAGCTTGGTTGGTTGGGGTTGATGGAGAGCTACAGGTCCCCCTACACTTGATGTAAAAGAGCCAGTCAGGCTGAGCTGGTCCTCATTTCACCATGGTTTAGTACTACATGCATGAGCGGGAATGAGCCTAAGTGAACTCAGGCTCAGATGCTCTCTCCTCCTCCCATGTGTCCAGGAGAAAGCTTTCTGCTCTGTATAGTTTCAGTTTCCATGAATCTTGGGTTGTCCTTGCATAGAGACCACAGACTGTGATTTAAAACAACCCTAGTCAGGTTCTTAACAAGCCAGCTTCAACCCATGGTTTATGAAGCTGGTCTGCTCTGTAAACCAGAATTTGGGTGGTATCTGGTGCTGGTCCTACTCAGAGTATACCTACTGAAGTTAACAAACATGACTAACTTGAGTTCATTAATTATAGTGGGTCTACCATGAGTAGGGCTTAGTTGAAAGCAACCCTTGGTTTTTAAGCCACAAGGTATACTTCATACCTAACACTCAGGTTCATGCGCACCAGAGTGCTAAATCAGAGGTGGGGGCCACATTTCCTCATGGGCAGCCTTCTAGGAGCCAGATGCAGAAGAGGGCTGGGTAAAGGAAATGACTCCATCATGGCCCATATTTTATTCTCAAAGAGATTTCAAGGCTGAACAAGGGCACTCCTCTTGGGGTCTGGGAATTCCTGCTTGCATCCAATGTTAGTCCTACTCAGAATAGACCTATTGTAATTGATGGACATGACTAACATTACATTGATTTCAGTAGACCTGCTCTGAGTACTTATGGATCACCTTCAGGGAGCCACATACTGGTGGTAGTCAGGGCCTGAGATAAAAGGGAGTAGAGCAATGAATATAAATACTACTTTTGTAGAGTTGACTAATTTCTGCATGCACAAACACCTCTCTGTCCTCCCATCCAAACAAGCAAAGGCACAATCTCAGTTCAAGGGACACATTCCAGCCAGGCAAAAAGACTCAAGGAGGGTGCAGGGCAAGACCACTGAGAAGGTGTGGCCTGGAGAAAGTCCTGAGAGCCAGAAAGCAAGGCCTTGGAGACTGCATTTGGCCTCTGGGTCTGAGATTCATTATCCAACCCCAAATGTCACATTTTCTAGGAATTTTACTCAGTAATGTTATGCCAACCTCTTGAGTTGCTTAAGGCATTTCCGTAACTGAAGCCACATTCACAGCTTACATATAAAGCCTTATGATACCACTTTAAACATCATGGCTTCCCCAAAAGAATTATGAGAGTTGTAGTTTGTTAAGGGTTCTGAAAGTTGTTAAGAGACCCTTAGTTCTCCTCACAAAGCTACTGTTCCCAAAGTGGTTTAGCACTCAATCTCTATTCCCAGGTAACTCTGAGAATTGTAGCTCTGTGAGGGCAATGAAGGGGAAGGTATCATAAAGACTATAATCAGCATTAATAAATAGCTCTCCTGAATCATTGGGGGAAAGCCGTGACTTGGTATCATTGCACTTTAAATGTACGGTGTGGATGTGAGACACAGAGCCTCCTTCCTTGCCTCTTTTGGGCTGTTTAGTTTATCTATGTTTCATTCCTGCACTTTGTTTGTCTGTGGGATGCGTTACATGAAATTAAGGGTCTTGACTCTCTGAGGCACTGGATTTGCGCAGTTCCGGCAGCCGGCATTTGATTTGATTTTTGTTTTGTTTTGTGGTGGAATTTTGACATTTCAGCAGAGAAAGGATCGTTGGTGAGCATTGTGCTGGACATGTCGGGGCTCCAGAAGTGTGGGGAGGTAGGTAAAATGAAACAGGACTCGTGGTGGGGGGAACATGCCCCTGATTCCTGGCAAACACTTGAACATCTGTGAGGTGGATAAAAAAAAATGTGGAGTCCACAGGCAACCCTCTTTTAATTGTGACTGCCCCCTCCGGGGCCTGCCTGCTGAGCTCGTTCTTGATTTTTGAGGTGGTGATTCTCTCTGTCTTTGCTTGCTCTGTCTTAACCTTTGTGTGTGTGTATGTGTCTGTCTGTGTGTGTGTGTGTTTTCTTTTCGCCCCCTGCAGGCCTAATTCTGCCAGCCCCAGTGGGAAGCCCTCTGGACCGGCCGTCAATATGAACTCTGTGCAGGGGCATTACATCCAGCAGGTAAGGGTAAAGGCAAAAGCTCCCTTGTATGTATGTAGTCCTCACAAAAATGGCTGCTGCAATGGCTGCCACATTCCTCTTCACAATGGCTGCCAAGGGGTGAGCAGAGACCAATGAGGCGAGGGTAGGTGGGACATGAGGCAAGCAGCAGAAACTGGTGGCTTGAGATTGGCTCTCTGCTGTCACCTGGTTTTCTGGGCCAGGAAGATTCTGGGAAAGGCCTACTCTTGCCTCTTTTCACCTGAAACTTGGATGAGGCTTGGGTCACATACAAAGCATATACATTTAAAACAAATGACTTCCCCAGATGAATCCTGGGAGCTATTGTTTGTTAAGGGTGCTGGGAATTGTAGCTTTATAGAGTGTAAACTGCCATTACCAGGATTGTGGGGAGGAAGCTATGTTCTTTCAATATGTGTTATATGTATGTTGTGGATATGATTTTCACAGGGTTCCTGATCGAAGGCCTGCGACATCTGAAAACCCTTCTGCTGCAGACGTTATTCTGGGTCCCGTAGCATCCCAGAACTTCATTCCACCCCTGAAGCTGCCCGTTTAGGGGTACCAGCAGCCATAGTTTCCACCTGCTATTCTTGCACGTGCTGTGGGGGCACTTTCTATCAGTGGGCTCCCCCACTTGGCAGTAGGGCTCCCCACTCCTGGCAGAGACACCTCCACTCCCATCTGTCCACTGAGGGCCAGTGTGATGTGGCGGTTAGAGTGTCGGGCTAGGAGTTGGGAGACCAGAGTTCAAATCCCTGCCTCAAGCAAGAAGCTCACTGGGTAGCCTTGGGTCATTCACTGCCTGTTCACGTAATCTACCCTCCCAGGCTGTGGGGGGTGGGAATTAAATGAGGAAGGGGAGAACCATATAACTACCTTGAACTTGGAGGAAAAATACAGATATACATGAAATTGTTATTAGTAATAATAATATCCTTTTGAAGGTTAGGAGCACTCTGCCCCAAATAATCTGAATGTACATATAAACGAATAATTCTGTGAGTGGGCATTTCCATGCTGGCCACAGAGAATAAAGCATTTCTTTGCTAGAAGGGGTACATTATTGTCGTTTTAATAATTAGCTTGCATTTCCATGCTAGCCACAGAGAAGGGTGTTTCTCCCCCTTGGCAGCTCTCAGGGTACTAGCCTCTTAGTATTTAAAAAATTAAAAAATGCCAGACTTACTTGCAAGGCTGATTTAATCCGCATCACTATATTCTAAGCAAATATTTTCATTGCAGGGGATTGGAGGGTCTCAGTGCATTGAGTGTGCTTGCAGGTCAAGCATGATCTCTCAGGTGCCCAATTCCTTCCTTTGTTTTCATATTCTCCCTCTCTCTCTCCTTCATATATCCCAGCAGGCAAAACAGCGACTGGACGAAAGCAAAGGCAGCCTAGGAGTGGTGAAACTTCCAGAGCCCCCTTCTGCCAGTCTGATTAAACCGGTGCGCACAGGAGCCATCAAGCCTCAGGCGGTCAAAGTGGAGGAGAGCAAGGCCTAAGCAACTATGCCACCAACCCACCCTCTTCCCCAGCCCCAGGATGCCAGTCAGCTTTGTTATACTCCACACACACCATAGAAAGAGAGAGTGAGAAGGCTCTGCAAATCACTCCACATTTTCCACCCTGGCCACCAGCTGTGCTGAGACTCCTTGCCACCCTCCCCGGCTTTACTGCAACTTATCTGTCAGCTGCCTGAAGGGTTGGTCTCGTCAGAGTCCTCCTCCCAACAAAGCAGTTCTTTGAGCCGTGGATTTTGATGTGGACCTGCTTGCTTTCCAATGACAGCAACAAAAGGCAACCATTCCTGCTGTACCGCTGCTGCTGTCCCCCCTCCCCGAAAATGACTTGAGTGGCTCTGGTGGCTTTTGTTCTTTCCTTTTCCTTGCTCCCACTTGCAAATAGCAGTGACCGCTTTTGGGGGGATGGAGCCCACCCTTCTCTTTGTGTCAGCTGAGCGGTAACAAGATCAGGAGTGTGCTGGATTTTATTTTATTTTTTAATAACAAAAAAAACAGGCCTCCAAGGTTTTTAAAGCAAAACAGGATGCTGTGTCTTTGTTTTTATAGCAGGACGTTTCTAAGTTCCCTTGCATTTCCTTCTCTTCTTGTTTTCTACTCTTTGCCTTCTGAAAAATGACACCCCCCTCCCCCAAATCTAAATCATGTACCTGGGTGCTCCCACTTTGGGCAGAGGGGATGTATGGAAAACAGTTCCTGTGTGATATGTTGAGCTTTCTACGCTCCTTTTAAATTGAGGCTGTGTCAATGCTTAGCCCTTATTTGTTTATTTCATAAAATTGATATACCGCTTGGGGTTCGAATCCCCGTGACGGGGTGAGCTCCCGTTGCTCGGTCCCTGCTCCTGCCAACCTAGCAGTTTGAAAGCACGTTAAAGTGCAAGTAGATAAATAGGTACCGCTCCGGCAGGAAGGTAAACAGCGTTTCCGTGCGCTGCTCTGGTTTGCCAGAAGCGGCTTAGTCATGCTGGCCACATGACCCGGAAGCTCCCTCGGCCAATAAAGCAGGATGAGCGCCGCAACCCCAGAGTCGTTCACGACTGGACCTAATGGTCAGGGGTCCCTTTACCTTTAAATACCGCTTGATTGTAGAAAATCCTCAAAGCGGTTTACAAAAGGTGGAAAAAAACAACACAGTAAAATTGAGGCAAAATTACAACCCATTTTAACCCTAAGTTAAAATGCTCAAACATATTAAAATTACCTCAACTTTCTAAGCATCAGGGTAGGCTTGTCTAAACACGAATGTTTTTAGCAGGTGCCAAAAAGAGTACAATGAAGGCGCCTGCTTGATCTCATTTGGGCAGGGATTAGCCCTTGGCTCTTTAAAATCCTTTCAAGTAAAATATAGGATAAATGTGTGGGGAACCCTTTTGGCCCTGTTATTGAATGACGGTTCCCTAGCCATTGGCCATGCTTTCTGGGGTTGATGGGAGTTGTCGTTCAGCAACATATGGAAGGCCACAGGTTTCCCACACTTGGGATAGGTAAAGGCATTTGATGGCTTAGGACATGCTTCATTTCCTTCCTCTTCCCTTGAGTTCCCTTTGTTAAACTAGAAGCAGAACTTGCTTTAAAAGTAAAAACCATTATGAAAGGCATTTATAGTAGGTCCAGTAGCTGCTCCAGTTGTTGTCTCTTCTGCCTGCCTGCCCCTTGCAGTATAAAAAGAACAAGAAAACCAGCATTGCTCTCATTTCAGAAATGCCAGCACGTTTATTCCATGAGATCTACCCCGATCTGGTCATCATCTGTGTGGAGTTGGGGTGTTTTTGTTTATTTAAAAACAAAAATTCTGGAAGCAATTAGATTTGCAGCAAGGGGGTCTCCTCAAGATTCTACACAAGGAAGTTCTTGCCTTGCTGGGATCTGAGTTAGTTGAGAGTCATTGGGTTGATTCCAGTGTCAACAGTTTTCAGTTAGAACTCGTGAAATTGATGGACTTGACTAACTTAGGCACGCTGATTTCAGTAGGTCTGTTCTGAGTAGAACTTTGTTCAATGCCACCCAGTGGACTTCTTTTGGTAGCTGAGATGCATGCCCACCACTGAAGCAAAATGGTAGAAGCCTCCTGCACAACACACAACAGGCAGATCAAAGGTTTGATTCCTTGTGAATGAAAGAAATCGCTGTGTGTGGGAGAGTTTTATTTCCTTCCTCCTTCCTTCTCCCCTCACATATCCACACAAACACACACCCTTTTGCAAATAATTACTTTTAGAGCACTTGGGTGACCAAGTGTAACCTCTTCATAACTTGCAGAGCCGCCATGCTCTGAAAAGGCAGGATTATACTGGATTCCATTTTCATGTTTGGTTTTGTGTTTTTAAAAGATACTAGAGGTCTCAAGTGGACTAATTGCTTCCACTTATTTCCTGTTTAGATTTGTCTTGTTAAAAACACTAGAGTGGAGAAGGAAAATTCTCTTTCTTTTGTAGACAGTAACTTGAAAATTTGTCCTAACGGCCTTTTTCTGCTGGTGGTGGTTCTGCTGGTGGTTCCAAAGACAAATGTTTTGAACAAAGAATGTATTTAAGAAGGATTTGCGAGAGGTGGTGGGGAGAGGATTTGCAAGATTTGGAACACCCTCCTGGATTTCTTTTTTTAAAAGAGTTTTTAATTTCTTAAGCTTGGTAAAAACCGTGACATTTATAGGACAGCTTTAGTCCTGACTTCTAGGCTTGTTTTAACTCAGCCATGGTAATGTTTCCTCTTCACCGTTTTGTGTGTGTCTGTGTGTTTGTTTTCCTTTATAGAAAACCGTGGAAGGGGCTTGAGATAGATGGTGCTTTTAAATAAATTTATAAAATTGCCATTCCTGGGGAGCAAGAGGGTTATTTCTTGGGTTTCTGAGCTGCCCCCAATGCTTCTAGCATCTTAGAGTGATTTGAAGTTTAGTAATATTGGAGTTGCAGAAGTTCTTTCCTCACCCCCTGAATCTCACCCTGTCCCCACCCCACCTTTTCAAAGACAGTGACGTTAATATTTCCCGAATAATCTTGCTCTTTTTCTTCTTCTGCATGATGCCTCTGCTACTTTGAAATATCATGAGCAATTATAAAAATGCTTCCTTGGATTTTTTAGGGGTGGGTGGGTGGGCTGTGACTGATTTTAAATTTCAACAAACTCAAATCCTGCTCTCACCAGCATATTGCTTTGCACCTTTAGCGCTCTTGTGATGCCCTTTTAATTTTATTTTAAAGAAGACACAAACCTTGTTTTTTCTTTTGTATATGACTTTCAGATGGTCCTTCTGCAAATCGCAAGGCCAAGGGGGAGGGTGGCATTGGTGGAGCTTGAGTTTATTGCTAGATGCAAAATATCACAGAAACTCCTGGTGTAAATTTAATCAGAAATACAGTACTTACTATTGAGGGGGGCGGTGGGGGAAGTCACCCTCTTTTAACAAGACAAAACACTAGAATTTATTTATACGTATTTGATGTTGTAGGTCTAGGTGAAAAAAGAAGTAAATGTTTCACTGCTCTATTTATATATTATGTCTGAATTTACTCTGTGAAGGAGAGGCCAAGAAGCAACCTCTTACTTTTCATTGCCTCTTTTTGGGGACAGGCAGGTTTAATTTGCATTATTACTGTTACCTGCAGCTCACAGGACTTGTTTTTCACATGGAAAGCTGTCCCCTTACACCCTTCTTTTTCAAAAATGCAAATGATGTCCCTTCTTTGCCACGTCTTCTTGTTTTTCTTCCACTTTAGAAAAAGATATACTTTGTGTTTTTTACAGTACCTGTTGGGGATCAATAAGAAGAAGTTGAAATTTGTCTCTTGATTCTTTCAGTGCTACATTCTTCAGCTGAAGGTGGGGATAATAACCAATTTGGAAAGAGGTAGCAGATTCATAAAACCTCTGTGGCCTTCTGCTTCCCTCCTTACATTTTTGTGCAGCGACTTTGTCAGTTCTGGTGATAGTGCTGGCAGCTGACCCATGGAAATAAACCAGTTGTGGATGAGATATCTTCTGTGAGTGGGCTCCTCTTCCACAAACTGGGTATTTTTTGTCGCCATTCAATAGAAGAGAAGACTGGGCTTTGCCTCAGTCTCCCCTATCACCGGAACTGACTCTGCATGCATCCTCTACTTCCGGCAGATGTTTCACTCAGAGACAGGATTGTCTTGCTCCTGAGGCTGATGCAGAAGGGGCAGCCATGCTCTAAGCCCAATGGCAGCTGATGCATCACTGTGTTTTCCAACCAGCTGGCATAGCTGCAGGCTTTATTAAGGCTACGGTCACGTGTAAATAGTGTTCGATTCAGCGCCTCCATTGCGTTGTGCAGTGGTTCCCTTCTCCTGAAAACCCTCTTGTGAGTTCTTAGCTACTTTTCACGCCACGGTTTGTGGCCAGTTGTGGAGCAGAGAAAAGGCTGCAGCATATCCCTCTAAAATTAAAGGTGAAGTTGCACAGGTTCAAGTGAAGGAGTCCTTAAGTTGAATAATCCTTGGCTAGCTCCTGCGCAGCATGAGAACAGCAGCCACACAATTCTCTGCCTGCTGAATTTCATTTATGTTTGTGGCCCTGCCCACTCATTGTGTTAAAGCATACCTCCCTCTGCCCCTCTTGAAAGACTCCTCCAAACTGATGTAATTCTCCTCCCCTTTTGCTATACTTTTAAAAGAATAGATTTGCAGTTCAGCTGTTGCCTCCTTTTTCTTTGTTTTAAACTGGCAGCTGCACCCCCACTTCCAGCAAGGACCCCTTACATCTCGTTTGAGTTGCATGCAGGGTGGTGGTGATGGTTAGCCTCTGATTTTATGCAAAGATGCAACTCCTTTTCCATTGGGAGTGTGGATGGATAAACAAGCTCATGAGATGAAGCAGAATCATCAAATGAGATGAACAAAGCATTTTGAAGCAGTGGAACTGCTAGGTGTGGGAAGAATGAAACTGGTCTGGGTCCTATTTTAGGATATAGTATGCTTGTAACTTAAGACCTACTTGTGTCCAGTGGTTTTTTTCTACAAGATGTAACCATCTGAATAGTTATGTGGGAATTGCAATAGCAGTGTGGTACTCGCTTTGGCATGTTGAGACATTTCTTAAGCAGCAAGTTCCCCACCCACCCCATGCCCCTCGTCCTGTATAAATTGCATTTGTCGTTTCTGAAAAGAGGGTATTGTACTCCTTTTAACCTCACAAACTGTACAGTAAAACTTTTTTTCTTTTTTGGGCCTTTCCTTCTATTTGTCTTTTCATGTAGACCATATATTTGAAATGACAACTGACAACTTAAAATATCTTTTAATGTTCGACGTGGTTTTTTTTCCCCTTAAAAAAAAAACCTTTCTGGGACAACTTTTTAACATGGACTGGATGTCTCTGATGACAGAAATCGCCAGGCTGGTGGCAGCAACGAGCTCTCTCTTTCCTCTTCTTGATTTCAGTTCCTATGGTTTCTCCTTTCAAATATGTGATTGTATTAGCTCTTTCCATATGAAAGAATTCTCCTTATTTAAATAAAAAAAACCTAAAAAAAACCCATGGTGCGCTTGTCAGCATTAGCACATGTTCATGGTTAACAGGTGGGTCAGACCGTATGAGCTCTGCTGTATCAGACCAAAGGTAAATTTTACAAGAACACAACAGCCTGCTTGATTAGGCCAGTGGCCCATCTAATCCAGCACTTTGTTCTCATAGTGGTCAACCAGATGTCAGTGGGAAACTCACAAGCAGCACCCAAGCACAGGAGCACTCCCCAGTGGTTTCCAGCAACTGGTATTCAGGAGCATTACTGCCTTCCAATCATGGAGGCTGGGCAAAACCATCGTGTCTAGTAGGTTTTGACAGCCTTCTGCATGAATTTCTCCATTCCTCTCTCAAAGCCATCCTGGTTGGTGGTCATTACTGCCTCCTGTTCGAGTTAACTAGAATAATAGAATTGTGGAGTTGGAAGGGACCCTGATGGTCATCTAGTCCAACCCCCCACAATGTAGGTGTTTGTTCCCAGGTAGGATTTTAGAAAAGATGCAACCACGAGATACAAGAAGCAAGGCACCCTGTTTATTCTCTGCTGCAGCAAAGGACAGCCCCATAGAATGATTCTAATAAGACAGAGACAGTCTCTAAACAGAGAACCCCAGTCCTTTTCTATAAACCAAAAACTGAATTACATTCTTTTGCCGTTTACATTTCTTTGTTCTCTGCTCATGCTTGCATAGACCTGATTTTGTCATTTGCAGTCTGCACATGCTCAGTTACCTCAGTGCTGATTCAAGCCCTACTTTCTTGATTCAAACTGTTGCAATATGAGGCTGCACATTATACACGTCACTAATCTGTCAAGCTCTCACAAACAGCAGCAGGCATTTTGCACTCCCTATTTTGCTTCAAAATGCTTGCATAGTAGAACTGTAGAGTTGAAAGGGACCCCAAGGGCCATCGAGTCCAACCCCCCAGCAATGGAAGAATCTCAGCATCCTCCACAGGCTCTTCCCTATATCTGGTGGGATGAACATCATAAGAGCCTTCAGGTCCAGACCATAAAGACCTTAGGCCAACCAGATCAAGATCGGAGTACCAGAGCACTCCCGTTCTGCAATTTCAGGCAACTGGTATCAGAAGCATTACTGCCTCAGAGTGGAAACGGCTGCCCTGTGCAACACCAAATTTCGGGGCGACCCTCCCTCGGCCTTCCCTACTGGATCATTGTCGCGGCGCCTCCTGCAGCGCTCCCTAAATCCGCGTCTTCCGAAGAGTAAACCCACCGAAATTGATGGACATGATGACAAACTTGACGTTTGATAAATGTCAGTGGTTCTGCTCTTGAGAAGAATTTCATTGGGGATACAGCTCCTAAGCTGGGTTTATTTTGAGCCCCACTGAAATCAATGGGATGGTGTCATGACTAATTTGTCCCATTGATTTCCACGGGATCTAAATACAAGCAGCAACCGTTTAATCAAGCTTGGGGAATCTGACCCTAATGTTTACAGGCGAGAGCCATGCCATACATTTAAAGAGCTTGAATCCCCGCCCTCCGGAGGATCATGGGAACTGTAGTTCCTCTCTAACGGAGCAACGATTCTCACCTACTCTAATAAACTACAGTTCGCATGAATCTTTGGGAAATGCGCAGCTTCTGCGCAGAAGGCATATTAGGCCGTATCTCTGGGTTGCTATGGAAACAGCCGCCCTTTGCCTCTCATCCCGCCCACCTCGGGGTAGTGCTGGTGACGTCACATCCTGCCTCGCGTCCTCCTTGGTACCTCTCCTGATGGAAGTGATCCGTCTCTCGTGGCCCCCTCCCTTTTATTAAAAGTGGTACGGCCCAGGCTCCGCTTCATCAGTACAGTAAAGGCAGGAGGACGGCCGCATTTCTTGCGCGGGGGCGGGGTGAGGGGTGGGAAAGAGCGGAGAGAGGAAGGAAGAAAAGGTAGCAGCTTGCTGGCTTTGTGTGGGTGAAATTAAATTTCCATACTTCGTCTTGATTGGGGAGGGGCGGGGTTAAAAGATGCTTAGATATAAACGAGCCTTTTCTTAGGCGCACAGTCGTGTCCTGCTTTACTGAGGGGCAGATCGGGGGCGAGAAATGCGGTTTTTAAAAAATAAAATGCGCGCGGGTGGGGGGTAACAAGGGGAAAGCGACGCACGTGGAGGGGAAAGGGAGGTTAATCTGGGAGGGGGACATAGGGAGGAGGCCACTTCAGGCACGAGGAAAGATTTAAGTGGAGCCTCCTTGTCCAGCTGCAGAATATATTTGATGCTGAGGGAACAGAGAAGTAAGGGAAGGGTTTTCCAAAGTTGGGTCTCCAGCTGGTTTGAGACTAGAACTCCCATCATGCTAAGCTAGTAGGACCAATGGTCAGGGATGATGTGAATTGCAGTCCAAAAACAGCTGGAGACCCAAGTCTGGAAAACCCTGGAGGTGTCTTTTGCTTAGGGCCATAAATTTGCATAAAATATGCACCTGTTGGGGTGTTTGTGTGTGTGGACTGTATATTATATCCAGTGTTAGTCACAGTCATAGTCATAGCTGTCAACTTTCAGATTTGAAAATAAGGGATCAGCAGCCTCGAAAATAAGGGATCAGCAGCCTCACCTGTCCCAGGGACAGTCTATGGGATATCTAACAATCCGGGGAAGCAGTGGGAAGCGGCGCTGGAATAAGGGAATTTCCTGCAAAAAAAAGGGAAGGTTGACAACAATGGTCATAGTAGACCCATTGAAATGAATGGCATGACTAATTTAATTTCAGGGGGGCCTACTCAGAATGAAATGAATGACCTGGGCTGAAAAAATAAGGGAGAAGATGATATCAGAGATACAAAGCTGCCTTCACAGTCTAACCAGTAGTCCATCTAGCTCACTGTTACCCAATTTTCCAAACTCTGTGCACCATAAAATACTATTTTATCAATCAAAGGGTTTGGGTGCACTCCTGTGCATATTTGCTAAAGAGTGAGCACACTGAATTAAGTGATGCTTATGGATTGCAGATTTAATGAATTAAAAGGTGAGCCCAAAGCATCCATTCACAGATGCCTGCATCATATCTGCCTTTTTCTAGTAAGCTGCTTTTATGGGTGGACAGTCCGGAGGCTGTGACTCATGGAAAAGCATAGGTTTCTACACACACACACACACACATCTGGGCAAGAAAGAGGTATCACTTTTCAAGAACGTATCCTAGTAAGGCCAGAACACCCAAGGAGGTTACAGAGCAGGGATGGTGAAATGAAATGTGACCTGGAGAGGAGGTGTGACTTGGAGAAATCCTGAGACCAGGAAGACAAGCTTCAAGGGCTGCATTTGGTCCCTGGACTTGAGGTTCCCCGCTCCCCCTTCTGGAACGATATTCTTTTAAATAATGACAACAGCTCTCTTTACTTTTAGACTTGACAAAACTGCCGGGCAAGATGCTAGAATTCCTGAAGCACCCAATTGTATTTTCCGTGCAGATCAACATGAATCTCGTGGTTTTGACTGTGGTGGGATTATTAAGCCGGTTGTGGGCCCTGTCCTACCCTCGTGCTGTGGTGTAAGCAAATTCTTTGGTTGTTTATATATATTTTTAATGACAGTGGTTCTCCTGCACCCCAAGATCCAACTCAGTTGTTTTGTTTTGCCCTTTGTGTAAGAACACCATGTCACATTCTGTGGAGGCCACCACTGAAGTTGAAAGGCAGACTAAACATATTTTACTGAGTGAATAAAGAAAATAAATCAACTGAATAACACGCGGGTTCCTATCCTTTAATAATGACATCCTAAATCTGCAGCCTAGGTTACACTGCCCCACCTTCCATCTTCTCCAGGATTTTCTTCCTCTTTGCAATTTGCAGCCTACCCAGTCAAATAGAACGTTACATAGGAGGTTGCTTTGTATGTCAGACCACTGATCCATCTAGCTCAGCAGTGTGTCTGCTGTATTTCAGATGGGAGTCTCTCCCATCACTACCTGGAGATGCCGGGGAATGAACCTAGGGCATTGTGCATGCAAAGCAAACAATTACTCAGCTACTGCCCTTCCTAAAACATAGTAAGCTGCCCTGTACCAAGTCAGACCATTGATCCATCTAGCTCAGTTACTGTGCATACTAACTGGCAGCAGCTGCCCAGGGTTTAAACATGAGTCTCTCTCAACCCTACCTGGAGATACCAGAGATTGAGCCTGGAGCCTCCTGCCAGCAAATTTGTTGTCCTTTGCTGAGATTGCTTCAAAACCCACAGTCATTCACACTGACAACCCAGTTCCTTGCCCAGCTACTGAGAAGTTCATGTGCTTTCTGCTTGCTTGTGGCCTTTCAGCTTTGACGAAGTTTACTATGGCCAGTTCCTCTCTCTCTATATGAAGCGGATCTTCTTTGTGGATGACAGTGGCCCACCATTTGGTCACCTGCTTCTGGCCTTTGGAGGTAGGGATGAATCTCATTGAGCCCGTATTCATTTCTCCTTTGCCATGAGAAAAATAGTTGTGAAGGTTCAGCACAAGGGAACAGCGTTACAGGTTTAGAAGCTAGCTGATGGAAGATTCAGAATGGATGAAAGGGGAGGGACCTCTTTAACACCATGCATAGTTCAACTATGAAATTTGCTCCCATGAAATGTAGTGATGTCCATCAGTTTGGATGTCTTTGAAGAAGGATTAAACAAACTATGGAGGATAAGGCTATCAAGGGTTACTAGCCATTGTGATGTACTGTAGGAGGCAACATGCCTCTAAATATCGCAGGTGGGAGGAGTACTGTTGCACCCTGGTTCTGCTTGCAGGTTTCCTGTGGGGGCAACTGGTTAGCCACTGTGAGGACAGTCTGCTGGACTAGTTGGGCTACTGGCCCGATCCAGCAGGGGCCGTTTTATTTTCTTAATATTCTTATGATTATCCATACCTCTCCATGTGCTGCTTCTACTGCTCTTCATAAAACAAAAAAGCAGAACACCAAACAGTGAATCCAAACCGTCTATATCTATATACCCAGTTTCTAGAAAAGTGTTCCCTTTGTTATGAATAATATGAGAGAGAGAGAGAACTTGCATGTAAACCAGTATACTGATATATATGACTGATCTGTTTGATTCTAAAATAGTTTGGGCTCTGTTGAATTGCCACTTTACACCCAGTGACTTATACACACTCTTTAATAGTGCCCTCTTATGCATCACAAGCAAGTACCATTGTTTCCTTAGCATAAGTATTTTCAGGATTGTAACCTTTGTATATGTGTGTGTGGCTGAAATCCTCTTTCCTCCCTTCCATTTTAGGTTACTTGGGTGGGTTTGATGGCAATTTCTTGTGGAACAGAATTGGTGCAGGTAAGAGGTGTATCTGGTTCATCATAGTATGTCTGAGCTAGCTGGAAGTTAATTCCTTTTGTGGAAGGGTACATCTCAAAAAAGAAAGCAATAGCTTTTTCGTTTGAGTTACCAACAGACACATCTGAAAGAGGAACAGGTATAGAGTTGTTTCTTCCAGTTGTCGAAAAGCTTTGTTCTCCCACCCCTCAGCCTCTGGGTTGAAAGTACATCTTTGCCTTCTTCCCCACCCCTTGCAGCCTCTGACAACTGTTCTTTTAAACTTTGAAATATATTCTGATAAGAGGCCAGGGTTATCTCCTGATTGACATAAGGGCCTCTCCAGGATTGTGCACAGCCTAATTTTGAAAGCATGAGGGGGAAGTTGCTTCATGATTGACATGTTTCAGTTAATCAACACTCTGTGCAGCCTGGCTCTGAGAAGGGGGTGGAACTGCTTCTGGAGTAGCTAGTTGATTTTTTAAAAGTTTTTCTGCACTGAACCAGAAGAACAGCTGCTGTCCCGTCCTTCAGATTTTGTGGAGGAAGATGCACGCCTTTCAGGTGTGCTTCCAAAGCAGTTCATCTGCATGCACTCTTGAATGGGAGCTGGATGTAGATATAGTATAGTAGGGTTGGAAGAGAGCTCAAGAATCATCTTGTCCAACCCCCTGCAATGCAGGACTCACAATTTATGAATCCCTGACATACAGCCATCTAACCTCTGTTTAAAAACCTCAAGTGAAGGAGAGCTCAGTGACAGAGATATCTCAGGAAGGGAACCTTTCTGTTCAATCCTAATTGTGAGCAAAAGGCAGTGAGTTGTATTCAGTATCAGTAAAACCACTGAAATTGATGGGTGTGACTAACTCGGGAGCAGCAACTTCAATGGCTGTGCCCTGAGTAGGACCAGCATTGGATACAGCCCAAAATACTAGGTATGAAGTTTAAGCTTGTTCTTTTTAGCACACCCTTCCGCAACAACGCAGTTTCTTCCAGATGTTGCCACCTGCAAGTTCCATTAACTAGATATGTAGAATGGTAATGTAAATTTAAATCTGTTTTTAGCTAATCATTTTAATTATTCTTTGAATGTTTCAAATAACTATTTTTAACTGTTTTATCGATAGTGTTCTTTGTAATTATGTGGCATATGGATTTTATGAAATAAATAAATGACCCCCAACCAGCACAGTTGCATTCCCATCAGCCCTTGCATCACTGGCTGGGGATGGTGGGAGTTGTGGTCCAAAAGCAGCTGTGTTAGCTGGGGGTGGTGGTGGTTGCTGTCCAATCCATCTGGAAGGTGTCAGGTCAAGGGGGAGGCAGATGGCCATGTGGTGCTCAGTAATTCCTGACTCTTGCTTGTGTCCTGCTCTGTTTCAGAATACAATCCCACTGTGCCAGTTTGGGCCCTGCGGCTGCTACCAGCCTTGGCTGGTGCCTTGTGTGTTCCTCTGGCATACCAGATCCTTGTGGAACTGCATTACTCACACTTTGTTGCTTTTGGAGCTGCCCTGCTGTTTCTGCTGGGTAAGGAATTTCCCCCTTCAGCTGTTCTTCTTATTGGGTGCTGGTCACCATCCCTAGAAAGTATGCACACTTTGTAAGCTGCCTTATACAGAGTCAGACCGTTTGGTCCGTGTAGCTCAGTGTTGTCTACATTGACTGGTAGCAGTTCTCAGAATTTCAAGCTGCCCTGCCTGGAGATGCCAGAGATTGAACCCGGAACCTTCTGCATGCAAAGCAGATGCTCTACCACTCTTTGTTTATGGTCAGAGCTCTTTACTCATGCTCAAACGAGTAGGTTTTCACAGAGCTTTGATTTCTTTATGTAAGCTACAGTCATAAACAAGAGTAGCCCACATGGTATGTATGTATGTATGTATGTATGTATTTATTTTCTGCCTTTATCTCCAAGGAGCTCAAATTGGTGTACATAGTTCTCCCCCTCCTCATTTAATCCTTACAACAACCCTGTCTGGTAGGTTAGGCTGAGAGGCCGTGACTGGCCCAGAGTCACCCAGTGAGCTTCATGGCTAAGTGGGGGATATGAACCTTGGTCTTCCATGTCCTAATCTGACACTGCAGTCTCTGTACTAGACTGCTTCTGAAGCATAGGGAGCTGCCTCCTGCTGAGCCAGACCTTTGGTTCATGTAGCTCAGTACTGTCTACGTGGACTGGCAGCAGCTCTCCATGGTTTCAGGCACAGGATGATTCCCAGCTCTACCTGGAGATGCCGGGGATTGAAGCTAGGATCATCTGCATGTAAGGCAGATTACTACATCTCCCATCAGCCCCAGCATGACCAGTAGTTTGGGATGACAGGAATTGTACATCACGTTGGCTTCTCTTGAAATAATGTAAGGGAAGTGCATACTACTGAGTTGTCCTCTATGAGGAAGGTATGCATGAGCTTTTTATTTCTTTGAATATGACAGTCAGATCCCACTGAATGAGATTAGCAAATGGCCAGTGTTTTCCTGGTGCCTGATCATCAGGCAAACATGTCTGAAGAGGGTGTTCTATATTTGGGATACCCTAACAATTTGTGCACTGTGTTTTTAGAGCAGGGGTAGCCAATGACATGCCTTCCAGGTGTTGTTGGTCTCCAACTCCCATCAGCTCCAGGTAGCATGGCCAGTGGTGGAGGATCATGGGAATTGGAGTCCAACAACATCTGGAGGGCATCATGTTGTCCAGTTTAGAGCATTGGGTTTTTGGAATGCTTCGTTTCCCCAGATTTAAAGACTCATTTTGACTTGTTTTCACCACTTTTGAGTGAGGGTCAATCACTTTTATTCCAGCTAAGGTGTTCTCTCTTCCTCCTCATTTCCTAACAGAGAACTCCCTGATCACTCAGTCCAGGCTGATGCTACTGGAGTCCATTTTAATCTTTTTCATCCTGCTGGCAGTTTTATCTTATCTGAAGTTCTACAACTCTCAGAAGCAAAGGTAAAAGGTGGCACAGAATTCTTTTCAGTAAATAAAGTAAAGTAATTTGACAGCAAGACATATAGTGACCATTGTTGGCTGATCCAACCAGAAAAAGTGGAGACTTTGGTAGAAGCTTTCTGAGTTAGATGGGATTTTTTAAGCCAATTGTAAAAGCAAGAAGTAGCTGTGGATTCCTAGTTCCTTTCCCTGGCAAAGAGAAGAGCAAAGTGAAGCTGGTGCATATCTTGGTTTCATAAGCTGGGACACACTGACGCAATCTGAGCCGGTGTGCACATCTTGAGGTTTTTAATTTGTGCTAATTGTTGTTGCATGTAAATACAGTGGTGCCTCGCAAGACGAAATTAATCCGTTCCGCAAGAGTCTTCGTCTAGCGGTTTTTTCGTCTTGCGAAGCAAGCCCATTGACGGATTAGCGCTATTAGCGCTATCAGCTGTTTAGCGGCTATTAAAGGCTTAAAGGCTTAGGGGATTAGCTGCTAAAAGGCTATTAAAGGCTATTAAAGGCTTAGCAGATTAGATAAAGGGGAAAAGCGAAAAAAACCCTCAAGACTCGCAAGGTATTTTCGTCTTGCGAAGCAAGCCCATAGGGGAATTCGTCCTGCGAAGCAACTTCAAAACGGAAAACCCTTTCGTCTAGCGGTTTTTCCGTCTTGCGAGGCATTCGTCTTGCGGGGCACCACTGTAAATATATAGCAATGGATATCTTGCCTTGCTTAGAAGGGTTCTGTGTGGTGCCTGAGCATTGACTGGAGGGGTGTGGAGGGACTGAATTGACACTCAAATTCATTTTATTCATCCAGTCAGATTTCTAGCCTGAGGATGTATTTACTTACTTCTGTCTCTAACTTATTTCTTAAAAAGTATATCCTGGCCTTCATTGCCCACTTGGCCACTGTGCCTGTGTTTGTCTGATGGACATGACTGACACCTATGTAGACCATGCTGAGTGTGCAAGCTAGACTAGGAACATAAGGAGCTGCTTTACACTGAGACAGACCTTAGGTCCATCTACTGCCTACAACGACTGGCAGCAACTCTCCAGGAGACAATCTTCGCTGTCTCTTCGTGGAGACCCAGGTCACCGAGCCTGAGCTTCCACAGCCGCTGCCTGCCATGAACCACCAATGGCAGGATGGCAGCAGCAACAGCAGATATGTTCTATGCTTATGATAATTATTTTGTTCACTTGCTAATTACGCTGTTTTAAATGTGTATTTTATATCTGACTTCCTTTAGCAATGCTTAAGATAAAAAAAAATGTTGGGGTTGACTTTGCTACATTAAAGGAGCAACCTGGCATGTATGATCTGGCTGAGATTCTTGCATTGCAGGGAGTTGGACTTGATGACCCTTGGGGTCCTTTCCCACTTAATGATTATATTCTGTGTGATTGACATCTTTTGTAATGTTTGTTTTGAAATCTTTTAAGGTAATATTTTAGTTTCCTGTTAATTTCAGTCATACCTTGGGTTACAGCCGCTTCAGGTTGCATTTTTTCGGGTTACGCACCCGCTGAAACCCGGAAGTACTAGAACAGGTTACTTCTGGGTTTCGGCGGTTGTGCATGCACAGAAGCACTAAATCGCGTGTTGCGCATGTGCAGAAGCACCGAATTGCAACCTGTGTGTGAGCAGACACGCTGCTGCGGCTTGTGAATGCTGCGGGTTGCGAACATGCATCCCGCACGGATCATGTTCGCAACCCAAGCGTCCACTGTATATTGCTTTGAGTGTATGCTTGACTTGCTTCAGTAATGTTTTATTCTGGATTGTTTCATTTGGTGTTTTTAGGTAGGTTGTAAACCGCTTTGAGATTCCCCCCCTTAAAAATATAAAGTGGTATAGAAATGAAAATAATAATAATAATACTACACCACGAGATGTCAACCAGGATTGAACCTCTTCCAGTGAGCTATGGCCCTTTCCAAGAATATAAGAAGCAGCCTCATACAAAGTCACACCTTCGACCCTTTTAGCTCAGTATTGTCTGTGCTGATTGGCAGCAGTGGCTCTCCAGGAATTCTTCACTGGGGACATTCCTAGCCTTACCTGAAAATGCTGGGAATTGAACTCAGGACCTCCTGCACCCAATGCAGATGCTTTGCCACTCAGTGGTGGTCCAGGAGAGCTGATATTAGCCAGAGTGCCCAAAATTGCACAGCAGCCACAGACTTTTGCTTTTCATCAAGCACTTACTCAGAAGCAGTTAATTGTGATGGGTTTAACTGTTTGCCTATTATATATTTATATGTGTGTGTGTGTTTTAATGTTGTCTTTCTTCTTCGAGCCCCTTTTCTGCAAGATGGTGGTTCTGGCTCTTGCTGACAGGACTTTGTTGCTCCTGTGCAGTTGGGTAAGCATTCATTTTTTCCTCTGTCTCCTTTTTCTATTGTACAGTAATTCTCTCCCAAGTTGTTCTGAGTAGGGTTTATCTTAAATTTCCTGCTTCATGATGATTCCTGAATTCCTTATTTATGGTTGTGTGTTTTGCTTTGCTTTGTTTGTTTGTTTGTTTTTTTTGTTAAATATTTATATGCCAGTTTTACAGCATTTCTTTATAAAGCAGCTTACAAGAGCAGGATGAGGAATTAAAATAATGTAAAGGCAATAAAAACAGAAAACAATAACTAGAAAATATTTGGGGAGAGGGGGATGGGGTAGATTCCTTTATGGAGAAATGTCAATGGCCTAATAAAAAAAGAAAGGTTTTCTAGCCCATTTGGAAGGCAAACAGCGGCCTCATTTAATGTTAGGAGAACAATCTATTATAAACCTTGTGCTCACATGCTGTCTCCTCTCTTCTGGGACCTCAGCAAGTTTCCAGTTATATTTTAGATCAACCACAGTTTAACATTACATCTGCTCTCTAAACTGTGCCTAATCTTAACCACCATTATTGAAAGCAAGCCAGCTTTATAAACGATTGCTTATGGAGAGGCCACATCACATATAGTTGAAGCTTTGGCAATGTATTCAATGATTCCTTTGACAGAGTCCCCACATAACCTTTCTTTTTGTATGCAATTGATAGGTAACATGCTACAGGATTTCTTGGAATGGATCAGCATTATTTTACTACAATGTAATAACATACTCTATTGACATCTATGCCTGGGTTCAGTTTAGGTTTTAGGTTAGTCTAAAGCAGAAGCTTTATAAAGCTTTGACCAAACTGCGGGAGGCAGTGGAAGACAGGAGTGCCTGGCGTGCTCTGGTCCATGGGGTCACGAAGAGTCAGACACGACTAAACAACAACAACAAAAACAACAACAAAGCAGAAGCAGAAGTTTTTAAACATCCCTTGTGGCAGAGTTGGAGGTTGGGATGGTTGCACACAAGCCTAAGTCTCCTCTTTGTAATGCTAAACCATAGCTTAGTTCTATGTGCAAACACAATCGTTTCCCTTTTTCATAGAGCTGTTCCCCAGCCTGAGGCACAGTCGCAAGTACTTTAATTTCTAGCTGTTCATACTGAAGAGAAAGGTAACTGAAGCATATCCTAGATTGCTGCCTGTGGGACCAATTTGGCACAAATTCAAAGGCTCTTCCTGAACAGGCAGGAGCATGACAAATGCCAAGAAATGTTCTTGCATACATCTTCCATTCATTTTCCAGGGAGTTATGCAGGAGACGGTTCTCTTGGACTTTAATCTTAGATTGTCAGTGACCTTTAAAAGGTCTGAATTCAGCTCTGCTCTGTTTGGGAACATTTCACACATTTTAAATAATTTACATTTTGGTAGGTCTGAGTGGTTTCATTGCTATTTATTTATTGATTGCTGCATTCACAGGGTGAAATATATGGGCCTCTTCACGTACATCCTGCTTTTGGCCATTGCAGGAGTCCACTCCTGGCAACTGATCGGTGACCAGAACTTGCTCAATGTAAGTAGCAAAGTGCCTTGTGTATGCGTTGCCCGCCTTTAGAACAGGAATAGCCAACATGGGGCCCTCCAAATGTAGTTGAACTATAACTCCCATCAGCCTCAGTCAGTTTAGCCAATGGCCATGGAAGTTTGGAGCTATTTTTATTTATTTATCAAATCAAATCAAATCAATAAATTTAATTTTTATTTATTAAATTTGTATCCTGACCTTTCTCCCAAAGGAACTCAAGGAGAGCAGGCATCAAAGTGTTAAAACAACACACAATTTAAAGCAACAGTTATACAAAACATGACAGAAACCATGAACAGCATTGTGATTTTAAACACACACACACACACACACACACACACACACACACACACTTGTTAAAGTTTCCAGGGCCACTTTGGAAAGAAATTCACTCAGGGAACCAAATCCATCCTGTGTCGCAATGACCACCAGCTTTCACAGCCTCAAAATAAGATTTGACTTATTTATTTATTAAAATGTATATACCGCTCACAAGATCTCAGGGCGGTTCACAGAATAAAATGCAAAATAAAAACACAAGTAAATAATTAAAAGCAACAAATTCGTGTAGGATAAGGCTATCCATGGCCGCTGGTATTACCTCCAGACTCCAGTTACTGCAGAACAGAAATGGGAGAGGGGCTATTGCCTTCCTGCCCAGCCTGTGCATGTACTGGAGGCATATGATTAACTGTGGGAAACAGGAAGCTGGAATGAGATAGGCCTTCAGTCACATCCCATAGGGCTCTTCTGAGTTGTCCATTCTTGTTTCTAGGTGTGAAAAGCAACCTTTTTTAGGGGGGTGTTTCCTCTTTCCTCCTAGATGTCCCTGCTGTGCCACTTGCTAGCCAGAGGTCTGGCCCTCGTGATCCTCCCAGTAGCCACATACCTGTCTTTCTTCTACATCCACTTGGCTTTGCTGTATCGCTCAGGGCCACATGACCAGATCATGAGCAGTGCTTTCCAAGCGAGTTTGGAGGTAAGGAGTGGGAGAAGGGGCAGGGGCTGCAGAGGCAGGGGAGGGTTCTTTTTCAGAAAGAATGCACTAAGATATAAATTTGTAAAGAAAATAATTGTTCACGTGCTTTTATTGGCATTGTCTGTTTTGCTGGAAAATTGGCTTGTTGGAGTTTTTGAGAGCCCTGTTAACTATGCAACCATTTCTGGATCCTGAGCTATGTTTTAAATGAGTTCAGTCCCATCTACAAATGATTCAACCATTGAGCATATACATGAAATGCATAGGAGCATAGGAATGTGCCTTATACTGAGTGAGACAGTTGTTCCTTCTAGCTCAGTATTGATCCAACTAGTTCAGCATTGTCTCTACTGTATTTCAGACAACAGTTTCTCCCAGCCTTTCTGGGTGATAAACGTGGGGCCTTCGGCACGGAAGGCAGGTTCTCTACTGACACTGAGCTACAGCCCTTCCCCTAAAGCATGGGAAGCTTCCTTATACCAAGTCAGACCATTAGTCTATCTAGCTCAGTTGTTTTCTACACTGATTGGCAGCAGTTCTCCAGCATTTGACATTCCCACCTCTACCTGGAGATGCCATTGAAGATTGAACCACGTATCTTCTGAATGCAAAACTGAGCTGCTGCCCTTCCCAAATAGAGGCTACTTAGATTCTGGTGTGTACTTGGGCATAGCAAAGGACAACATTAAAATCAGGTGTTTCCATTTGTTCTCTGCATTTTGCGGCTCTTTCTAGGGTGGTCTCGCTCGGATCACGCAAGGCCAGCCTCTGGAGGTGGCATATGGCTCCCAGATCACCTTGCGCAACATCCTGGGGAAACCCATGCCCTGCTGGCTGCATTCTCACAAGAATACTTACCCTATCAGGTGAGAGAGAGGAGAGAACCTTTGCTCTAAGTCAGGGTGACACAGAGGACATTGTGTCTGACTTTGGTGTCTCTTAACTACTTTAATATCTGGAGCAATACCTTAGTGAGATTTTTTGCTTCATTGAATTTCCAAAATGGCCTTTGGGTTGAACAAGCTGCCTCTGGACTTGTGAGTTTTGCAGTCATGGTATAGGTTTCTTTTGCACTGTGGGTAGTAGGGATGGGGACTTTGGGTGGTACTTTCCTGCTTTTAGTGGACTACAACTCCCATCACTCCTGACAGTTGCCCATGCTGGCTGCAGGGGCTTTTGGGAGTTGGAGTCTAACAATAGTTTGAGGTCATCAGGTTGTGTTGCTGAACTACAACTCCCATCATCCCCATACCATTGGCCATGCTGACTGCAGGGGCTGATGGGAGTTGGAGCCCACTAACATTTGGAGATCTCCCAGATTCCCCAGCCTTAACTAAGGAGAGATATCTCCCTCTTTCCATGGAGGAATGTCTCTTCTAAATAGAAGCATTATTCTGTCTCTTGCAGATAATGCTAATTGTTAGATCAGGGGATTGGGTATCCTTGGTTTCCAGGTGTTGCTGGACTACAACTCCTATCATCCCTGACTATTAGCCATGCTGGCTGGAGGCTGATGGGTGTTGGAGTCCAGCTACATCTGAAGGGCACCAGATCCCTTGCTCCTATTCCGTATAATCCACAGTATCACAGGAACTCAGAAATTGTGATGACTTCCCCCACCACCAGAGCAAGCCAACTTTTTTTAATGCAGTGAGGATTCCCCCCCCCCCCCCGCCCCTGCTGGGCTGTTGATTGAGATATACTCCTAGTATCCAAATCAGAGGCAATCATGCCTCAGAATACTAGTTGCAGGAAATCACAGGATGGGAGGCAGCTCACGTGCCCAGTTCCTGCTTGTGGGTTTTTCACAGGTGTCTGGTTGGCCACTGTGACAACAGGAGGGTGGCCTGATGTGATGCTTTGGGAGTGAATCTTTTCCACAAGTTCCATTCTTTATCCCTAGGTATGAAAACGGCCGTGGAAGCTCCCACCAGCAACAAGTCACCTGCTACCCTTTCAAGGACGTCAACAACTGGTGGATCGTGAAGGACCCTGGGATGTAAGTAGACAGACACTTCTCTAAAAAAGGGGTGGGAAGCCCCCTTTCCAGGCCCAGGGCTGCATTCTCTTTCTGAGCAACCTTTCCAAACTATGCAAGAGAGGAAAAAGCAAGAGATATTGCTTGATGCATTTTTACAAAACTGAGCTGGGATGGGCATGGGGGTGCAAGATTTATTTTGATTTGGGGTTTTTTGTTTTTTAAGCACAAGGATCACGCCAGGTGTGTTTATAAATTGAAATTGTAGATATGATCTAATGGGTTGAGAGTGGTCAGCACCTCACGTTGCAATCAACAGAGGGGCCCTCATGCTAGTTTTGCCTCACTCAGAAGCTTGGAGTGGTGACCCAGGAAAGGGCCTTCTCTGTGGCAGCCCCTCAGTTGTGGAATCCCCACTCGTTTCACAGAGGTCTGCCTGGCACTTTCACTATACAGTTGTTGGCAATTGCTGAAGGAGTGCCTCTTTTACCCTGGCCTTTGACACCTGGGATACATATTTTTAGGACCCACCCTGGAACCTTAGGGTGAAATGTGAGTAATGAATCAATAGTGATGATGATGATGATGATGATGATGATAATGCTGATGATGCTTCTACTGCTCTCTGATATTTGTAAAACCAGCAGTTATTTTGAGCTTCCTCTGGATTACCAGTTCTCTTAGATGTCTTTATTATTTTCTTGTATTTATCCCATGTACATCCTACCCTTCCTCCCAAAGAGTAAAATAAAAACATAGTTGAAACATTTTGAAATGTTTTTGAAAATTACCTACTCTCACAGTTACTAATTTCAAAGCTGCCTGGAAACAATATCCTTTCAGCCATCAAACGGTGAGGGTTTTTGAATCCCTCCTGAATGGGAGCCAGGTGTAAATCATTCCAAAAATGAAAGGACTGTTGGTTTCTGCTTTCCTTCACTGTGCAGCAACTGCTTGTCATGAGACAGGTGTTTACATTCCACAGTCTGTACTGTTGGAGTTTCTCACGGGAAAGGGAGACTGGATGTGACGTACACTGGTTTCCTGTTTTTCACTGTGTGATTCTCTCCGAGCTGAGAGAGGAGAGAGGATGCATTTTCTGCTCTTGCAGAGGCAAGATGTCTTTCTGTAATATACCAGCTTTGAACTGTAAATAAAGCAATATAGAGTATGTAGCATGTATTTCTCATCCTTCCGCTGGGCACAACAAGACTCTGCTTTAAATCAACACGTGGTTATGGACTCCAGAGGTCGAATCGGAGTGCCGGCAAAGGATCGGAATGCAGAGGGACGGATCGGAAAGGAATCTGCTCTGCGCGTAGAAGTGATTGATGAGGTATGTGCTACTGCTCCGGGCAGCCTGCCAGCTTCAAGTTAATGGCTTTATGGCTGGACTTTGAACTTTTAAAGCCGGTTTTGCCGGGAATAGGCAAAAGGCTCCCAGGCACAAGTCACTATGCTGGGGAAATCGAAAGTAACTTTTAAGTGTGCCTTTGTGATAAGGCAGCTGCAGCAGTGACGCAGCAAGAATTAAAGCAGCATATATATGACGCTGAAGGCTAATGCCAGAGTCATGATGGCCCTTCAGGATGCTTGTGGGATTCCTAAGCTCAACAAGAATAATTACAGCGACTGGGTTCAGTATGCAGAGGCAATTCTGCGGAAAGAGGGTTTGTTTGAGGTGATTACAGGAACCCCCAGTTCCAGTTACAGATGCATGGGAAGCTAAGGATTCCAAAGCAAGGGGAACTCTTACATTGATAGTATCCCCAGAAGAGCTCTGTCTATTGCGTGATAAGACCTCAGCCAGAGAAATTTGGGACGCTCTGAGAGAGGCTCACTTAAGGACAGAAGCTGGGTCCACTATGTTTTACTTTAACAAGCTGCACAATATGGCTCTTGCTGAAGGTGGAGATGTGCGTTTACATCTGATGCAGATGCAAAATCTGAGACATGAGCTGCAACAGAGAGGACTCAACTTTCCAGAGGCTGTGTATTCTTTCATGATACTACAATCTTTGGGTTCAGGTTGGGAGTCTGTTGCAACCCAGATTGCTGTGCAACCAACTGCTCAGCTGACAGTGGACTTTGTTACTGCCGTGATTTTAAATGAAGCAGATCGCCGGGTGCTAGCTGCATGGGCAAGGGGGAGTCTTCACAGACGTCATCCCATAGTGCAGTGGAACCACCAGATGGCGCCAACGCTTTGAAGGCAGTGAAATGCTACTCGTGTGGACGTCTAGGCCATATGAAGAGGGAATGCAGACATCCCAGGGCCAAGACAGAGCAGCGCAGCGAAAGCTCATCGCGCGGAAAAGGCCGAGGCAAAGGCAAAGGTCCGGTGTCTAGGACAACGCAGCACAAGGCTATGGTTTCACGCTTCACTCCAAAGGTTGCAGAGGTCCAGAAGACGTCTAGATCTTTCTTCGTTGTTGATTCAGCGGCCACCCACCACATGTGCAACGATAAGAAACTGTTTGTGTCTTTTACACCGCAGGAAGGTGCGATTCACCAGGCGGATGACCACACTATTCCCAGTAAAGGCTACGGAACTGTTGTTCTTCACAGTTTGGACTTATCGATACAGAATGTGCTTTACGTGCCAGACGCCAAACATAATCTGCTCAGCGTTGGACAGCTGAATGAGCGGAACATTGACGTTTCCTTCAAGAACAAGAAGTGCATCATCACAAAGAAAAATGATTATGTATTGCATGCAGAATATGTTGTTCATTTGTTTGTTTTATATTATGATGATGTGGTGCAGGATGACACTTGTTGCATTGCAGGTTCTAACAAAAGTTTGCATGCAGAATGTATTCACGATTTTCATCGAAAATTTGGTCATTTGAATTTTGAGGCAGTATCTAAAATGCCTGCCTTGGTTGAAGGTATGACTATTAAACCCTGCAGGTACCACATGAAGTGCAAAGCATGCGCAGCAAACAAGGTGAAAATGGCTGCGAAAGGTAAGGTGTCTAGTAAGAAAGCTACAGAACCATACCAGGTTGTTCATGCTGATTTGGTTGGTCCATTAGCGCCCTCTTTGGGTGGAAATAGATACTTCATGGTTCTCATTGATGCATTTTCTAGATATATTTTTGTGTACAATCTCAAGCAGAAATCGGAGGCTTTTCCTAGGTTCAAGGAATTCTGTGCTTGATTGGAAAATGTGCATGGTAAGAAGATAAAGACTCTTTTCAGTGATCGCGGGGGGGAATTCACTTCTCAGCAGTTTGAAGCTTTTCTGACTGAGAAAGGAATTCAACACGATTTGTCTAGTCCTCGCTCGCCATGGCAGAATGGACTTGCGGAACGGGCAAATCAGACATTGCTTCAAGGGTTAAAAACCTTGCTGCATGATGCCAATCTTCCAGAGAGTTATTGGGCCGAATCTCTCTCGTGTTTTGTTTACAGTTACAATCGCAGGTTATCTTCAGCGATTGGATGTACCTCTATGAGAAGATGTTTGGCAAGAAGCCATACATCAAACACATGAAGATTTTTGGTTCTGACATGTGGGTTCGCTCACCACAAAACTCCAAGTTAGACAAGCGTGGATTGCATGGTATCTTTCTAGGTTATCAGAAAGGGTCTTACAGAATAATGATGACTGACTCTAAGACAATTAAGCTCACGAGAAGTGTTGAGTACAATGCAAAGTGGGGGAGAATGTGGGAATTTTCCAATGTTATCCTGATGACGGTGATGAGACTGAGGATAGTCAAAAGCAACCACAACAGCCCACACCCACTGATGAAGGTTCTGAGTCTGAATCTGAAACTGAATCGGGTGATTCAGAGGATTTCAAGAGTGCGAAAGCCTCTATGCGACCCTCTGAAAGCTCTGATCAAGAATTGGAGGAACCATTGTTCACAATAGGTCGTTTTTCTCCTAAGAAGGAAGAGGAGAGTGTTGAAGACTTAAGGATAATTCGTAGGTCACAGAGAGCCACAAAAGGCAAACCTCCAAAGAGATTTGCTGATGAGTTTGCTACGATAGCAGTAACAGCTGTTAAAAGCTCCAAGAAGGTATTTGAACCTTCAAGTTTCCAAGAAATCCAGGGTTTGGATTCGAAGGAAGCTGAGCCATGGTTAAATGCCATGAAGGCTGAGCTTGATTCCTTAGAAAGGAACAAAACATGGGAGCTAGTTCCAGTAGTTCCAGGAATGAAACTGCTTGGAAGCAAATGGGTCTTCAAAGCGAAGACAGATCAAAATGGCAAGATAGTCAGACACAAAGCCAGATTGGTAGCCAGAGGTTTTGCACAGGTACCAGGTGAAGACTATCACGAAACCTATTCACCCACAGTGAGATATGAAAGCATTAGGCTTATGCTTAAGCTAGCTGCAGAGGAAAATCTACACATTAGTCACCATGATATTAATACAGCTTTTCTGTACGGATCTCTAGATGAATCACTTTATATGCTTCCACCTGATGGCGTACAGGTAAAACAGGGATTTGTTTGTGCTCTGAAGAAATCCTATATGGTCTCAAACAAAGTGCACGGTGTTGGCACACAAAACTCACTGAAGTATTGTTTTCTCTAGGTTTTCAGCAAGGGAAAGCTGATCCATGTGTATTTGTCAAAGAGGAGGGGCAAAAGAAACTGTACTGTTTGTTTTATGTTGATGATTTATTATTCTTTTGGAAAGATGTCGCAATGTACAATAACGCCCTAGCTCAACTGAAAAAGCACTTTGACATGAAAGATCTTGGTGAGGTAAACAACTACCTATCTCTGGAAATAGAGAGAGATCAAGATAGTAACATTCTAGTACACCAGTCACGGAAAATTGCTGATGTGTTAAGCAAACTAAATCTGATGGATGCTAACCCTGTAGACACACCGATGACAACAGGTTATCAGGTAAATGACACTGAAGAAGCATTTTCTGACACTACACTGTACAGGAGTGTGCTAGGCAAGCTAAACTTCATTGCCAGATGTTCAAGACCAGACATTGCTGTTAGCTGTAATTTGCTAAGCAGACAAGTCAACAATCCTAGTGTCAAGGATTGGAAAGCTCTGAAACGCATAGCGCGGTATTTGAAAGGCACTATGCATTACAGACTGAGATTTAACAATCAGAAGTCTGGTGGTCTTGAGATATTTGCAGATGCAAGTTTTGGAAGTGACGCTACAGACAGGAAAGTACGTCTGGAGTTTGCTATATGTACAATCAGAGTCTGTTTGATTGGTCATGCAAGAAGCAAACAACAGTTAGCTTAAGTACTTGTGAAGCTGAACTGAATGCACTGTCTTATTCACTTAAGGATTGTGAATGGTTAGTACAATTGTGCAAAGATATGAAAATTCCTGTCAAATGTCCAATCCAGGTTTACCAGGACAACAAAGCATGTTTGGCTTTGCTGAAGTCTGAAGGTTGTGAGCAAAGCACAAAGCACTTGCAATTAAAGTTGCAGCATGCTAGGGAATGTATTCAGAAGGGACTCGTAACGGTGTCCTATATGCCAGGTAATGAAATTCCTGCTGATGTATTGTCCAAGATTATATCAAGGGATCAACACTGTACCTATGTGCAGAAGTTGGGTTTGTACTGATACTGTACGAACACGCTGCCCAGTGATGTTCACAGAAAGGGGGAGGATGTTGGTTTCTGCTTTCCTTCACTGTGCAGCAACTGCTTGTCATGAGACAGGTGTTTACATTCCACAGTCTGTACTGTTGGAGTTTCTCACGGGAAAGGGAGACTGGATGTGACGTACACTGGTTTCCTGTTTTTCACTGTGTGATTCTCTCCGAGCTGAGAGAGGAGAGAGGATGCATTTTCTGCTCTTGCAGAGGCAAGATGTCTTTCTGTAATATACCAGCTTTGAACTGTAAATAAAGCAATATAGAGTATGTAGCATGTATTTCTCATCCTTCCGCTGGGCACAACAAGACTCTGCTTTAAATCAACAAGGACGCTGTCACTGGTCAATGCCAACCAGGCAGCATCCAGCACCACCACCAACAGGGCCTCCCCCTGCCAGTTAAAGGGCTCAAGATGGTTGATGTTAAGGGAGACACTCCTTTAGGTAATTGAGTCCCAAGCTGACTGCAGCACTGCTTGATTCCAGTGGTGGCTGGTGCCCACCGGGACTCATAGAGAGGAATTAAGGTACTGAACAGTAGATGGCGGCAGAGCAAATGACAGGCAGAGCCCACCTATTCTGTCCCCCGTACCCCATCCTCTAGGGACGCGAGTGGCACTGTGGGTTACACCACAGAGCCTAGGACTTGCCGATCAGAAGGTTGGTGGTTCGAATCCCCGCGACGGGGTGAGCTCCCCTTGCTCGGTCCCTGCTCCTGCCAACCTAGCAGTTCGAAAGCATGTCAAAATGCAAGTAGATAAATAGGTACCGCTCTGGCGGGAAGATAAACGGTGTTTCTGTGTGCTGCTCTGGTTCGCCAGAAGCGGCTTAGTCATGCTGGCCACATGACCCGGAAGCTATACGCTGGTTCCCTCGGCCAATAAAGCGAGATGAGCGCTGCAACCCCAGAGTCGGTCACAACTGGACCTAATGGTCAGGGGTCCCTTTACCTTTACTCCATCCTCTACAAGGGGCAATATGGAGACCAAGGAGGAGGAAGCTGACAGGCAGAACCACTCCCTGATCTGGTTGTAAGTAAAAAGACAGGCAGGCAGGGGCTGGCTGAGGGCAGACTGAAGCTGGTGGGGCAGTTCCCTTATTTGTCGTAATGGACCACCCTCCACTGCTTGACACCCTCAGACATATTTCTCCTGGTTTTTTAGCCTAGGTCTGGTTTTCTCTTTCTTTTCTTGAACATTTCACTTACCTCTTTCCTAATTACTTTGGCTAATTACTGGGACCTGCTCCATTTTGGTATTTCCAGGCCTGCTAACTCCCCCTGTATCATCTTTGCACATCTCTCAAAACAGGCAGCAGCTGGTGGTGAGCAACCCCCCTCGCCCTGTGCGCCACGGCAGCATTGTGCAGCTTGTTCACGGGATCACAACTCGCTACCTCAACACGTAAGTAGCCCTTGGCTCTCAGAAAGGTTGCTTCTGCCCCCAGCTGCAATGATTAAGCTTTGTTCAGATGGTAATTTACAGTAGACATCCAGCATTTTAAAAAGAGGAGATATCTGGCAGGCATGCACAGGTAAACAAGAACATAGCTCAGTTGGTTAGAGTGTTGTGCTGACAATGCCACCGGTTGCAGGTTCAGTCCCCATGATTCTACTTGATAAGAAGAGCTTAGCTATTGAATCAGGGCAGAAGCATCCTGATTCCTGGCAACTGGTATCCAGAACCATACTTACTGCAAGAACAGAGGTAGAACATAGCCCTGGTGGCTACTTGCCATTCGTATCCTTATCCTACGTGAATTTGTCAACTCCCCCTTTAAAGCCATCCAAGTTGGGAGCCACCGCTAAATCTTGATGAAAGCAAGTTCTGTACATAAAAGAGACAGATGGCCTTCAGGTAACCAGCACCTAAGCCATGAAGGGGGTTTAAATGTCAAAACCAGCATTGGGAAGCTGGTTTGGGAGTGGGGGTGGGGTCAGTACAAGTTGCCAAAGCACAGCGTGTAACAATCACATGGCCCTGCTACCATTAAAGTAATTGAGCAGCTACATTTTCCCTTTTAACGGAAGTAGCTGCAAGGAACAGCACAGGTCAGGTGCTAAAGTAGCTCCGTGGAGAGGCTTTAAGGAAACTGCTCTGCATCTCTTTTATCCATCTGCCTTTACAGACATGACGTTGCTGCGCCCCTGAGCCCTCATTCCCAAGAGATTTCCTGCTACATTGATTACAACATTTCCATGCAGGCTCAGAATCTCTGGAGAGTGGTGAGTTGTTGATCGGAGGGAAGGGAATCACACACCCCATATTCTCCAATCTGAGATGAGCAAGGCTTCTTAAAGACTCTCCTCACAATAGGGATGGAAAAACCTGTCAATTTTAGTTTCTTATTTTGTATCACAGTGATGGCTCACACATTCAGTTCAGCAACCTTTGCGCACACATGGGAGGAACAGGGTCTCTTTTGAAATACCCAGATGTTGCAGTGGGAGGAAGACCCAGACACCTGTGCTCCTTCACTCACACCCAATCCTGCCTGCTTCGCACTGTCAAGGCATTCTTGGTGATGTTGAAATACTATCCTTCCAATGATTATATAATGCAAACATAGAATCAACATGTTGTGCATTTAAAACTGAACGTTTAGAGCAGGGTTGTGGGGAACCTCAGGCCTGGGGCATGATGTTGACCTCCAGACGTCTCTGGCTGGTCATCAGGATTCTTGTCAGGTGACACTCCCTCTTGCTAAGCCACACTCCTCATTAGTCCTGCTCCATGCCCCTCTTCAGAGCTTTGCCTGGTTGAAATGTGCTCTTGAACTGTGATCATGTTTCTTCCTTGCCAAAGTGAAGAATAGGCATTTGTGTGTGTGACATTGGAATAAATATATCCTCCTGTACAAAGGTGAAATTTACATTCATGGCTCCTCCCACTACTGGCATGTGTCCCTTAGAAGCTTGCGCAAAAGGAATGTGGCTCCCAGGCTGAAAAGGCTTTCCCAGCCCAGTTTTAGGGGGAGAGGTGAAAGGGAAGGAGTCTCTTAAACAAACCCACGTTAAATACCTGCAGGCTGTGTTTCTTGGCTGGAAAAGTCAACTCAGCTGCAAACAGCTCAACTATAAAAAATGATCAGAATTCAAGTGATAACTTGCTATTATTGCAGGAAATTGTGAACCGAGACTCGGATACAGATGTCTGGAAAACAATCCTGTCTGAAGTAAGGCTTGTCCATGTGAACACCTCGGCAGTGCTAAAGGTATGTGGGTTTTGGAGTTTCCCCACCCCCAGAGCTTCCCACCAGGAATTGTGCAGAGGCACAGCAGGCAACCCACTTCATGACTTTGGGCTCCTGGAAGCCTTTATTCATTTGATTTATTACATGCGAACTCAGCCTTGCCCAACACGAGTCTGCCCCTGTGGCTTGATGGAGGTAGAAACTGTCTTTCATGCCTTGTTACGCTGCCATTTCTACAGGGATATATGCTTGGTATTTATTACCCCTGCTATGCAAAAATCTCCAAATAAATCCGAACTTCAGTGTCTAAAATCCCTGGTAGAGGACAAGGATCCTGAGATCACATTAAGGGTAGCCAAATTCCGTGTGATTGCCATAAAACTTAGGGAACAAGCTGTGCTATCATAACGATTAAGGCCTTAAATGATAATTTTAGGTTATATGTTAGTGACTAAGTTTTCATTTATATATTTTTTAACTGTTGCTATATCTGTATTGTCCCTGTTATACCTAATTGCAAATTCAAATGTATCCCTATTGTGTTTTATGACTTCCTTGATATTGTATGTGGGCTGGAATTGGTCTGTGACCGAAATAATAAAATTCAAGCCTTGACCAATCTGGGACTCTTGTTCTGGACTAGGAAGAGCTTGGCTGCTGGATCAGGCCAGCGGCCGAGCTAGTCCAGCATCCTGTTCTCATGGTGGCCAACCAGATGCCCCAAAGGGAAGTCCACAGGCAGGATCTGAGCACAACAGCAACTCTCCCCTCCTGCAGTTTATAGAAACTGGTATTCAAGAGCATATTGCCTCTAACTATGTAGATAGAACACAAGCACAATGGCGTTTAGCCATTGCTAGCCTTCTCCTCCATAAATTTGTCCAGTCCTCTGAAGGCTACATGGTCATCATCACTGCCTCTTGCGAGTGAATTCCGAAGCTATAACTCAGTGCTGTGTGAAGAAGGACTACAACTCCCATCAGCCCCTGCCGGTATAGCCAGTGGTGAGGGATGATGGATGTTGTAGTCCAGCAGCATCTGGAAGGAACCAGGTTGGTGGGGTGAAGCAGCACAGTTTGTGAACAGCTGTGCTGTGGGCTTCTTTGCATCACTATTGGCTGCTATAATTTTTGTTTTGGGAATGAAAGACAGCCGGCAGCCAATCAGTTTTCTCTTCTTTCCCTATCCTGCAGCTCAGTGGCGCATCTCTACCCGAGTGGGGCTATCGGCAGCTGGAGATAATCGGGGAAAAGATTTCTAAAGGCTACCACCAGAGCATGCTGTGGAACGTGGAAGAACACAGATATGGGAAAAGTCAGTTCAAAATCTAAACACTCTTTAAGACCATTATGCAGGGCTGGGAAAGTCTCCTGTCTGAAACCCTGGAGAGCTGCTGCCAGTTAGTGCCAACAGCACTGAGCTGATGTAGCATTGGTCTGACTCAGGTTCCTATTTAAAACCAGCTCAAGCATTACCCCAGTCAGGAGCAACCAGTAAGCAGCAATCAGGTCCTTTGGGTTCTCAGTAAATGGAGGGCAACAAACTCTTAAGGAGCAGAAGCAAGCTTTTTTAACTGCTATAATAATAAGCATAGAAACAGCAACAGGTGTTAGTATACAAAGTGAAGATAATTAAAAGATATAAGGGAATAAACTTAAAGATACCTGTCATTTCTGCCAGTGAGATTCCCGGAACCGGTGACAGCTCCGCTCTTACTTAGGCCAAAATATGCTTGGCACTTTACCTGAGCAGTCTAAGCTGAAATCTCATCGCTGGGGCTGGGGCCTTATATATTATTATTATTTATATTTACTGAATTTATATACCACCCTATACCTGCATCTGTAGAGGCCCTGTGCCAGATTACGTAGTCTTTGATATACAGGTTCTCATGATGCCATCGTTTTCTCATCCACTTCTAAGGGTATGTCCTTGGAGTTCACACTTGGAAGTTGGCACATGAGGGAAGCTGTCCTCTTCCTGACCTCCCTGTTATATTCTCTGGCTGGCACCCTTGAACTTCTGCCATTACTTTCGTTATAGCAAATATATAAACAATAGAAACTACAGCTGCATCAGAAGACAGGAGAAGCACCACCTAGTGCCTATTTCTCGTGACACTACAGATCATTATTCAGGACCATGAGGACTAGAACCTTGTGTTTACTTTTAGGGAAAGGCCCATAGTTCAGTGGCAGAGCATTTGCCCTTTATGCAGAAGATCTCAGGTTCAATCCCTGGTATCTCAGTTTGGGGCTGGGAGAGATTCCCTGCCTGAAACATTGGAGAGCCGCTGCCACTCAGAGTAGAGAGTATTGAGCTACGTGGACCCCAATGGTCTGTATAAGGCAGCTTCCTATGTTCCTTTAAAATGTGTTGCATCCAAGGACCTGCATGCTTTTAGAACTTTTATAAAAAAGTGTTGTAGGGAAGCTTACTATTTCTCTTCCTCCCTCCCCTGCGAATCGGGTTATGTCTCAGACCAGTTTGTTTCGGCTTCTCTTCCAGGCCACGAACAGAAGGAGAGGGAGGTGGAGCTGCATTCCCCAACGCAGATCAGCATCAGCCAGAACCTCAGTTTCATGGCCAAGTTCACGGAACTGCAGGTGAGAAGCAGAGAGAGGTTGAAGGCAGCAAAGAGTATAGAATCATCGAATCATAGAGTTGGAAGAGACCACAAGGGCCATCGAGTCCAACCCCCTGCCAAGCAGGAAACACCATCAGAGCACTCCTGACATATGGTTGTCAAGCCTCTGCTTAAAGACCTCCAAAGAAGGAGACTCCACCACACTCCTTGGCAGCAAATTCCACTGTCGAACAGCTCTTACTGTCAGGAAGTTCTTCCTAATGTTTAGGTGGAATCTTCTTTCTTGTAGTTTGGATCCATTGCTCCGTGTCCGCTTCTCTGGAGCAGCAGAAAACAACCTTTCTCCCTCCTCTATGTGACATCCTTGTATATATTTGAACATGGCTATCATATCACCCCTTAACCTCCTCTTCTCCAGGCTAAACATGCCCAGCTCTCTTAGCCGTTCCTCATAAGGCATCGTTTCCAGGCCTTTGACCATTTTGGTTGCCCTCCTCTGGACACGTTCCAGTTTGTCAATGTCCTTCTTGAACTGTGGTGCCCAGAACTGGACACAGTACTCCAGGTGAGGTCTGACCAGAGCAGAATACAGTGGCACTATTACTTCCCTTGATCTAGATGCTATACTCCTATTGATGCAGCCCAGAATTGCATTGGCTTTAGCTGCCGCGTCACACTGTTGGCTCATGTCCAGTTTGTGGTCAACCAAGACTCCTAGATCCTTTTCACATGTACTGCTCTCAAGCCAGGTGTCACCCATCTTGTATTTTTGCCTCTCATTTTTTTTGCCCAAGTGCAGGAGCCACCCAGAGAATCTCCCCACTGAAGCCCAGTGCAGGAGCCACCCAGTTGAAGTCTTGCACCATAAAGAAGACAGAAAGACCAGCCTGTTCCCATAGGAGAACTTGGCACTGAGCTCACCTGTGGAAAACCTCCAGACAGTGTTGATGGGAGTTGTTCTCTAACCCGGTGCCCTCCAGAGGTTTTTGAACTCCAGTTCCCATCAGCCCCAAACAGGGGGTGATGGGAGTTGTAGTCCAACAAGATCCCTGACAGCCACAGGTTCCTCACCTTCCAGCTTCATAGGCTGACATAAATAGATTTTTAAAATGTTTTATTATTACTGTTTCATTTGCAGGTGGAAAATCCATTGTAAGGTGAATAGCTTGGGCATTGTGTGTGACTCACAGAAGGGGCTGGGTGGGCCAGACGAGCAGCTTTGGAGGCAGAAGACCCCAGGCCCAGTACCTGGTATCTCCATTTAAAGGATGTGAGTTACCTGGGCTGGGAAATCCTCTTGCTTGAAAGCCAAGCACCTCATCAGCGGAGACACAGCACTGGGCTGGGTGGACCCAGTGGTCTTTCTGAGTATAAGACGCAGGGCCAGTGATGAGGCCCCTCTGGCCCTCCAGATGTCTCTGGACTGCAACTCCTTCCCTTCCCTTAAGGTTGATGGGACCTGTGAGGTCCAGCATCATCAGGAGGGTTGCAAACACCCCATCTGTGATAGCAGACAGTGGGAATGGGTCGTGGCTCATTTGTATCTATACGTCCTCAGCTTCCTTCCTGGCATCTTCAGCCAAAAGGATCTCAGGTACCCGGCCTGGGAAGGACTTGAGATGCCTTGATAGCTGCTGACTCTGATTGTTTATTATTCTACTTTATATTTACTTTATTCTTACATTTACCAAATGATGGAGATCAGGGCTCAGATGCCCAGCTCATGCTTATCTGCCTCCAGTACGGTGGGCCAAACTTTATGGAATCTGCAAGAGGCTCCTGACTTGTTGAACTTCTGGCACCCACTGAAGACTATTTCCCCCCCTCGCCTTTAAATTCTATCAAGCATTTTAACTGAATCTTGATTTTGTCATTTTAACTGCTTTTTATTTTTGTTGTATTGCATTTCTTATCATCATTCTTAAGAGATGATTGTAAGTAAGGCAGTATAGAAGCTGTCCAGATAAATACATTATAAATATTTGTAGTTCCAGAGACTTCAAGATGGCATACATGGTTATCCCCTATTTGTTGTTTGTTTGTTTGTTTGTTTGTTTGTGTATTGCATTTATATTCCGCCTGTTTCTCCAAGCAGATCAAGGTGGCATACACAGTGTCCCCGTCCCCCCCATCCTCGTTTAATCCCCACATCAACCCTGTGAGATAGGTTAGGCTGAGAAACAGTGACTGGCCCTAGATCTCCTCTGAGCTTCCTGTGGCCAAGTGGGGATTTGAACCCTGGTCTCTGATACTCTGACCACTACACCTGGGGATGCTGCTGAACTTTGTAACCTGCCTGTCCCCCAAATTGTCACATGGTTATCAAAAGTGTTTTGCTGGTGAGTAAGTTCTCATTCATAGAAATATATTGCCCTGCACTCATTAGTTTGCAGTGCTAATCAGGATTAGGCCAGGGAACTGGTTGTAGCTGTATTGCTCTGATAAGTTCTTAGTTGTCCTGTTCTGTTCTCAGTGGAAGATACTGACTCTGAAAAATGAAGACACAGAACACAAATATAGCTCTTCTCCCCTGGAATGGATTACCTTGGACACAAACATCGCCTACTGGTTCCACTCCACCTCGGGGGTAGGTTAATCCATTAACTAGCATTATTTATATATTGTCTTCCAAGAAAAAAATGTTGTCTGGTTGGCTTTCAGTGTTAGGAAACTGCCTTACACTGAATCCAGCCGTTGGTGGTCCTAGCTCAGTATTGTCTTCACAGACTGGCAAGTGAACCTGGGTCCTCCATACAAAGCAGGATTCTCTGTTGCTGAGCTTTGGTCCTCCTGATACATTAAAAAATACAATAAAGCCCCAAGTTTTAAAACCAGAAAGATTAAAACAGAGACTAAAAAGCCTTATTGGAGAGCAGCTGGACAGAGAGCCACAGAACTGGACAATAGACATAGCTTAAAAGGCCCAGTAGAATGAATTTGGAAAACACTATTTTCCAAATAGAGGAATAGTTTCCACTATTTGCTGAAAAGACAGCAGACACGTCTTTCTACCTGTAGAATGACATGCCCACACCTTTTTACTGCATCCAGGGGACCACTGCTAAAAGTTTCTGTTCGACAGTTTGGACCTCTCTTGAGGACAGCTCCTTATTATGTGAGAAGTCTATCCAGACACGCTTTATGGGAGTCATTTTTGACCTAAAGGGCGGAGCCTACATTTTCAAAGGCCTGGTCACCTGGGAGCAGTTTTCTGCTTGCCACAGGCAATTGGCAAGTTGCAACCTTGTACAGGCAGGTTCCTCCTTAGTTTTAAAAGCCAGCCCCCACACACAAATGAATGATGCACTCCAGTTTTCAAATGTGAAGAAACAGATGCAAAAATAAAATAAAGACGTAGCTGCGATAAGACACTTCTAAGGGCCTCTTCACCTATTTATACTTTCTGCCAAGAGAAGCAAAAATTAATGTATTGTATGCACCCTATGATTCTGCGGGAGTACAGAAAAAGGTAACATAGTAAGGAATGCAGCTTCCTGGGACTTAAAAAAGAACCCAGGCTTCTAGTCCTTATGGATGTGAAGTTTGCTTGGAAGTGTGTGGACTATATATTTTGAAATTTCAGAATTCAAGAGCTGTTTTCTTTCTCTCTCCACTGGATGAAAACAGCTTTAATGCACCTCTCCTGGATTAGGGGGGAAATGAAGGTAAATTGATGTCAGGGAAAATGGGAATTGCAGTTTAAAGCATCAGTGGGGGGGGGGGTCACCAGGATGGGGAGGGCAAATTCCACAGCAGTGCTTTTAACATTGTTGCTTATTGGTTCTCTAGGCCCAGATCCACCTTCTGGGGAACATCGTCACCTGGATGTCTGCCAATGCAGCCACTGCTGCATACGTGGCTCTGTTCCTGTGGTACCTGCTCCGGCGGAGACGGAATATCTGTGACATCCCTGAAGGTCAGATATTTCAACTATTATCCCACCTCTTGTTTGTTTATTTCCTTACCCATTTTACAACTCACAGCTTCAAACATAAATTTATATTCCCATAAACAGCTTGCAAAGTAGCAAGAAAAAAATAAACTGCAATTAAAAAAATACCACCACAACAACCCTGCAAGGTTGGTTAGGCTGAGAGACAGAAGCTGACCCATGATCACCCAGTCAGCTTCATGCTCCCGATGGTGGATTTGAACCTGCATAAAAATGACTGGGGAGAACTTGAGCTCCTCGGAGGAAAGTCATAATATAAATGGAATAGAATCAACACTCCCTTATTAGTAAGGGCTGCAAGCTCAGTGGCAGAGCACCTGCTTTGCATTCAGAAGGTTCAATCCTTGGCATCTCCAGGTAGGGCTGAGAGAGTCCCTTGCCTTAGACCCTGGATTGCTGCAGCCAGTTAGTGCAAACAGTATTGCACCAGATGGACCTACATTCTTACTTAATTCAGCACTTTGCTGGGAACACGTGAACAAAAACTCCAACTTTATTTTTAGGGGAAAGGCTATAGCTTAGTAACAGAGCACCTGCTTTGCATGTAGAAGGCCCCATATTCAATCCCCAGCTTCTCTAAATAGGCCTGTGAATGTCACTGCCTGAAATCCTGGAGGTTTCCAGTCTGTGTAGACAGCAATGAGCTAGATCAAGCCATGGTCTGTTTAATGCAGCTCTCTGTGTTGCCCCTTTATCCTGACAGAGGCATGGTGGCAGTGGGTGGCAGCAGGAGGCCTCTGCGTGGGAGGCTGGGCCATGAATTACCTCCCATTCTTCCTGATGGAGAAGACGCTCTTCCTCTACCACTACCTGCCTGCTCTCACTTTCCAGATCCTCCTGATCCCTGTTGTCCTGCAGCACACCAGCGAATACCTCTGCAGGTATGACTTCTCTTGCCAGGATTGCTCTTTGCCAGGAGGCTTTATGTTACAGGGGCGTTGACAAAGCTTAGCATGTCCAGAGGCGGGTGGCAGTGGGGTCTGGAAACCCAAGTCCTACTAGCAGCAAATGAAAGGCTTAGTGTATGTTTAGCCTGGAGAAAAGCAGATTAAGGGGAGACATTATGGTTGTCTTCAAATATCAGAGGGGCCTGTTCCACAGAAGATGGAACTGCCTTGTTCTTGTTACTCCAGAGATCAGGATTCAATCCAGTGGCTGAAAACAGCAGGCTATAGTTAAGACTAAGTTGTTGGTTGGTTTATTATTTATAGCATTTGTACCCTGCTGTTCAGCCATAAAGGCTCCCAGAGCGGCTTACATAATATCAAAACAAGGCACTCCCTACCTGCAGGTTTAAAAACACATAAACCCACAACACACAAGGAAAAGGGGACAAGGAGGGAAGAGGAAAATACCATATTTTTCGCACCATAGGACGCACCGGACAATAGGACGCACTTTGTTTTAGAGGGGGGAGAACAAGAAAAAATTTTTTTCCACCTCTCTGCCCAGCGCCCCTTCAGCGAAGTGGCAGGAGGCGCTGTGCAGAGAGGGGGAGAACTTTCCCCCTCTTGTTTTCCCGCTCTAAAACAAGGTGCCGTTTAAGGTGCGTTCAGGCGGCTACCTTGGAAGCCTGGAGAGCGAGAGGGTCGGTGTGCACTGACCCTCGCGCTCTCCAGGCTTCAGGTTCCTTTCGACCTGCTCTTTGGGGCTGGCGGGGGGAAGCCCACCACCAGCCCCAAAGAGCAGGTCAGGGAGCAGCGGAAAGGCACAGCGGAGAGGCTCCTGCCATAGCCGCGCGTCACCTCTCCAGCCGGGAGAGGGTCACGGGGTGCTTCTTTAGCCCCGCGCACGCTCTCCCGGCTGGAGAGGTGACACGGGGCTTTAGAGGCTCCTGCCATAGCCGCGCGTCACCTCTCCAGCCGGGAGAGGGTCGCGGGGCTATGGCGTCTTCGCTCCATAGGACGCACACACATTTTCCCTTCATTTTTGAAGGGAAAAAAGTGCGTCCTATAGAGCGAAAAATACGGTAAAAACTCAAACACCAATTTCTAGACAGCTGTTCTGATATTGACCAGTTGCCACAGTTCAGAGGCAGGAAGTGCCTGGTAGAGTTGGACCTCCAGCACAGCTCTTCTTCCTCTCTCTCCCATTGAGACAGCCTGATGGAATGACTTTCCCCAGATGACAGCTGAGGGCCAGGAGGGCTGGCCTGTCTGTTGCAGTCCAGCCGATGGAGTGAACTCTGTTTCTCAGCTCTCTGTTGTGATATAAGGGCTGTTTAGCAGTGGAACTGACTGCCTTAAGGGGTAGCAGGTCTCCTTTTGCTGGAGTTTTTAAGGCAGGGCTGGGCACTCCTCCATTAGGGATGCAAGAGTTTCATCTTGCACTGTGGATCCTGTACTGAACAGGGGCTTGAATCAGATAAAAACCCTTTCTTCCACATTCTGTGGAGACTTATGGGAGCAACTGTGGAGGAGCAAGGGAGCAACTGTGTTGGGAGCCATTAGAAAGCTCAGTGTTAGAAAAGACTCCTCTGCTTTGCTTGCAGGTGGTCTCCGCTTCTGTCCTCAGCGTCTCCAGATGAGGCTGTGAGTTGGCCCTGTCTGAAACATTGCCAAACAATGTTCACAGTACTGAGCTAGATGAGCCATTGGCCTGACTTGATAATATGGCAGCTTATTTAAATTAGCCCTTTATTCAGAACCATACAGAGTAGAATCTTACTTCCGGGGGAGAGCTCAGCGGTAGAACACCTGCTTTGCATGCAGAAAGTCCCAGGTTCGATCCCCAGCTTCTCCAGGTAGAGCTGGGAAAGACACCTTTCCAAAAGCCTGAAGAGCTGCTGCCAATCAGTGCAGACAACACTGAGTTGGATGGGTCAAGCATCTGACCCTGTATAAAGCAGGTTGCTACGCTCAGAATAACTGTCACTACTTATATAAATTCAAGTGATATCATTGCAAGATTAAGAGGGGCAGAAGTTCATTGGTTGAGACAATCTTCCCTTAAACTGCTGGTTCGTGTTTGCTTCAGCCTATGTGTCTCTTCTTTATAGATCCAGACTCTCAAAGAGCATGCACAGTGCTCTTGTGGTTGCCTGGTTCTCTTCTGTTTACCTGACCTACCACACATTCCGACCGCTCACCTACGGGAAGCCTCCGCTCACCAAAAGTCAGCTTCAGGACCTACGCTGGAAGGACAGCTGGGACATCTTGATCAGCAAACACTAGTCTTGCAAGACGGGCAACAAACCGCCCCCTGGGCAACTTAGCCCACTGATCATGTCTGCAAACACATGTACTCTGATTGCTTGATGTGAGGACTTAGAACAGGGGAGGCCTGTCTTGTTCGCCCACCTGAAGCAAAACGGGACGGCGTCGGCCCTGCTGCAAAAACCTTGCTTACTGAGGTTGTGCAGCTGTGGGTTTTGGCAGGGATGGGTTGCCAGGGTGTTCCCCCATGAAGTGAGAGAAAAAAGAGAGAGTTTGGATTTGATATCCCACTTTATCACACCCCTTAAGGAATGTCAAAGTGGCTAACGTTCTCATTTCCCTTCCTCCCTCACAACAAACACTCTGTGAGGTGAGTGAGGCTGAGAGACTTCAGAGAAGTGTGACTAGCCCAAGGTCACCCAGCAGCTGCATGTGGAGGAGCGGGGAAGCGAACCTGGTTCACCAGATTACGAGTCTACCACTCTTAACCACTATACCATACTGGATCTCACAAGTGTGTTGCAAGATCTTGCCAGAAGCTGCTACTGCTCCTCGCTTCTCCCATGGCGGGGGTGGAGGTGGGTACCCGTTGGGGTTAGAGGCAAGAATGGTCAGGCTGTCATAATTCCACTGTTCATTCAGCCTTGCCCATCCTGCCAACTGATGACCAGTTTTGACACCACCTTTTAAACTGAAATGGAATCATAGAATTGTAGAGTTGGAAGGGAACCCAAGGGCTGTGTAGCTCAACCCCTTGCAATGCAGGAATCTCAACTAAAGAACCCATGACAGATGGAGCAATGAAAACCATTGATTTGGAGTCCAAAATTTGGGAGTTGCAGCATTTTGCTATTCTCTTATGCGTTAAGCAACAGGAGAAAAGGTGGCATCAGAACTGGCCCACTTTAAAGCAATATTCCCACTCTTGTTTCCAGTAAACTATAGAGTCCAGGAGGTTGAATATGGTTGGCAGCCGAGTCCATCTCTTGCTGAACCTGGATCAAGTTCTGTGATTCTGTGGCACAGGCAAAGTCTTGTTCCTCAAGAGGAAAGGGTGATGGTCTCCAGAGAATGCAGAGAGTGCAGAGGCACTGCTGGCCAATGTCTCACTTTGGCGTTCTGTGATCAGTCACTGTAAATTATTTTATTTGCTTGTTGGAACTGTATGTGTCATTTTAGAATGAGGGTGGAGCACAATCAGTCAATAAAATGTAGACAAGGGAGGATAAATAATTGGAAGCTGGACAGCTTTTCAAAAAAAGAAGAAGAAGAGAAACTTGGCCTAGAGTGCTAACAAAGCAGATGGCACAGAGTGATCTTCAACATATTCTTGTTTTAAACCCTGCCTTTTAGATAGAGCCTTCCTCCTTATGGAGGGAGTTTAATGAACTTTTTTTTTTGCCCTTCACCCTGAAGTGGACTGTTCTCCTATTGAAAGTATTTTGGGAGGACCTTCTCTTACAGGTATTACAGAAGTGGCACCTATACCTGCCTTCTCTGATTCTGCAAGCACTCCAACTCATCTCAAGCAGGGATAGAGAACCTGTTGCCCTCTAGGTGTTTGTTGCCGAACCACAGATCCCATCAGCCCTGGCTCTCCTTGCTAGGGCTGATGGGACTGTAATTCAGAAAACTCTGGAGGGCTAAAACTTACTCATGCCCACATTAGGAGCAGGGTAGTTTAGTATTGCAACAGAGAGTGGGAACCAAAAAGGGCTGAGTTGAAAAGTAGGAATGTTGCCATTTAGAGAAAGGCAGTATATTAATTGCATTAGAACAATTGCTCCCCTAAGAGCATTGCTGATGCCCTTCCTCCTTGGCACTGTGTTAAAACACACCTGAATACTTGAGACCAGCAAACTGCGAAAACTTCAGCTTTTATAGAGGTGGACAAACTTGCTGTTTTTAATTAAGCAGGGGCATTTGATTAGCAGGACCTGCCTTCCACTTAGTCCCTTAAGTCCTACGGAAGCAGTAAGGGTGTAACTTAAATTTTTCACACGTGGCTTCCCTGTTTTGGTTTCATTTTTGTTAAATAAATCATGACGCTGTGTAGTATGTCGTGTTGTTGTTCATCTGAGGTTGTATTTACCTAATTTTAAGATTTGGTAAGGAACAGATGATGATGATGTCCTGATATGTAAAACCACCAAATTCAAAGAGGGTGTACTTTCTTTCCCCCATGACTCTGTATCCCACCTTTTCCTCCAAGGAGCTCAAGGTGGCGAACGTGGTTCTTCCCTCCTTGCAGTGACTGGCCCAAGGTCACCCAGTGAGCTTCATGGCTGAGCAGGAATTCAAACCCTGGTCTCCTAGGTCTTTAACCACCACACCATGCTGGACAGTTCACTGTCTCCTCGCTCAGCTGAACAGAGCCTCCATAAACCTGGATGGTTCCTGTTGAACAAATCCTGACAACTACTGTATGATTAGCGTACTTGAAGCCAAGGTAGGATTTGCATTGACCATATTCCTTTTGATCATATTATGGAGGTTCATACATACACACACACACACACACACACACAATGGAGGAAGGAAAAACAACTCAGTCATGTGGCATTTTTCCATGTTTTTTTATTTATTAACAAAGCCAAAACAAACCAACTAACTAACTAAGTCAAGCCTTGCTTTTAGAAAATGTAGAGCTGGCAAGGCCTCACTTTTATCACTTGCCTGGGGGTTAAAATGACTCTATAAAAACCACTGACCAGGTATTTTCCAACGTCAAAACAAGATCTCCGAACTTTGAAAAATGCCACCTGGTAGTGGCAGCGATAGCAGCACAAATGCATTTTAATGGAAAAACATTTTAGATGAGGCAAACACTGTTTACTTAGTGGTGATTACTGATCAAAGAAGAATCTACCACTCGTTAAAACTACAAGTCAACTGGAAGCCATAAAGAGATGGATTCTGCCATTGCCCACAACTGATCTCAGTGGTTGCCCCTTGTCTTGCTATATAGAGAGCGCAGAACTGCTCAGTCAGTTCTCCCTATGTTAGCTAGATGCAGTCTGTGAAAAGGCAGCTGCTTTATATTTAAAAACACACATCCTCCTAAGTCTATCCCATCGTTACCTAGTGGAGTGCATTAAAACACCAAAGTTATCACCCCCATCCCGGTCCTTGAGAAAGCACCATATAATTGAGAGATAGAAGGGGGCAGGCTGCCCCCATGGTTGCCAGAAGATAATGGTGATGCTGGATATTTTTGTACTAAAATGATTCTGGCTTTTAAAGCTAATCGCCACCCTTTTCTTCTTTCCCTTAGCAGAGAGACAATACGCGGCAGAAGAGAAATTGCACACCATTCCACATGGCCCTTTCCTATCTCAAAATATTATGCAAAAGTCTTGCTGTAATGAAATGAATTTGCGGGGAGATAAATTTGACTTTGAAAAGCAGCCTTCTGGCCATCACTCCTGTGTCAAATTATATTGGGGGGAGAGAAATAGGGAATAATTTAAGCACAAAGACAATTTGCTTGCCTGTGGCAGACCCATTTTCTTTCCTAGAAAATTAAAAACCATGGCAGGCAAAGACTAGAGAGAACACCAAAAAAAGGAGCACTTTTCTTTTTAACTTCTGGGGCAGATTTAGGTACCATCTGAAAGGAGAGAAACTAAAAACAGAAGGCAGTTTAAAACCACAGATTCGTCGCCTCTTGGAAGAGAATATGGAGCACTGAAGGGCATCCAAAGGGAACCTTGGAACCGGTCAAAAGTCCAGCTGGTGTGGGAGGGGCTTCCAGCCGCCTTAGTGGGGGCGGCTGCTGGACTCCAAGTGGGACCGTTTGCCGGGAGCCAGCAGTGGGCTGCTGTCTACTTGCTCAGGGAAGGGCCTCTTGGAGGAGCGTCCATGCCCGTTCATCGTCCCACGCTGCCACTTGCAGAGGTCACCATTAAGAATGTCCTGGATATGCTGCACAATGAGGTTTATAGCAACTGCCGGAAGAAAGGCAAGAGGTGAGTGGAGGAATTAATTATGGGAAGGGGCAAGAGGTCAGTGGCAAACTAAGCACAGGGTCTGGCATCTACATTATTGCTAATTATTACAAAGGAATCGAGGGGCAGGTGGTGGAAAATTCCAGCTAATAACCATCATTTCAGAAGTCTGTGCATCTTCTTTGCCTGAAATGAATATACAAAATGAGCCTTCAGGAGCCTAGAACGGCAAAAATGCCTCTTACCCATGTTGTCCACTCCTCGAGGGATAATCACATCAGCGTATTTCTTGGTCTGGAGATAAGAAATACAACAACTGTGAGTCGATGAACAAACCACCAGAGCTGCCTCTAGTGCCCTCTAGACATTGGTGGACTTCAACTCCCAGCATCCCTGAACGTGCCCATTCTGGCTCAGTCTGATGAGAGCTAGAGTCCCAACCACATCTAGAGAGTTCCAATTGAGGGAAGGCTGCTCTGGAGACACCTGACCTTTGCCTTTAGGGCAGAAAGGGAGCAAGGAGGCTAAGTCCATGTGGACTTTGTGAAGACGCTTCCTCTTGTTACTGGTGTCATTTATGACAGAGGAATCTTCCTCAGATCAGATTACTGTTCCCTTCTGGGCAACCCTCCAAGAGCCACATTCCAGTGATGGGTGGGACTGGAGGCAAAAGCAGATGGGGCAACCTATAAATTTTACCTTTGTAGAAACTAGCCTACTATACAAACACTGATGCACTCAACTCCAGCACCCAGACAAGTGAGAGGCATCAGTGGAGTTCAAGGAAGCATTCCAGCCAGGGAAATATATGCTTTGCAGCAAGGGCTTTGAGAGATGTAGCCTGGGGGAGTGTTCTGAAGGTCTGCTATGTCTGCAAGGCTTACAGGTTCCCAGGGCTGACTTTTCACAAGCTACTTTGGAGAACACACCCCACCAGCCCCAGCCACCACAGCCAACAACCAGGGAGGGATGGGAGCTGTAGTTCAGAACATCTGGATAGCACCAGGGTTTGGGGAAGGCTGTCAAAGAGGCACAATTCTTTCTGGGATGCAAGAAGTCCCTCTGGGTTCCATTCCCAGGTGAGGCTTTGTCCCAGAAGAAAGCGGGGAATCACACAATTAAGCTCAGTGGAATAACACAATTTAGGACACAGAAAGCCCCAGATCAGCATCTCCAGCTAAAATAAATAACCAAGGAGCAGCTGATGGGGAAAATACCTCCTCTCTGCTTGAGACTCAGGAAAGCTGCTGTCAGAATAGACACTACTGAGCTAGATGACCTAACAGTCTGACCTGGTTTAAGGCCACTTCCTATATTCCTAACATGAAGGGGAGGGGGACGAAACCATAGGTTTGATTCCAAGCCAATGTCTATGAAGCCTCTCCTGAGACAGCCAGAGAGATACTGCGAGGAGGAAATGCTCCTCCACCAGCCTTCCATGCTTCCAAAATGGGCTTGAGAGGGAGAAGGGGGGATAAAAGCTTCTGGTACCGGCAAACAGAACTCTTCGAAGGCAGGCTTGACAAACGTTGTGTACTGGGTCAGGATCTGCTCCAGGTCCCTTCCCCGCTTCATATCCCGGAGAACTACAGCCGGAGGAACCAAACAGGGCAGTTTAAAGAGACAAAAGAAAGTCTTTCTTCAAGCAGCACAGAATTACAACCACAGTTCAAGTCCACAAGATGTAGTGATGGCCAGCAATGTAGAATGCTTCAAAAGAGGACTGGACCAATTCATGGGGAATAATAAGGCTATTGATGGCTATAAGCCACAACGTCTATGTTCTGTGTTCCAATGTTGGTGACAATATATGCCTTGGCATACCAGTTGCTGGGAATCACAAGTGCTGTTGGTCTCAGGTCCTTCTTGTGGGCTTCCCATTACGGCTTCTGGTTGACCATTACAGGATGCTGGACTAGATGAACGAATGACCTGACCCAGAAGGGTTCTCCTTATGTTCTTAGTCCAGAACATCTGGAGGTTGGGGAAGATGTAGTGATGTCCTCCCCCTTAGATGGCTTCAAATTTGTGGAGGAGAGGCTATCAGTGGTTACGAGTCACAATGTCTAGGTTCTACTTCCATGGTCTCCATTCTACTTCTCCCTAGCATATTTAGAACATTGCTTCCTGTATACCCAAGGGATGAGGAACCTGCAGCCCTCTGGATGTTGTGGGACTCCAACTCCCATCAGTCTCAGCCAACATGGCCAAGGATCAGGGATGCCGGGAGTTGGAAGTCCAGCAACATCCAAAAGGCCTTAGGTTTCCCCATTCCTGACTGAAGTAGCAGCATTCCTCTTCAATGCCTCTGTGTAGAAGCATAGGGATGAGGGTGGTGCTGCGGTCTAAATCACTGAGTTTCTTGGGCTTGCCAATCAGAAGGTTGGTGGTTCGAATCTGCGCAACGGGGTGAGCTTCCGTTGCTCTGTCCCAGCTCCTGCCTACCTAGCAGTTTGAAAGCACACCAGTGCGAGTAGATAAATAGGTACCGCTGTGGTGGGATGGTAAACGGCATTTCCGTGCGCTCTGGTTTCCATCACGGTGTTCCGTGGCGCCAGAAGCGGTTTAGTCCTGCTGGCCACACGACCCAGAAAGCTGTCTGTGGGAAAACGCCGGTTCCCTCAGCCTGAAAGTGAGATGAGCACCACAACCCCATAGTCGCCTTTGACTGGACTTAACCGTCATGGGGTCCTTTACCTTTTACCTTTACCTCTGAAGAAGCATTTCCTAATGAGAAAAGACATCTTTTTTTTATCAGGGCTGGGGAATCTGTGACCCTCCAGATGTTGCTGGACTCCAGCTCCCATCAGCCCCAGACAGCATGGCCAATGGTTTATGGGATAGTGGAGGCAACATCTAAGGAAGTTTCTGACCCCTGTGGTAAAAGTGTTTAAATAAATTCCAAGAAACCAGGGGTTACCTCTCCGGGAGAGCCTGACATCTGAGTCCGTATCAACGAAAAGACGGAGATGAAACATGTCCCGGATATCTTGAGTATAGAATACCAGAATTCCCTCAAAAAGCACCACATCTGCAGGGTAGACCATAGTCGTCTCAGGCAGCCTGCAGTGGACATGACACGGAATGGCAAGATGTGGTTAAGAAAGGTCCCAGTGTGACTTCCAAATGCCCAGGGAGAACATCTGGAATGCCATGCTTCCCGTTTCAGCACTTTAGAATGCTTGAGGGGGCTGGGGATGTTTATCCTGGAGAACAGGAGACCGAGAGGTGATAGGATAGCCATATTCAAAGAACTGAAGGGCTGTCACATGGAAGAGGGAGCAAGCTTGTTTTCTGCCGCTCCAGAGGGTAGGACCCAAACCAATGAATTCAAATGACCTTAGGAAGATCTTTCTGATGGTAAGAGCTGTTCGTCAGGGGAACAAGCTACGTCAGGAAGTGGTCATCTTTCAGGGATTCTTTAGCTGCGATCCCTGCAATTGTAGAGGGTTGGACAAGATGACCCTTGGGGTCCTTTCCAACTCTACAATTCTAAGACCACATTTTGCCCCCCAAAAAAAGAAATGCATACTGACCTGGAATGGGTCACAAAATCGTACGTTGGAACCTCAACCGTTTGGCCATCCACAATATTCTTCAACGTCATTTGCATTAATTCATTGTCAAAAGCATCTGTGCAATGCAAAAAAATAAGGGTGGCCAAACGAAACTGGATCAGCAGCGGAGGCAGTTTCAGATTTAAGATGCACTGCAAGTCAGGCACTATGACGGTGGTACAAAAGCTGCTTCCACGCAGTCTGATCTCATGTACTGAGGACCCATGCAGGTGATGTGAATTACTGGTCCCGTATCACAGCAGCAACTAACAAATAGGGCTTTTATTACCTGTTTGACAGGTGGGATGTGGAGGCAATTTCACCTGTACAAGGGGGCAAAAGCCGATGGTTCTGTGCAGTGCTAGCCTTGCTCAGAGTAGAACCACTGGAATGGATGGCCTTGACTTAGGTGCTTAAATTTCAGTGGGTCTACTCTGAACAGGGCTTAGCTGGCTGCAACATAAAGCTATCTATGGACGGCATCTTCAAAGGCAAGGTTTTTTTTTTAAAAAAATACAGTGGTACCTCGGGTTAAGTACTTAATTCATTCCGGAGGTCTGTTCTTAACCTGAAACTGTTCTTAACCTGAAGCACCACTTTAGCTAATGGGGCCTCCTGCTGCTGCTGCTGCGCCGTTGGAGCACAATTTCTGTTCTCATCCTGAAGCAAAGTTCTTAACCCGAGGTAATATTTCTGGGTTAGCGGAGTCTGTAAACTGAAGCGTATGTAACCTGAAGTGTATGTAACCCGAGGTACCACTGTAAATGAATGCTGGGTTTAATTTTTAAAAATATAAGACAATATTTGTTCCCAAGATTCTCCAGATCACAGGCTGGAAAACACAAAGTGAGACTGCTGCTGGATGCCATAAGCATAAAATTTGGGGGGCAGACGTCCACTCTGAGGGAGACCCTCTTTCCCATCCATAGGACTGCTAAGTGTACTGTCTAAAAATTACCCGGCTGCCCCACTGGGTATACCTGGGTGATCAAAGTTGTACTGTCCCTTCAGGGCTTTTGCCTTCTGCTCCGTCGTAAGCACTTTATAGAACCGATCCTGGCTAAGGATAACGACTTTCCGCTGACGGTGATCCACTTCATTTTGCCCCACCAGCTCCATGATTTTCTCACACACTGTCGACTGCCCAGGAGGAGGAGAATTTTGGAACACATCAGAAAAACAAACCCACCTACGCACGTGGTCGAAATTTCTCAGCCTAACATACCTAAAACAATGAACGTAGCACTATAGTCCACGAAGGAAGAGGCAGATGTAACCATAAATTTAAACTGAACAGAAGGAGAAGACCCTAGAAACCAGAAACCTTACAGTGCCTGCTTTATCATGCAAAGTAATGAGGGACTTGGGGGGATTTTTGGGGGGGAGAGCAGTGGAGGACCTACATTTTGGGGGCCTTGAAGCTTGAACTGTTATGGTGTGCCCTTCCCAACCAGCAACGAGGTCTGGGTAACCATTCTTATCTTCTTCAGTGGGTTGTTCCACAACAGATCACAACAATTTTCAAAGAAATTGTAACTACTGCACCTCACATTTTGATTAAAATTGCTGTACTGGATTATCTTGCATGTCAAAGTCACTGGTGTGAATAATAATTAAAAAATCCTATGCCTTGTTGTTTTCTAGTTATGGGGGGAGGAAATGAAAAATAGGGGAAATTTGGGGTGTCCTTTTTTTAAAAAAAATGTAAGCTATGTGGACTAAACTCACTTCTGCGCCCCCTCTGGGATTAGGAGCTCTGAAGATTAAGTTTCAATAGTTTCATAATAGATAATCTCTCCCTGGAGACCTAGAGATGTGAGGATAGACTGCTCTGCCTCCTTTCTTTTAGCAAATGTTTTGTGCCACTGGGGAAGTGGTAATTCTGAATTGATTTGTTTTGGATGTTTGTATGCGATGCCAATAAAAGGTCTGATGATGATGATGATAGATCATCATCTGCCCCTGGATGGTGGAGCAGGAATCACAGGCAAAAAACCACTGTGGAGTAGGCACTAAAAAGTGTCAGACTAGGCCCTGGGAGAGATCAAGGCTCAAAACTTCCCTGCTCCAGCCATGAAGCCCACTGAGTGACCTTGAGCCAGTTCCATAAGTGTCTTAGCCTAACCCACCTCACGGGGTTGTTGTGAGGATAAAATGGGGCGGGGGAGGGGAGAAGAATACACGTGACCCCCTTGGAGGAAAGATGAGATACAAATGTAAGAATATATGCAATATGAGCATCACCATCATCATCCGCGACGTTTAAAGGTGTCAGGAGAGATATAGGGAAAATTCTCAGGGATTTGAAGCTTTTGCAAGAATCGCGCACAGGTTTTAACTGGTCCGCAGTGCAATGCAATGCAATCAGGAGAATTAATTCACATTCTGTTGCTTTGCTTGCAATATCGTTATTTTTTTGTTGTTGTTTTTGCATTTTTATTTTGCACTCTGGCAGGGGCGCGGCGGCCCACGTAGCCAGGGAGCCCCCGCTTACCTACCTTGCCGCTGGCGGTGCCTCCGCTCACCCCGATCAGGAACGGACGCGGGTGCGGCCGCTCTGCCTCCCCGGCGCCCGGCAGGCTGCTGCTGCTACTGTTACTACTACCGCTGCACCCGATGCCATTGCTGCCCGTAGTGGCCATGGCTTGGGCATTGCAGAAAGGGCCGGCCCCGTTTCAGATGCCGCAGCTGCCACTGCCCCAGGACGCACAGACTCCATCTCCCAGCAACCACAGCGCGGCGGGGAGCGCTCCGTCGGCTCACGGGCGGGCCGCGGGGCACGCTGGGAAACGAAGTTCTTTAGCTTCCTCCGGAGAGCTTGCGCAAAGTCGGTTGCGCACGAAGGCGGTAGTGACAAGGGGCGGGGCGGGGGCGGGGATTTCGGGGTTAGGAGGCGGGACTGAAGCTGGGAAGGAAGCGCAATAAAGTGCTGCAGCACAGGATAATAAAAAAAAAAGTTAAATACTTGGAAATCCGAGCAACTATAATCAACCAAATTTAGTTCATTGCGCAGCACCACACTTAAGGCTGAGTACACAGCATAGATTTAAAGTGCATTATTAACTACCACCACCAAGAATCCTCGGTACTGCAGTTTGTTATGGGTTTTGGGAATAGTAGTACTGTCAAGGGATTATCTACAAATTCCAGGATTATTTGGGGGAAATTATGTACTTTAAATGTATGCCATTTAGACTTGTGACATCTAAAAGACTAACAATTCATTTTAGCTTATGCAAATTGTTTATTAAATTTCTATCCCACAGTTCCTTTCAAAAGGAGACCAGGAGTGGCAGAAATGCTATTAAAAATAAAATAAAATATATTAAAAACCATTTGTAACATCTAAAATCATCCCTCATCCTCCAGCAGCTTCAGGGTTAACTGAATATCTGAATAGGACTTGGCAGCAGAAAGTAAAACAGCAAACCCCAAACCAAATTCTGAAGCTGGGGCAGCAGTGGCAGAGCAAGCAGAATTGGAATGGAGTAACCGTCCACTGAGCGCTGGACAAATGCCCTTGCACCATTATGATAGGACTGGAAGTGCCTGCACCTGTGAAACAACTTAAGATGTGGAAGGCTCAGCCAAATAGCAAGTTGCGCCTCCAGGCAACACCCAGTAGTGCAGGATCTTAGGGCGCCAGAGGAGGAAGTGGTGCTGGCCAGAGTGCCAGTACCCTAGAGCCTAGGTGAAGGGAACATAGTTCCGCGTGGCACCTATGGGCAGATTGCAAGGGGAAGGAAAGGTGCTGCTATATAATATCAGTGCAGAGGATGTGGTGCTTTTGGGTGGCCAGTGCATAGCCCAGCTGATTTGTGAAAAACTGGGCACACCAGCCATCCAACAGGTAGCAGAGCCAGGGCTGCCCACCAACCCCTGGTGCCAACTCCAGGGGCCCCATGGGCTTGTGGACCCACAAAAATGTTGCTGTGAGTGCCCAGCCTCTGCTGCTGCTGCCACCTGCCACCTTACCTCTGGCGCTCTGGTGCTGACTGGGCTGAAGCCTGTGCCTCCATTGTGGGGCCTCTGTTGAGGCCTGCTGCAGCCATGGATGTGGTTCTGGGGTGGTTCTGCAGTGGGCCTCAATAGAGGCTCCACAGCAGAGGCCCTGTCCCAGTTGCTATTGCAGTGCTGGAGCACGCTTGTGCACTGCGCATCATGATGTGGCAATGTGACGTCACACCGACATGACGGTGTGGTGCGTGCAGAGTACCCACAGTGTGGGGCCGAAGTCAGTGCACCTGCTACCAACAGAAGGAGTAAAATTTTCGGATCCACAGACTGTGAGTTAACACCAGGACAGAAGGTATGGGTTGTTTATCCCAATCAACTCAACCAACCTGATGAGATGATCAGCCGGAGGTACTTACTGGGTGGTAATAACTAACACCACTTGCCCAATTCATCTGCGTACAGCTTAAGTAAGGTGCAGGAATAACAGGATTCTCGACCTGCTTATAGGAAGCATAACACACTACCTGTGTCATACAGTCCTTTATCTTGTGTGTATTATGTTCCCCATATTGCATAGAACCAATTTTGGTTTTTTTTAAATGCAAGCAGGTCATGGAAAAGGGAAACAAGCAATTGATGGAAGCAACCTGATAAGCTCTTCTGTGCATGAGCAGCAAGTTCCTTTCTAGAACCGAAGACTGATGTGACAGAGAACTGGAAACAGTCCTATTCCAAAGTGCAAGCTGTTATTGGGGGGCTGAGAGAGCAGAGCAATTAGCAATATGAAGGGAAGATAGCGTAAAGCCAAGGGGTGGAATGTGGTGGAAATGCAGAAGAATTGCAATTGAGGTGGTGTAGGTGGCCTTGCGAAATTCACCCTTCGTCTAATGCCGACTCCTGTTGACTTCATTGCTTGCACGAGAGCTTCTGTTCTTGGAGATGGCCCAGCTGTGGGTTGATTGCTTTGCTGGCCTAGATCATGGGTAAGCAAACTAAGGCCCGGGGGCCGGATCCGGTCCAATCGCCTTCTAAACCCGGCCTGCAGATGGTCCGGGAATCAGTCTGTTTTTACATGAGTAGAATGTGTCCTTTTATTTAAAATGCATCTCTGGGTTATTTGTGGGGCCTGCCTGGTGTTTTTACATGAGTAGAATGTGTGCTTTTATTCAAAATGCATCTCTGGGTTATTTGTGGAGCATAGGAATTCATTTTTATTTTTATTTTCAAAATACAGTCCGGCCCCCAACAAGGTCTGTGGGACAGTGGACCGCCCCCCTGCTGAAAAAGTTTGCTGACCTCTGGCCTAGATCATGGGACCCCCCATGTCAGATGAAGGTAACCTAGAGAAAGGGGAGCTTTGCTGCAGTTCTAAACTGCTGACATGTGCTGCATAGCCTGGCCAGACAGATATACAGTGGTACCTCAGGTTACATACGCTTCAGGTTACAGACTCCGCTAACCCAGAAATATTACCTCGGGTTAAGAACTTTGCTTCAGGATGAGAAGAGAAATCGTGCTCCGGCAGCAGCAGGAGGCCCCATTAGCTAAAGTGGTGCTTCAGGTTAAGAACAGTTTCAGGTCAAGTACAGACCTCCGGAACGAATTAAGTACTTAACCTGAGGTACCACTGTACCATAATTTTCCGCCTATAAGACGCCCCCATGTATAAGACTATTTTTGCGGGCTCAAATTTAAGAAAATGGGGGGGAGATGGCACAGAGTCGTTGAGCTTTTTTTTGGGGGGGGGGTTACCCAGGGTTGTTGAGCTTTCTAAAGGGGGGATTGCTGAAAATCGCTCACCCGCATGTGTCCAAAACTCCGCCTCTTGTCAGAAGCGGCCTATTGCCCGCCCAATTGCCGCAGCAACAGCCGATCAACACCAGCCATTGACGCAGCAACCAATAACACATCCAATAGCTGTTGAAAGCCACGGCAGCAACCAATCAAATGTCTACCCTATGTACTATCCATGTATAAGAAATAAACTAGTCTTATACACAGAAAAGTACAGTACTTTGCTGCTACATCCCTGGGGCTTTCTGAAGCTGAAAGGAGGGCTTGGATATATGGAGCAGACTAAAATTGTAATTATTAGGCAGAATCTCTGTGATAAAAATGAATATACTACCTAGACTGTTATTTCTATTTCAAGCAATACCAGTGGTAAAAGGGATAAGGCAATTTAAGGATTGGCAAAAAAATTTAGTGAAATTTGTCTGGCAGGGGAAAAGGCCAAGGATAAAAATGAAGATACTAATAGATAAGAAAGAGAGAGGAGGTTTTGATTTACCAGACCTGACTTTATATTATGAAGCTTCGTGCTTCGTATGATTAAAAGATTGGCTGACTTTAGAAAACACTGACCTATTAGATCTAGAGGGCCACGACAATAGATACGGTTGGCATTCGTACCTATGGTACAACAAAGTAAAGGTACATAAAGGTTTTGTAAACCATGTGATTAGGAAATCTTTATATGAAGTATGGGATCGGAATAAAAACCTCCTGGAAAGAAAGACACCATGGTGGATATCACCAATTGAGGTGTTGACAACAAAAAAAGTAAACATGGAAGGGGAAAGAGTAACATATGAGGATATTACAGTGGTGCCTCGCAAGACGAAATTAATCCGTTCCGCGAGTCTCTTCATCTTGCGGTTTTTTCGTCTTGCGAAGCACGGCTATTAGTGGCTTAGCGGCTATTAGCGGCTTACCGGCTATTAACGGCTTAGCGGCTTTAAGAAAAAGGAAACAAACTCGCAAGAACTCGCAAGACGTTTCGTCTTGCGAAGCAAGACCATAGGGAAATTCGTCTTGCGGAACGACTCAAAAAACGGAAAACTCTTTCGTCTAGCGAGTTTTTCGTCTTGCGAGGCATTCGTCTTGCGGGGCACCACTGTACTAGGAAAACAGACCAAGGGATAAAGCTCAAACCATATGATCAAATTGAAAAGATGTTAACAGGGTGGCTGCAATACCACCAGATCAGTGACTTATTAAAGGAAGATAAAAAGAGAAATGGGTTCGAAGATAAAAAATCGAAATTCCAAATCGAGTTAATAGACTGTAAAGATAAAATTTTATCAAGAATGTATAGTTTATTGCTAGAATGGTATACAAAAGACGAAGAAGTACAGTGGTGCCCCGCAAGACGAATGCCTCGCAAGACGGAAAAACCGCTAGACGAAAGGGTTTTCCGTTTTGGAGTTCCTTCGCAGGACGAATTTCCCTATGGGCTTGCTTCGCAAGACGAAAATGTCTTGCGAGTCTTGAGATTTTTTTTTTGCTTTCCCCCCCCTTTATCTAATCTGCTAAGCCTTTAATAGCCTTTAATAGCCTTTTAGCAGCTAATCCCCTAAGCCTTTAAGCCTTTAATAGCCGCCCAACCACTAATAGCGCTAATCCGTTAAGCCGCTAATAGGGTTGCTTCGCAAGACGAAAAAACCGCTAGACGAAGACTCTCGCGGAACGGATTAATTTCGTCTTGCGAGGCACCACTGTAAAGGAATCAATGATAAAATGGGCAATTGATATTGGGCATAACATTGAATTGGATGTGTGGAAAATATTATGGAAGGAGGGTTTGAGATTTACAGGATGCATGACTTTAAAGGAAAACTTGCTAAAAATGATGTATAGATGGCATTTGACGCCAGTAAAATTAGCTAAAATGTATAGGAAAAAAGAAAGAAAATGTTGGAAATGTAAAAAGGCAGATGGGGACTATTTCCATATGTGGTGGACCTGTGATAAGGTAAAAAATTTTGGGAATCAATTTATAATGAACTCAAAAAAATATTTAGATATACTTTCCCCAAAAGACTGGAAGCGTGTCTATTAGGCTTAATAGGAACAGAAATTAAAATAGAAGATCAAAATCTGTTCATGTATGCTACAGCTGCCGTGAGGACCCTTCTGGTCCAAAGATGGAAAGTACAAGACATACCAACTATTCAGGAGTGGCAGGCAAAGTTGACAGAATATGCAGAACTTGCCAAACTGTCAGGGAGGATCCGGGACCAGGGAGATCAAAGATACCAAAATAACTGGAGTAAATTTATTGAATATTTAAAGAAGAATTGTAAAGAGGTCAAGACACTAGCAGGATTGACATAATACCTCCAATGTATAATAGTACTAATATGAGAATGATGTGTGTGATGGAAAGAGGATAAATATACCAGTTGTGGGGAGGGAGGTGGGTCGTGATTCGGCAGAGTCAAAGGGAATGTATGGTGCTATTACAATTTGTTGCAAAAGAATATGTAAGGAAAACAATAAAAATTCACTTGAAAAAGAAAAGAAAGGAGGGCTTCTGCCATTTGTATCCTTGTGTAAAGCAGGGTCTGGTATTCTTGTGTCAAGATCCTTTGGCCTTTGGCAAAACAGAAAGGTAGCTCTGTTTTTGATACAAATGTCTGGGCACATTTTTGCCTCCACAAAGGGAATGGCTTCCACATGAAGCGTGTGTTGTCCCAACATGGGATGACCTTCTTTGAAGAACCGTAGCTCCCTGGTAGAGCACCTGCCTTGCAAGCAGAAAGTCCCAGCATCTACCCCCAGCATCTCCAGGTAGGGCTGCAAGACCTCAAGAGGGCCCACCAGCCTCTGGCCCATCTGTTCTGTGAGTCACCATTTAAATACTGCAGAATGCCACAGAGTAGCACTATACTGGGTGCCCTTGGGCACTGTGGGAAATTAAAAAATCAGCTCCCGGACATCATTGGGGGGCAGTGTTGCTGTCACCGCCATGCAGATACCTAAAGATGGCTCAGACCGGAAGAAACTTTAGGAACCCAAATCAGACTATTGGACCATCCAGCTCAGTACTGTCCACAATATCTGGGAGAGGCTTTCAGGCAGGGGGTCTCTTCCATTCCTTCCTGGAGATGCTAGAGGTTGGACCTGGGACCTTCTGCATGAAAAACATGCACAATGCCACTTAGTTGTGGTCTACTTCCAAAGATGAAGTAATATTCTAGTCCCTGTGGTCCTGAAGAGCTGGTTTTAAGTAGGGACCTGGAAAGTTGGCCTTATTCTGAAGCAAACTATTGGTCCACCCAGAGCAATATAGTCTACACTGACTGGCAGTGGCTCTCTGGGGTTTTAGGCAGGGGGACTTATCCCAGTCCTGTTTGAAGCTGTTGGGGATTGAATTTAGGACCTTCTGCTTGCAAAGCAGATGCTTACACCAGTGAGCTACAGCCCTCAAACTTTACTCAGGGACATATTTATTCTGAAGCTGGCCATGGCAATTCGCCTACCACCTGGTTCTCTGGTGTGGGATTTCCCACTGTGGATCGCCCCACCTTCCCCCCATCTCCCACCAGGCAAATGGCCCAAACAGGCCAACCAACAGGAACCAGGAAGAGAGACATGGTAGACAAGCAGGAAACCAGACCAATGGGAGAAACTGGATTTGATTGTCACTTTAATCTTGGCTGACCAAGGCATGCACTGTAAAATAGGATGATATTCAAGGCTGGGTTCTTTAACCACATTTATTGTCACTTGCTTGAGTGTCTCCCTCGCCCCTTTCTCTTTAATATATAAAAAAGTAACAGGTTTGGACATTTTTACAATCAGGATTCAGGGTGGGTGGGGTAAACCATAAATATACACCATCAGACCGAGGGAGGCTGGTTGGCAGAACAGCAAAGTCAAGGAAATTTTTCAGCAAGCTTGAAAATGCAAGGAATGCCTCATCTTTTTTGAAGCACAGAGTCACAACTTGAACTGGAAAAAAACCCCACCACCTCTTCCTCCCTTTGCCCCCAATGCCTTCGCCCCCACCCCAATTTAACTAAAACCCCATCCCTGCCAAGGAAATGACTGTGAGAGCACCACAGTAAATTGTGCTGAAATTAACACAAACCAACAGTTGGATTCTCAAGCTGCGTATTTTTTTGCAGTATATGCAATTTTTATGGGTTCAAATTCCAGCACATATTTTTCTTTAAAAAGCTCCAATCCCTAGGGTTAACAATCATTTAAAACTCTCACCTGTCTACCCGCCCACCCAATTCTGAATGGAGCAAGGGTTAGAGGAAAGTCTGGAAGCCTTTGGTCTACAACTCCCATTACCCACCACCACCATGTAACCCCAAGCCGGCTACAGGGGCAGATGGGAATTGTGGACTGATAACCTCTAGCGGGCCAGACTACAACTGGTGGGGCGTCCCTGGCTCTATCCACTTACTCATGAACCAAGACACAGGGGCAAAGGCTCACCTAACCCTTCGCTCCCCAATGTGAAGTGCAATTAGGTGACTAATAGTATCATTCTGAAGCTGCCAGGGTATGAAAGCTGCAGATTCTGGTGAGGGCCAGAACCCCTCCAAAGGCGGTAGAAATGTAAGGACCTTCTTAGGCCCACCTCAGCTGCAAGACTGAGGGCAAATACAAAACATCCAATATTTTCTCAGGGGGGGGAGTCCTTCACCAAACTCTTCTCACTCCAACCCCAGACCTCCTGATGTCACTGGCAACTTGCACAGGAGGTTCACCCACGCATGCCCATCTGTGGCAAGTTGAAATGAAAGACACACACAAGGGTATAAACGGCAACATATTGCCTGCTGCAAAACACCCTTTAAATTAATAAAACAAAATAAAGGAAGATGAGCTGCACAGTATTACACTGGAAGATTCTGCAGAGAAGGTTGGGGCCAGGTGAGTAGTCTGCTTTTGCCCAGTGGATTTCCTCCTCCCAATTTTATTCACAGGACAAGGAAAGAGAAAGAAGCCTCTGCCTCAATAGATATCAAAGCCATTGGCTACAGTTAACAAACTGAAAAGCAAAAGTCATTCCCAAATCCTGGGCAGGCAAGTCAGGAGTCCACGTCTTGAGCCCAACTTTCAACAAATTGCTTTCAAGATTATTTGGCATCAAGAAAAAAAACCTGCTCTGTTTAGGCCCCCTTATATTATATTAAAAAAGAGAGAACGTGAGCTGGTTTGGATTTAACAATCCTAATTTGCTAAACCAGCAGTTCATCATAGTTTCTTTAAACTAGGCTTGGGGAATTTTTGGCCCTGTAGATGTTGCTGAACTACAGTTCCCCTCATCCCTGGCCACGCTTGCTGGAGCTGATGAGAACTGTCTTCAGCAACATCAGGAGACCCCAAAGCTCCCCATGCCTGCTTCAAAACCCAAAGCTTCCTGATGACTCCAAAATGTTGTGGTTTAATCCTTGGGCTCCAAATTTGATGTAAAAAACCAGGATTAAATCCTGGCCACAGTAATATTCCAGCTGCAACAAGAAACTCTGGCCTAAAATAACCATGATGGAAGGGTCAAAGGCACAGGAGTGAGCAAGTGGGCACAACACTCATTGCCGGGCTAGTAAAGTTTTATTAAACCAGGATCATTATCTCTGAGCTGGCCCCCATATCAGCCGCAGCTCCTGTGAAGGTGACCTGTAGCCAAGGAGATGCTTGCTTGTTGCTCAGACCAAGAACCCAGTGTGACCTGGAAGCTGTTTTATGTAAGGTGAAGACGCTGGCCTGAGGTGGTTGATTTCAGGTGCCACAGTGGGTTAGCAGAATGAGATGGACAGATATGACTCATTTGGGGATGAGAAAATCCATTGGGAAGTTCTTCTGCAGAAACATCAATGAAATAAATGGAAGATGCGAAAGAGTGTTCTGATGCAGGTCTCTCCAACCTACTTAATTTGAGGCAGCTTTTCAACTGTTTTGCTCCAACTGGATGGTGCAACAGCTCCTCATAGATGTGCCCTCCCACCCCAAGTTCTCACTTTGGTTTTAGACACCACCCCCATCTCAGCCTGATGCTTCCAGACAGCCAAGTATTTTGTTTGCTTTGTTTTCCTTTACGCGTTGCTTAGCACTTTGAAGTTTCTTCTTAAAAACCCCATGGGCCACTCAGTCATGCATCCTTAGAAAAAGGAAAGGAAACTGATGATGTTGCCTAGAGGTTCGTATTTACAGACGGTCTCATTTTCTACATGTTTACTGCATTAACAGCTAGTACCATCGCTACAATAAGGGCCCCCATAGCGAGTACAAGGGGGTGGATGTCACAGAACCTCAACAATTCCAGATTTCCTGAGTCAAATAAGAGTAAAGAGATTCCAGGTGAATTTGGGGAAGATCCAGGTGAATTTGGAGAAGATCTAGGTGAGTTTGGGGAAGATCCAGGTGAATTTGGAGAAGATCCAGGTGAGTTTGGAGAAGATCTAGGTGAGTCTGGAGAAGATCCAGGTGAATTTGGAGAAGATCCAGGTGAATTTGGAGAAGATCCAGGTGAGTTTGGGGAAGATCCAGGTGAATTTGGAGAAGATCTAGGTGAGTTTGGGGAAGATCCAGGTGAATTTGGAGAAGATCCAGGTGAGTTTGGAGAAGATCTAGGTGAGTCTGGAGAAGATCCAGGTGAATTTGGGGAAGATCCAGGTGAATTTGGAGAAGATCCAGGTGAGTTTGGGGAAGATCCAGGTGAATTTGGAGAAGATCTAGGTGAGTTTGGGGAAGATCCAGGTGAATTTGGAGAAGATCCAGGTGAGTTTGGGGAAGATCCAGGTGAATTTGGAGAAGATCTAGGTGAATTTGGAGAAGATCCAGGTGAATTTGGAGAAGATCCAGGTGAATCTGGAGAAGATCCAGGTGAATTTGGAGAAGATCCAGGTGAGTTTGGGGAAGATCCAGGTGAATTTGGAGAAGATCTAGGTGAGTTTGGGGAAGATCCAGGTGAATTTGGAGAAGATCCAGGTGAGTTTGGGGAAGATCCAGGTGAATTTGGAGAAGATCTAGGTGAATTTGGAGAAGATCCAGGTGAGTTTGGGGAAGATCCAGGTGAATTTGGAGAAGATCCAGGTGAGTTTGGAGAAGATCCAGGTGAGTTTGGGGAAGATCCAGGTGAATTTGGAGAAGATCTAGGTGAATTTGGAGAAGATCCAGGTGAGTTTGGGGAAGATCCAGGTGAATTTGGAGAAGATCCAGGTGAGTTTGGGGAAGATCCAGGTGAATTTGGAGAAGATCTAGGTGAATTTGGAGAAGATCCAGGTGAGTTTGGGGAAGATCTAGGTGAATTTGGAGAAGATCCAGGTGAGTTTGGGGAAGATCCAGGTGAATTTGGAGAAGATCCAGGTGAGTTTGGGGAAGATCCAGGTGAATTTGGAGAAGATCTAGGTGAATTTGGAGAAGATCTAGGTGAATTTGGAGAAGATCCGGGTGAATTTGGAGAAGATCCAGGTGAATTTGGGGAAGATCCAGGTGAGTTTGGAGAAGATCCGGGTGAATTTGGAGAAGATCCAGGTGAGTTTGGGGAAGATCCAGGTGAATTTGGAGAAGATCCAGGTGAATTTGGGGAAGCAGTGACAGTGGTGGACATACTGCCCAGAGGGCAGCTGCCCATCTTGTTCCTTTTCCACATTGGTGATGGGGGCCATTTGATTGATTAAATATCCCTGTAAACATGTAAGACTTTGCAAGGGCAGAATGTTACTTCAGTCTTTTTTCCTTTTTTCTTTTCCTCCCAGTGTCTGTGGGTGGGGAAGTATTGTGAAAAATGGTTCTCCTCGGTTATGACCTTGATGGCAACTCATTTTTCATCCCTCACACATGCTAAATGCCCATTGGGCGAGACCATGGGCACGTCAATACATGGCTCAACGCAAGATGCAGCAACTTTGCTTCTCTCTCGTCGTGTTGCAGTGCGAGGAGCGCAAGAAAAAAAAAGTTCAGATTTGGCAAAAGTGGGAACACTCTGGCACTAAAAAAACAAACAAACCCTGACCCCTTTTCCTGTGTGCTCCCTTTTCAGGCAGAAAAGCTCATCTATGGCACTGAGGAAGGAGAGCAGGACGCTGCTTTGGTGACTCTCCCCTGCGGCCTGATGGGAAGGGAGCCCACAACTGCCGCTGAGACAACTCAACCCCTGGGCTGGGCCCAGGAGGGGAGGAGGTGGGGGGATATGGCCCGGTCACAGGTCCAAGTCTCATAGCTGCCGTCTGTGCAGGCGCCCAGTGATCCTTTTGCCCATGGCCTTCATTAGCTTCCCCTCTAGGTTTTCTCCTCCCTGTCTGTCTTCCGCCTTGTGATGTTTCGAGGCTTGATTTTGAGCGAAAGTTCCCACAAGGCCTCCTCCGCCAGGTGGTCGCTGAAGTCATTGAAAAATGAGATGATGTCATCATTCCGTTTGATGTCGTAATGCCTGCAGCAATGAGAGAGAGAGAGAGAGAGAGAGATGTTTTATAACAGAAAGTGCCGCTTTATTCAGGACTGCCCCCTAGCTGGAAGCCAAAAGAATGCAATGTTCAATTCACTGCCTCCCCACCCCAAAAGGCAAGGCTCACTGAAAGAACCAAAACATAAAAATTCTGCAAGCCAATCATCCAAAATCCTGTGCTAAGAGAAGTCAGATACTGTGGTCTGTATAAATTGGACAGATTCACCTAATTCCCCCTCCTTCACTATCTTCCTTGGCTGCTTCTGAGGGTGCAGTAAATGTCTCCAAATGGTTAGGCTAAAATAAAAAGCAATATCTTATACAAGGCTACTATAGACGTAATCCCGTAAATGTCTACAACACGACAAGCAGCCCGGTGCATGGGGAAGGTGGCGCCCCTCACACATCAAGAGGTATTTCCTGTCTTCCAATATACATGCAGGTCCTGCTTACCAGCCACAATGCATTTCCTGGAAATTGTTTGTTAGGCGAGTGCTTGCATAACAAGTCCATGATTTCCATTGATTCTTATGGGAACATTTCTAACCCATGATCTCTCTCCCCCCTCCCACCATGGCTTCTTCCTTAAATGGCTGCAGTCAACCAGCAAAGAGACAAAAGAAAAACTCTCCTGCTGTCTGATTTGTCCAACCTCTCTCCCTGTCTCCATGGCTTTTGCCTGAAAATGGCTGTTGGTGACCAGCAGCAAAGTTGTGGCTAATAGTTTCTGGTTTCAATCGAGCGGACAGTGAAGTGAAGTGTAACTCTCCACCCCCCACCCTTTCATAAAATGCCAGTCTAGACAAGTTTCTTGCTCTTTGCTATAGTCACACATCGCATGCTCCTAGTCCTCAGGTGTTCATAGGTGTGCACAATGCAAGAGAGCAGTGGGTACCACTTACACTTGCTGGAAGCACCTCATGCTGTCCAGGATGTTGAACTGCTGCCAGCGCTTGGAGAAATTGACTTTGCCATCAATGTAGTCCGGATTCCCCAAGTGGACAAAGGTCAAGTCTTGCAGTATGAGACCTCTGGAGAGAAAGAGATGTGAAAGTGGAAGATGAAATGACAAATGTGTTCACATAGGTCTATTAATATCTCTGGGTCCAACCCAGAGGGCAGGACTTCAGTTACAGGAGGGTAGATTCCTGGTGAACACCAGGAGAAATGTCTTGATGGGAACAGCAGTTTTAAAAGGGAACTGTTGACCTAAAGCAGGCGTGGGGAGCCTTTGGCCCTCCAGATGTTGCTGAACTACAACACCTATGACCCCTGGCCATGCTTACTCGGTCTGATGGGATCTCTGCTCCTGACCTGGAGGGATAGTGGTCCCTCATTTGCTGTGAGAGATTCGGCCAGCCATCTGTTGGTCATGACCTTCCTCTGGACTTCCCCAAACTGAGCAGCAGGTGAGGTGGACCAGATGGATTGCAAGACTTCCCTTGCAGCCAGCAGTGAAACCCCAGAGAATGTTTGTCCGTGTGAGCTACTCACAAGTAAGGTATGCAAGGCGGCTCCACCTCTGAGAGGGCAGCTCGGTATGCCCGGAAGGAGGAAGAACTGTCAATCAGAGTGCAATACTCAGCCAGACCCTGGCAGGAGACACAAAACATGGAGACATAGCATGAATTGTCTGAGAGACTGAACACATTTGGATGCTCCACAAATCCAGGTGGGTCGGAGGCAAAAGATGCACCTCTCTGTATTCTGCTATGGGACACAGAAGAATCTGGCACCTCAAGAACCTCATTCCTGCCAAACAGCAACAAAAACGAAAAAGCAAGTGGCTACTAGCTCTCATGGTTGTGGTGAAAAACTGAAGGGCACGCACTTCACTACACAGTGTTTCCCATCAACAGCTGATGACTGGTGGCAGCCCGTCTTGTTACTGCAATCCACTGGAAAGAAACTCAAGAGCTTGCGCTAGACAAGGGATACCACCTTTTATGGAATATTGAGATTATACAGGAGAAATCACGCACATTCCAAAATACTGACAAGGAGGATTATCAGCACCAGACTCTCTTCAAATGGTGTGAACTCTTTTATTTCTTACACAACTGTCTGCTCAAGCTTGGGATATCTGGAATTACATCTGACTGTAATATGCTGTGTTCTTCTCTTTCATGTATACTGAAATTGTGGTGATCCAAATGTTTAATGTTTGGTTTGTTGTTTTATAATGTGGATGGCAGGAACAGGGAAGTTGCTTAATTTGTTTTTTTTTTTTTAATTATGGTTTCCTCCCTTCTTCCCCCACCTCACTCCTTCTTTCTCCCTTCTTTCTTTTTCCGTTTTGCTCTTCTCTTTTGCTATGCTCCTGTTGTCATTTTTTATGTACCGTCACTGTTGAAAATACTATAAGAAGCTATTTACCAAAAAAACAAACAAACCCCAAACGAGTTGACAACTGGCAGCAGAAGGCATTGAGTGGTTCCTTTGAAAAGCACTGCCTTTAAGGCAAGGTGTACATGTTAGCCAATGCAGTACCCTCCAGATGTGGTTGGGCTACAGCTTGTCATCCCTGGCTGGCTAGGCCTGATGGGGTGGTGGAGGAGTCTAACAACATCTGGAAGGTTTTGTTCATACAAAACATCTTCATCTGCTTCAAGGAGCAAAGACTGAAGTACCAGGGAAGAGCAAAGCGGGAGTGAGCTCCTCTGTGGTATGCAGAGTGTGGCTTCTGAATTTGGCTAGACAGCTGACTTTACCTTTTGCAATCCCACACAGAGAAATATTAGTAGAGTAAAAATAGCAAAGTTGCTTATTTTAGGAAGTGCATTAACTTGGACAGAAAAGACTGTAGTTTTATGCTAACTAACTAGTCAAGAAGAAACAAAGGCAGCCACGCTTGCTCTTTGTTCTTTCTAGTGCTGGACTTTTAACTTTTGGAAACATAGGACGAAAACATTTTTGAAAAGATATATATTGAAAAACCGACCTCTGAGGTTTGTTTCTGCCACTCGAGCCTCCGGATGGGTGCTGAATCCAGGGCAGAGAGTATAGCCAAGTAGGAGTTGAAGTTGTTGAGCTTTCGTAAGTGCTGGAGCAAAACGGAAAAAAGAGGACGAAGGGTTGGAGGTGTTCCAAGGTGTTCTGGGGTGGGGGGAGAAGGTGGCAGTGTGGCATAGTAGTTAGAATGCTGGGCTTGGGCCTTGGAGAGACCAGGATTCAAATCCCCACTTGGGCAGGAAGCTCGCTGGGTGGCCTTGGGGCAGCCACTGTGCTGCTTAGCCAACTACAAGGTTATCCTCACAATGTTGTTGTGGGGGAAAAATGGAGAGGGGGCAAACCACGCATGCTCCTTGGAGGAAAGGTGGGATATAAACACATGAAGCAAAATGAAATGACAGGCCACTTGTCAGGGCAAAGGGTTGGGCTGTGGGCAGATGTAGAACTTCCTGGAATTTGGTAACACCTTAGTCCTGGAACTGTGGATCAGGTGAGTCTGCTTTGGAATTTGGACCTGCCAAAATTCACAAAGCATCTCCAGTCTGACCCACACAGGTGTATCCCTAGATTGGGCTTCAGCCTTAGGCTGTGACATCACTGAGGTTCAAACCTCCAAGTCCCTGGGCACTCACAATGATGGTGGTGGTGGTGGTAATAGCAACCCTTTGTAGGACTTACCTTCATGATCTTTATAAACTTCAGGAGCAACCTCTCTCGGTCCTGGGCTTTCTCCTGCTGCATAATTATTGAGCGGACCCTGTGAGTTTGCAGATTGGGAGAGATGCAACAACGCAGCCATCAGGATTAAACAGTTCAAGCAGGTTTCTGATCCAGGAATCCCTGCTGAGCTGCTAAGCGCTGGCTGAAGCACCAGTAATGTTGGCTTCCTGATTCATCTTGGCTGGGAGTCCTGGAAGACCTGCCCCCTGCCTTGCAGGCCTTTTTCCACCTGGCCTGGGAGGGCAGCGTCCTGACTGTCTCCAGCTACAAAAGCTGAGGCTGTGGAACAGAATCGTGGGCTGGGGTGCCATTTAGGGCGTTTGTTGGGGGTGGTATTGTTGCTGGTGTTGCTGTTAATTTTTTGGCTCTTATGATTCTATGTGGAAATTGTTAAATTTGGTTGTTTTGTTTACTGTTTGTTTTGGGTGTTTTGTTTATTGTTTAAAATGATTGCTCTCTTGTGCAAAAAGCTTTCCTCTCTCTTTCTCAATGACCAAGAAACAGGTGCACCTCCTACACACAGGAACTAATCTGCAGCACTCACTTTCAGAACAGCAGACAGTGGAACACATTTATTGATGTTTGTGAGTCAGTGCGTTGCATTTTTCCTAGCAGGGATCCCAATGTCAGTCTTGTCCTATTTCCCACCACCACCCCAAAACCTGACAGGATGAGGAAGGCTATGTCATCCCCAGCAACCTTTCCTGAGGACTAGTAGATTGTGCTACCTCAAAAGGTGGGTTGATTGGTGAGAGGGGGAAAGGCAATTTCTAAGGGAAGGGCTCAACATTATATGAAGAATCAAATGAAGAATCAGAAATTCTTTTTCCTGTTCCC